CCTTAAAGAAGCAAGAGCCTTCCCTGCGCCCACACTTAATGATTGGAGTCAAGAGACTGTGTCTTCTGATCTCATTTCCTTTTTCTGAGTTCTCTTAGGTGAATCATCAAAATATTATATGTCAAACAAGGGCTTTGAACTGGGCAGGAATGGCCAGACTAAAGTTATATGACTGTTTACCCCAGAGCATGATGAGTTTAGTGAACTTTCTTATCCTTAGGAATCCACCTCACTAGGCAGTTTAGCAGATGAAGTTTTAGTTTAATTGTGCCTGAGCAGAAAATGAGCAACATTTGCGTGTGGCAGTTTTTTTAATGGAAACTTTCCAGAATGGTGATTTCAGATCATTTCAAGCTGAAGGACTCTTTGAGATCACAATAAAATGTATTTTAGTTGGCTTTCTTTGTATTGTTTATGCCTATGTTATATTTCTGTGAAAGAGCTGAATAGAAGATTTCAAAAAGTGGCTCAAGAAGACAAAGTATTATAATGAAATGTGCAAACATCTGGAATTAGAAAACCAAAAGGGAAGAACACGCTTGGCATTTCTCAAGCTGAAAGAACTGAAGAAAAAATTCAAGCCTCGAGTTGCAGTATTGAAGGATTCTACGGGGAAAATAATGAATGCTGCAGGAAGCATCAAAGGAAAATGAAAGTGATCCACAGAGTCAGTGTACCAAAAAGAATTGGTCAATGTTCAACCATTTCAAGAGGCAGCATATGATCAGGAACCGATGGTACTGAAGGAAGAAGTCTAAGCTGTACTGAAGGCGTTGGAGAAAAACTAAGTTCCAGGAATTGACGGAATACCAATTGAGATGTTTCAACAAACAGATGCAGCACTGGAGGTGTTCAGATGTCTATGCCAAGAAATTTGGAAGACAGCTACCTGGCCAATCAACTGGAAGAGATCCATATTTGTGCCCATTCCAAAGAAACGTGATCCAGCAGAATGCAGAAATTATTGAACAATATCATTAATATCACACACAAGTAAAATTTTGCTGAAGATCATTCAAAAATGGTTGCAGCAGTACATCGACAGGGAACTGCCAGAAATTCAAGCCGCATTCAAAAGAGAATGTGGAACGAGGGATATCATTGCTGATGTCAGATGGCTCTTGGCTGAAAGCAGAGAATGCCAGAAAGATGTTTGCCTGTGTTTTATTGACTATGCAAAGGCATTCTACTGTGTGGATCATGACAAATTATGGATAACATTGCAAAGAATGGGAATTCCAGAACACTTAATTGTGCTCATGAGGAACCTGTACATAGACCAAGTGTGCATCAGGGTTGTATCCTTTCACCATACTTATTCAATCTGTATACTGAGAAAATAATCCCAGAAGCTGGACTATATAAAGAAGAACTCAGCATCAGGATTGGAGGAAGACTCATTAACAACCTGCAATACATAGATGACACAACCTTGCAGAAAGTGAAGAGGACTTGAAGCATTTACTAGTGAAGATCAAAGACTACAGCCTTCAGTATGGATTACACCTTAACATAAAGAAAACAAAAATCCTCAAAGCTGAACCAATAAGCAACATCATGATAAATGGAGAAAATATTGACGTTGTTAAGGATTTCATTTTACTTGGATCCACAATGAATGCCCATGGAAGCAGCAGTCAAGAAATTAAATGATGTATTGCGTTGGGCAAATCTTCTGCAAAAGACCTCTTTAAAGTGTTAAAAAGCAAAGATGTCACTTTGAGGACTAAGGTATGCCTGACCCAAGCCATGGTATTCAATTGCCTCATATGCGTGCAAAAGCTGGGCAATGAATAAGGAAGGCTGAAGAAGAATTGATGTCTTTGCATTGTGGTGTTGTCGAAGAATATTGAATATGCTATGGACTGCTAGAAGAACAAATAAATCTGTCTTGGAAGAAGTACAGTCAGAATGCTTCTTAGAAGCAAGGATGGCAAGGCTTTGTCTCACATACTTTGGACATGTTATCAGGAGGGACCAGTCCCTGGAGAAGGGCATCGTGGTTAGTAAAGTAGATGGTCAGGGAAAAAGAGAAAGACCCTTGAGGAGATGTATTGACCCAGTGGCTGCAACAATGGGCTCAAGCATAACACCGATTTTGCGGATGGCGCAGTACCGGGCAGTGTTTCGGTTCCGTTGTACATAGGGTCACTATGAGTCGGAGCCGACTCAATGACACCTAACAACAACAACATCTTTGGATTGTTTATGCCTATGTTATACTTGTGGAGAAAAAAATAGTAAAATATTCCACTTCAGGTTGTGCTGAGAGAGTGTGTATGTGGCTCATTTAATTTACTCAAGCAGTTTATTAAATACGTTTCCCATTTAATATTTTACTTGGACTTAGGTGATAACTCTTACTTAAGCACTAACTAAAATGCATTGGGTCACATAAGCTAAACTGATTCTCATAGAATATGGGGAACTCACCAGAACTATAATCACAATCATTATATATTTCCTTGATATAAAGTTCAAGTAATATTTTACAAAGGCATTTTTGAATGGGAGGTCTATTCTTTTTCATGTTTGCACTGCTTCTTTGGCTGTGTCCTGTAGTGAGGGCTATGAGAAGACTTGGTACAACAAGTCTTTTATGAAGACTTTGGCATATAACATAATCGCATTTTGGAACATGTCATATTATTGAGTACTGATACAAAAGCATGTGTGCTGGTGAGGACCAGAGTTTGCTTAAGGATATCCTCATCAATCAACCAACAGTATTTATTAAACTTCTATTAATCATTCAACAAATATTAGCTGACAACATAATAAAGCCCAAATATTCCACATCCGCTAACTCTTTTTAAACCTTGTCAGCATTAGCAAGAATTATAATCCTACCATTATGTAAGACTGAGGTTATGCTTAATTTGTTCAAGATTCTAATGGAACCAGAATTTCAATTTACTTTAAATTGTCCAACCTCAAAATCTATACTGTTTCCTTTATACTTTACTGCTACTAGCTGGGTCCTGTCAGGAAATCAAAGCTGTATAAGTTTTGATCTCCACCATGTAGGGTTGACAAAAAACAAAAACAAAAACCAAACCTGTTGCCATCGAGTTGATTCCGACTCATAGCGATGCTCTAGGACAGAGTAGAACTGCCCCATAGGGGCAGACTGCTACATCTTTCTCCCACAGAGTGGCTGGTGGGTTGGAACTGCTGACCTTTCAGTTTAGCAGCCGAGCGTTTAATCACTCTGCCACCAGGGCTCTTGTAAGGTTGACACTGAAGCCTAAAACATGGGACTCTTTTGTGGTAAACACCCTGGTTAAGTCCACAGCTCTAATGGGAGAGGAATCAAGGAAGGAAGGCTATATAAACCTTGGGGTTTGTGCAGGCCTGAAGAACAGGTAATATGTGGATAGATCCAGGGCATGAAGGAGATAGGTCCAAGGCAAAGACTCTTCCAAGGCGAGAAGAGCAGAAAGAGCAAACTGAATTCCAGAAACCATGAGTAGACCTGTTGCCTGGAACAGAAGTTCTACAACCGAGAGGAATATAGTTAGAAAGGAGCCAGCTAGTGGAGGGCCTTAATTTCCAAGCTAAGAAATTAGGGCTTTATCCTGTGGATAATAGGAAGCCAGCGAAGGTTTTTAATATAATAGTAACATGATTTAAGGGTGTTTTGGAAAAATTAATATGATTATCAATTGAAGGAGGAAGTGATAGAGTTGGGGACCAGTAAAGGGGTTCTTGTCCAAGGGGCAAATAACATGTGATGGGTCCTGACAACCTTGAGGAGACCCAGAAGGAGCAGAGTTCATGGGGAACTGTGACCAGGAATAAGGTCCAAAGGACCAGGCCAGACCAAGGGGGATGTTTATTCACAGCAGCTGAGGGCACTGTAGCAAGAAGGAAACTCCAAGTCATGGTCAAGAAGGCAAGCAAAGGTCAGAGCTGAAGAAGTAGCTCATAACATCAGGTAGCGAGTCAAATGTGGCTATAAATGGAAAACAAGCTATAGAAATTAGAAGGCAGGAGGACCTGCAACAAGTTCTGATGCAGAGCATGATACAGATGGATGCAACTGGTTCAGAACCAAGACTGAAAACCATTTTGGAGGCCTGCTCACCACACAATGTGGAGATAGGCTGAATACTAAAGTAGAAGTCATAGGAACCAGGACAGTAAGAGTTTAAGGCTGTTGACAGTGGAAACTAGAAAGAAAAAAAAAAAAACAAAACTCATATGAGAGATATTGTGCGAAAAAAACTGGGCAGGATTTATAGATCGATGATCTCTAATTAGAGAGGAGGGAGAGAACTATGTCCTATAAGCCCTTTTAGTCATTTTAAGAACAAGTCATGTTCCAAAGTTTAATTTGGTAATGATTTTTTTGGAGGGGTCCTGGAAAATTTTCATCATCTAGAACTCTTTTCCATAAGGAAACGTTTTGAACATCTCAGTCTACCATATCAGGAAAACTGCTACCCCCAGTATAACCATGGAATGTACACGTCCTCCTTCCCCACTATCTTTCCATCTGCTTATCAGTGTGGCTTACAGATCCAGGTGTGAAGAAGATTTATGAACATCTGTCGGTACGTATGTAAACCCTTCTCCTGAAGATTCCAAGGAGTAGTAACTCCACACACACGTACACCCCTAACTTCCACCCACGTAATTCTCCATTGTGGATCCACTCCAGGATAGGATGCAATTTCAGTTTTATTTAATCCAAAAATATTTACATTTTTACCCTGCAATAAAACTCTATCTAATAGCTTCTCTTTCAATTTCTTGTTTCTGAAGCAAAAACAGAACAAATAACCTTTTTGAAGTTTCACACTGCCTCCCCCCCCCCCCCCCGCGCGCAAAGAGTTTCAGATCTTCTTTTGTCCGTCTTTTCTTTTTATTTACTCAGAATCCAGTACAGGAAGTTAAAGGCTACATATGTCGTAATAGGAGGTGTGGGGACATAGAGAGGGCTAAAAGAGGATTAATCCTGTCTCCGTTTTGGACGGACACACAGGGACTCAAAAGAGGGCACTGCTGGGTCTCCTGCACTTCCTCTGCCTCTCTCCAGGGCCAAACTCAAACCGTAAGCTTATTTATAGTATTTTAAAATGTTATCTATAAACAATGTGGCTATGTCCACACTTGTTATCTGTATACTCACTTGTTATCAATGTCTTGCCCATTTATCCACTTTACCCCATGCTGTGCTTATGAGAGGATTTCTCAAGTAACTCCAAGTAATTTTAATTCCTTGAAGTAGAAGTAAAATAAGAGTCAGCTATTTTAAGAAATATGACCAAGAATAATAAAGAATCAGCAATGCAGAAGCCTGAGTGATCATGAAATGCTTGGTAAAATCATAGACTTTATTTTTTTAATTATTTAGATTTACAAAAAAATTTAGAAGATGGTAGAATTCTCATACACCCCACAGCCAGTTCCCCCTATTACGTTACATTAGTATAATTACTGAGCCGATCTGGACACATCATCATCAGCTAAAGTCCATATTTTCTCCAGATTTCTTTAGTTTTTCCCTAATGTCCCTTTTCTGTTTCAGAATCCCACCCAAGATACCACATTATGTTTAGTTGTCGTGTTTCCTCTTGGCAGTGGCAGCTTATAACTTTCTTCGTTTTTTATGATCTTGACAGTTTTGAGGAGTACTGGTCAGGCGTTTTGTAGAATGCCCCTCTAGTGGACTTTGTCTGATGTGTTTCTCATGGTTAGTTTGGGGTAGAATGCACTTTTGTTATGTCAGAAGTGAAGACGAGTTGCTGAGGACCGCCTGAGCCGCGAGTCCCAGCAACTGTCCCTGCGTGATGCTGGCTTCGCTCTGCCCGGGGGCGGCGACGGGGCGGCGCTTCCACCTCGGCGCTTGGGCTTGCTCAATCCTGTGTGACATCGTGGTCGCCTGCCACCCGCGCCACCTCCTGAGTCCCCAGACGCAGACCCAGCACCAGAGGGCGCCAAGGCGCGGAGGCACGCCTGTGCATCGGGAGCGAGCAGGGGCGGCGTGGGTCGCGGTGCGTCCAATGGATTGTACCAGCTGGAGTCTAGAGCCAGAGGACGAGCCTGGTGGCACAGTAAGCGAGTTAACCAACAGGCTAGAATCAAAGGGAAATTAGGCAAATTTGTGGGCGTGTGAACAGAACCAAGACCGAAAGCACTGAACATAGATGATCGTGGTCTTACAGTGACTGAAGTATTAAAAGATTGGGAAGATTCTGTGAGTCTGGGAAGGAAGGGAGAATGGTTTAAAGAAGATGCAGGCAAAGTTCTCCAGCGCCATAAACCTGTTCTTGTAGAGTATCTGGAAAAATCAAAGTCGTTTCCGCAACCAATGAAAGCTCCAGGGCCTCTTCCTTTCCATATAGTAAGCCGCCTTGTTTGTAACTGCTACTCAGATTTCTGGATTGCCATCTAGTGTAAGGTAAGGAGAATCCAGGGGACCTCTAACTCCATATAACAATCGTTTGAGGAGAGAGGCTTCTTTATTTTCCTTGACAGGCTTGCAACTGAGGCTTGCAAACTGAGTCTGCCATGCAGGCTTTTCAACAATTCTCATGTTTTTCAGATGCTTTGGAAAAAAAAAAAAATTAATGGTGTAAAGTATTTTAATAAGCAAAGCCATGTGGAATTTATTTAAATGTCTTAACTGTTCACTTCCCTTGTTTTTGTTGTCATTTTTTCACAACATTCAAATTCTTGTCCGTTTGACATCTGTTTATTTCAAGTGGTAGCTTCTAAAAGTTAGATCAACACAGTTATGGGTATATTTTCCACTTAAATTGTCTCATTCACAGCATTAACCTATTCAACAAATCCTTCTGTGATAGAAATTGGTGAAAATAATAGTTTTTGGCCTTAAAGGAATTTTACATCCATCCTAAAACTTGTTTCATAGGATCACAATTTTAATTTGTAAATTCCAGATTTGGGCCCTTTCTGTGTTGTCCAAATAACTGTTTTGAAAGTTGTTTAATTTGGTCCTTTCAGGAATTTGTGAACTCATTTGTCTGAATTTTCACAACTGGTATTTTGTCACTGGCTCCTAGTGTACTTATTTCACCTCTAAGACAAGAGTAGTTTAACACAAAGTATAGCTGTAGAGTTGGTGAATGTTAAGGAGGTATTGTTAGCATAAAGGTCCCTGGGTAGTGCAAACGGTTGGTTTGTGTGGGACTACTAACCCAAAGGTTGGCTGTTCAAATCCATCTAGCATCACCTTGAAAGAAAGGCCTGGCGATTTACTTCCATAAAGACTACAGCCAAGAAAATCCCACGAAGTTTAGTTTTAATCTGTAACACATGGGGTTGCCATGAGTTGGACGTGACCCAATAGCAATGGGTTTGGTTTTTTTGGTTTATTGTTAGCATGATGAGAAGTAAATGTATGTTACGAAAACTATATTCATGGAATTTGATTTAGTATGCTCAGTTTCCAACTCATTTTATCTATAATCTCTCTTTATGCAGAATAATTTAGAACCATATTTCCCTCAATGTAAACTACATTTTAGAATGTATTATCAGCTTTTGAATTTACTAACACCTCTTCAGCTAGATTTCCATGTCTACCAATAACCATAGGATTGGAGTCCAACCCCATCAGTGGTGATGGCATCACAGTTGAGTAAAATGGCTTTCTTGCTGTTCAGCTGTTACAGACTTATATTGTTAGGACATCTTAAAATGTCTCAACTTTTATAGGTTGTCAATAGATGCTACTTCTCACATAACAACTTTTGGGGCACTGAAATGCACCCAGAACTATCAATTATTTTTCCTTATACTTTTCTTTATACTTGCTTGAATTCAAGAATCCCGTCTAAAATACATAGGTACCTTTTCTGAAACTCCTTCACTTGCCTCAACCAAGTCAGAAATGAGGTAGGAGGGAAAACCTTTGAATAAGATGTGGGTAAGGGAGAGTGAAAGATCATTCTCTATGTAGACTTGAGCATTTTGTATATATTGTCACCAGTAAATCATAGGAAGTAGAAAATATAGTTAAAACATGTTGTTCTACAAATTGTTAACTTTTTAAAACTATAAAAATTGAGCGCTGTTACACTTAAGGAAAATGGGTACCACTGTTTTGAAAGTTTGTGCCATAAATGCAGCTGAACGAAATGTAAATTTTAGTTTACAAATTAATGCTGTCAAAGGAATGAGTAAAGTAGAAAATAACTTTTAGTCAAAGACAACATTTCTAAATTATATAGCATGATCGACTATGGTCATCTAGAATTTCTCTAGTTTTCATGTACAGAAGGTTATGTATTCTGGATGTTTGCTTTTTAAAAAGCAAACACTCTAAATGCCACAACTTAACGTTTTCTGTCAATCTCTAATGGACTAAGATTTTTCTTAATAATCTATTTTTTTAAATTTTATTTTGTTGTTATTGTTGAGAATACACCCAGCAAAACATACACCAATTCAACCATTTCTACATGTACAATTTAGTGACACTGATTACATTCTTCAAGTTGTGCAACCATTCTCACCCTCATTTTCTGAGTTGTTCCTCCCCCATTAACATAAACTCATTGCCCCCTAAGGTTCCTGTCTAATCCTTAAATTGCTGTTTTCAATTTGCTCCCATATAGATAGTTCTTAAAAGAGCATAATGCTCAAGGCAGACAGACGTTTTTTTTTACTAGTTAAGCTAAGCTATTGTTTGGTTTTAAGAAGACTTTAGGGGATATTTTTGGTTTAACTTTTAAAGATTATCTCAGGGCAATAGTTTCAGGGGTTGTCTTAGTTATTTAGTGCTGCTATAACAGAAATACCACAAGTGGATAGCTTTAACAAAGAGAAATTTATTTCTTCACAGTAAAGTAGGCTAAAAGCCAAATTCAGGTTGTCAGCTCCACCGGAAGGCTTTCTCTCTCTGTCGGCCTTCTCATCAGCGTTCCCCCGGACTAGGAGTTTCTCTGCACAGGGACCCCAGGCCCAAAGGACGTGCTCTGCTCTTGGCACTGCTTTCTTGGTAGTATGAGGTTCCCACTCTCTGCTTGCTTCCCTTTCCTTTTACCTCTTGTTAGATAAAAGGTGGCGCAGGCCACACCCCAGGGAAACTACAATGGATCAAGGATGTGACCTTAGTAAGGGTGTTACAATCCCTCCCTAATCCTCTTTAACATAAAATTACAATTACAAAATGGAGGACAACGACACAATACTGGGAATCATGGCCCAGCCAAATTGATACACACATTTTTGGGGGGACACAATTCAATCCATGATGGGGTTCATCCAGCCCCCTCAATAATCTCTTAAATTTCTTTAAAGTATATACTCACACAGCAGAGAAACTGGATTGTTCTGGAATATAAGAACGCTTCCATCTGAAATGCTGTCACAAGCACTTGGCGTTTATATTGTATATGGTATTCTTTTTTTTTTTTAATTGTACTTTAGATGAAGGTTTACAGAACAAACTAGCTTCTCGTTAAACAGTTAGTACACATTGTTTTATGACATTGGTTACCAACCCCACAACATGTCAACGCTCTCCCTTCTTGACCTTGGGTTCCCTATTACCAGTTTTCCTGTCCTCTCCTACTTTCTAGTCCTGTTGTAGGGGAAGAACATCAGAAAGTTTAGTAAAGCAAAAAGAAAGTTTTATTCAGCGTATATTCAAAGGGGCAAAAGTGGGAAAACAGACAAGCATGTTGCTAGAGCCCTGTCTGTCCAATTCCAAAGAATATTACAGAATAGGCAAGACTGGGAAAATGGATAAGCGTGCTGCCATAGCCATGTCTGCCCGAGTCCTTAAAATATCACAGAATAGGCAAGAGTGGGAAAACGGACAAGCATGCTGCCACAGCCATGTCTGCCCAGTGTCCAAAGACCATTACATAGTCATTGGTATATATTAACATTACAAATGGGCAAAACCATTGAAAGCTAGGCCTTTTCAGATTGGCTAGAAACTGTGATCCTACATTTTGAATTGTCTTTCTTAACAGTCATTGGTACAGGTTTCAGTAACGACAGTCAGGAGGGTCTTCATTGGTCCAACAAATTTCTATTCACTAAATGCTAACAGAAAAAGAGTAGAAAGTCTTTTGTGTTCTGTTTGATTGGCTTTATGTGAAAGTTTCCCTAAAAGATATTTTCCAGGAGTATCTTAGCTATTGTCTTTATACCTCAGGACCCAGTTGATGTGTCCTTGTGAGTCCTTGTGAGCCCAGCTCCAGCTGGGTCATATTCTCTATGCTCAAGGTCATGGAACAATCATTCCAAATATTATTTTCTAAATCAGTCCTTACCCCTGGGCTGGTGTGCTCATTTAGTCTCATTTTGTTTTATGGGCCTGTCTAATCTTTGGATGAAGAGTGAACCTCAGGAGTGACTTCATTACTGAGCTAAAATGGTGTCCAGGGGCCATACTCTCAGGGTTTCTCCAGTCTCTGTTAGGCCAGTAAGTCTGATCTTCTTTTGCTTTTTAATTGTACTTTAGATGAAGGTTTACAGAACAAATTGTTTCTCATTAAACAGTACACATACTGTTTTAGGACATTGGTTAACAACCTCACAACGTGTCAACGCTGTCCCTTCTCAACCTTATGTTCCTTATTACCAGTTTTCCTGTCCTCTCCTGCCTTCTAGTCCTTGTCCCCGGGCTATTGTGCCCCTTTAGTCTCGTTTTGTTTTATGGGGATGTCTAATCTTTGGCTGAACCGTGAACCTCGGGAGTGACTTCATTACTGAGCTAAAAGGGTGTTTGGGGACCATACTCTCGGGGTTTCTCCAGTCTCTGTTAGGCCAGTAAGTCTGATCTTTTTTTGTGAGTTAGAATTTTGTTCTACATTTTTTTCCAGCTCTATCCAGGACCCTCTGTTGTGATCCCTGAAGTCTGATCTTTTTTTGCGAGTTAGAATTTTGTTCTACATTTTTCTCCAGCTCTGTCTGGGACCCTCTATTGTGATCCCTGTCAGAGAAGTCAGTGGTGGCAGCCAGGCATCATCTAGCTGTACTGGACTCAGTCTGGTGGAGGCTGTGGTAGTTGTGGTCCATTAGTCCTTTGAATTAATCTTTCCCTTGTGTCTTTAGTTTTCTTCATTCTCCCTTGCTCCCAAAGGGGTGAGACCAGTAGACTATCTTAGATGGCCGCTCACAGGCTTTTATAAGACCCCAAACGCTACTCACCAAAGTAGAATATAGAACATTTTCTTTATAAACTGTGTTATGCCAATTGAGCTAGATGTTCCCTAAGACCACGGTCCCCACTGCCCTCAGCTTAGTAAATCGGTCCCTCAGGGAGTTTGGATGTGTCTATGGAGCTTCCATGACCTTGCCTTGTACAAGTTGTGCTGGCTTCCCTAGTATTGTGTACTGTCTTACCCTTCACCAAGTTACCACTTATCTATTGTCTGTTTAGTGTTTTCTATTCCCACCCCTTCCTGCCCTTATAACCCTTCACCAAGTTACTACTTATCTATTGTCTATTTAGTGTTTTTCCATTCCCACCCCTTCCCTCGAAGATTGTTTCTTTTTGTGTGTAAACCTTTTCATGAGTTTTTATAGTAGTGGTCATACAATATTTGTCCTTTTGTGATTGTGCATATGGTATTCTTATAAGTCATAGTGCACGATCTTATTCTATAAACTATTGAACTATGTATTTGACATGTAAAATATGTACAGCATTTATGTTAAAGAGAAATATTTGCACTTAGTCGCTAACTCACTCGGCTCACGATTTTCTCCAATGTTATTTAGCCAACAACTGCCTTTACGCAACCTGTAAAATCCCCAGGGAGCAAGTACATGAATATCATAAGTAAATGATTCCATGGAAAAATGCGTATTCTTATTAGCAACAAAATAAGCACAAATTAATCTAGGGGAAAAAAACAGTAAAAATTCAAACATACCAAAGTAGTTAGAGTATTTAAAAATACGTATATTGTGGCAGGCTGGTAACTTGGTTGCCTCATTCTGAAAACAGATCTTTAAATGAATCTTCAGACTGCACACTGAGGAACATGGAGATTTGGAATACTTTTAATCAGCAAGAGAGCAATGAAATCGTAGCCCAGCAGCAGTGAGGGCCAGGTTGAAACGGGATAGAGTAGAGTTGTAATTACAGGTGAAGTGGATTGGTTTGTGGGAGGCAGGAGGGTGTAGAGGGAAGTAAAAGGCACTTGCTCATTTTTTATTGAAGCCATTAGACACACCTCAAAAGATCTTTGAGCACCCGGAAACCTACAACCTGACACCAGGTTTCCAACTTCTCATTCCCATGTCCTTCCTTTCACAACACTCCTCACGGTGGCACACATTGATGCCCCACCCGTCATTCCCCCACATTGATTCTTCTAGTCATGCAGAATCAAGGCTGAGGCTCTCTGTCAGGACCTACCCTACCCTACGCCGAGTTCCATCGGCACTCCCCTTTCTGTGCCACCAGTGGGAGTGAGGAGGAGGCCCGGCAGAGAACTTTGAGACACACAGTGCAACCCTGGGCTGTGTGACAAGGCCCGACTCTAGTGAGCTCATGAAGCTGACCTTGGTGCAAAGTCCATCCCCAGTCCTGGTAACAATGGGTTCATGGCTTTGGGACAGCTAGGACTTCAGACTGGTACACTACAGGGTGGTATACTTTCTAGTTGGGCTTTGGGTCAAAAATAATAACAACCACAACAATAACAATTTTTAATACTCAATAATTCCACTTTGGGTTATACACTGTATGGTAGGCAGAATAATATACTAATAACTCTTCACCCCATACAAAATGCTGCCCTAGCCGTTGTCTGATTTGATCATGAGCCTCACCTTCCTAGACTTGCCTTAGAATGGACTCAAATCCCTAGAACACTTCTAAATCTGGGTGATTTAGACCTCAAACCACCATCATTTCTGCAGACTAGACTAAATGCCACCTGGGCCTCATCAGGAGCCTGGTGACGCACAAGTAGGTGGTGAAGCAGATTTCAAACCCAGGTTTGCTTGACTCCAGAGCCCACACTCATGTTACTCCTGTGCATGCTAGAGGGAGTTTTTCTGGGCCAGTGACCTGGAAGAAGGTAGAGAGTTTTGTAAAATGTCCCTTAGGGATCCAGAATAGAAGTATGCTACTAACTCTGTGGTTTCTGGGACACTTCCTGCTAAGTGACAGAGTAGGATGAGGTGTTGAGGATGTCCATGTGCTGTTTACACACACAGGGAGGCAGGCTTGCAGAAAGGCTGTTTAGGTTTTTTTTTGTTGTTGTTAATATGTGTTTTGTTTTCTATAAAGAGTATCCTCTTTCTGACATGCACTTTCTTTCCAAAGCTTAGAACAGCATATGTTCTTTTGAAGAGGGTAAAGGTTTCAGCAAGAAAGATTTTTGGCTGCCCTGCCTGCCCCTTTGCAGTTCAAATATCCTTCAAAACAACTGCATCTATTTTTTTTTTTTGCCTTTGCTAAAAATCAACGGTGAATTTGAGGTAAGGAGCAAAAAACAAAACAAAAAGCTCAGTACCAGGTCATCTGAAAATATTTTGTTTGCTTGTTTAAGCACTGCTGTAGTGAAAATAAATCTGTACAAATTTCCATGATTAAGATGCAGCTAATAAAGACCAAAAGTTCAGAGATTAAATATTATTATGTTAGAGGAGTTGCTTCTGGTGGATTCTGAGCTGTTTTTAAAAACCAAGAATGTATTAGGGAAGCAATTAACAATACTGGTTAACAAAGTTCCTGTAGAAGATAACCAGAGACTGGAGTTTATTATGGAACTCTGCCTGTATGGAGAAGAAATAGCCCAAAGAGAGAAGAAACCATCTCTGCAGACAAATTAAATTCTAGTGGGTGTTCATGTGCAGAGGCAGACAGCAGTACCTTAAATCTAATATCTGCTATGATGGGGATCAAAGACCTTTTCCATAAATGTAGCGATGTTGAACAATATAATTCCACCGTCTGAAATCTTATTATATATGTTCTTGTTTGGTTACTTTTTTTTTAATGACTTTTTTTGGTAGGTGATAAAATTTAAATCTGATGAAATGTTCCTCTTAAGTGTACATTGAACAAATGCAAACAACTGTCAAGACATAAAACATTGCTTTTACCGCAGAGGCAACTGCTGTTCTGACGCAGATTACTACATTAATTTTGCCTATTCTGGGACATCGTGTAAATGGGATCATACAGTATGTATTTTTTTGTGTAAGGCTTCTTTAACTCCACATAATGTTTTTCAGATTCATCCATGTTGCATGTATCGGTAGTCCATTCCTTTTTTATTGCTGAGTAGTATTCCATATGAGTATTCTATAGTTTTGTTTTGTTTTTAATCTCTTTTCCTACTGATGAACACTTAACTCTTTCCAGTTTTGGGCAGAATACAGTTAAGAATATTCTCAGGCAAATCTTTGTGCGGACACACGTTTTCATCTCTCTTGGGTAAATGCCTATGACTGGAATTGCTGGGTCAGAGGGGAGGTATAGGCTTCGTTTTATAGGGTATTGCCAGGCTTTCTTCCAGGATGGTTGTACTACTTTACACCTCCACCATCAATGGATCAGAGCACATCTTTGCTGCCTTAGTCGTTAACAATGGCAACTCGTTTGGGTTTTCATTTGCATTTCTCTGATTAAATGACATTGAACATTTCTTCATGTGCTTACTGGCTATTTTATATCTTCCTCCGTGAAATGGCTGTTCAACTCCTTTGCCCATTTTAAAAAAACTGTTTTTTTTTTTCTTATTGAGTTGTAGGTATGCTTTATCTATCTTCATGCACTGTACAGATACTAGTCCTTTGTCAGATCTGTGTATAAGACCCTCCCCTTCCTTAGGGGCGTGGGGCCCCAGATACTTGATCTTTTGGTCTGTCTCTTCCCCCTAAAATGATGCCAGGGATTCTGCTTTGTTTACAACCCAGCACCTAAGACAGCTCCTGGCATGTAGTAGGAGCTCAACAAACATTTATTGAAATAATCAATGAATGAACAGATGAACTGATTTGTGGACCAGATACAATATTCTTGAATTGAATGGCATTAATTAAGAAGTAAATAGGAAAAGAAAAACAAAGCAAATTTAAGTATTATCCTTGGACTATAAAGTACACTTGGTACAAAGAATGCAGTTTATCTTCAGGGAATTTGTTCACTCGCGGGAGACACTACCATTCTATCTCACGGACTAGCTGAACTTGTCCCCATTTATGGACTCTCTAGTGCAAGTCACCACTGCTGTCTAACCTGCCGCATTCTGAGATTGTATCCTTCCCCTTCCAAGTCTTGGGTTCTGACCAGGCTTGCTTGCTGAATGATCAGAACACCTAGTTTTGGAGCCTTGAAAACCCCATAGAGTGCAGTTCTACACAGCACACATGGGGTGGCATGAGTCAGAATCGACTCCACGGCAACCAACAACAACAAAGGTAACTTAACCCAGCTGATCCGACTGTACCCTCAACCACCTCCCTCCTGTCCCCCTCCCGCACTGATGATGCCTGGTCCCCCGACTGGCCCCTTTGCTGGGCTCTGCCGGACGCTATCTGTGCCTCACTAGCAGGCCCCCTCTGCTGATGTGCACTGCCTTTCTGAGCTTCCAAGGTTGGCCCAAGGCTTCTTCTTCCTTGTTCCTGAAACCATTTACCTGCTACTGATCTGGCTGGTTCCAGCCTCTCCCGTTGGATTTACAGGGAATAATTGTCATCAAGAGCCCTGGTGGCACAGGGGTTAAGAGTTTGGCTACTAACTGAAAGGTCTGCAGTTCGAATCCACCAGCCGCTCCTTGGAAACCCTATGGGGCAGTTCTGCTCTGTCCTACAGGGTTGCTATGAGTTGGAATGGACTTGATGACACCGGTTTTGGTTTAATAGTCGTCAGCATCCACATTTGTAGCGAACTTTGCCATTTACAAAGTCAGAATTGACTCCACGGCAACAGGATTTTTTTTTTGTTTGCATAGCCATTATCTCATTTGAGCCCCCAGACAGCTCTAGTTGTACCCTCCATCTGGTTTTTTTTTTTCCCCCAAACCAAAAAGAAAAAAAGCCAAACCCTTTACTGTCAAGTCTATTCCAACTCATAGCAATCCTATAGGACAGTGTAGAACTGCCCCATAGAGTTTCATGGAGCAGCTAGTGGCTTTGAACTGCCGACCTTTTGGTTAGCTGCCAAGGTCTTAACCACTTGATTTGCTCCAAAATAAATGTTGCCCACATAAGGCCCAGAGTTTTCCAAGACTCTCTGGGTCTTGTTCTGCCAATATCGGTGCTTTCTTAGTGCCTTTTCTCCCAAGAGGCTCTGTAGATTTTTCCAGTTCAGAAACCTGGATTACAGCTGTCATTAGGAATTCAATTTCCATACCCAAGGCATGTGTGGGTAATGCCTAACTTTTTAATTTAGCCACCATTATGGGGTTTTTTTCCCGCTCTTGGATCACATTATATATATATACAAATATATGTGTGTGTGTATATAAAGGTCCACCAAACCTGTACTTATTGACTCACTTTCTCATCTTTATGCATCATATATGTACCTTCCAGCCAGAGTTTTGGATCAGGATCAGATAATCTGCGTGACCTCACTAGGTTGATTTTACTAATGCCAAAATAAAGGCATGTGATGTTTGAGTTAGCCTCCAAGCCAATAACTGGTACATTTTCATTTCTACTGGGCTTTTTGAAAGATTGAATGTTCACACACTGACCCTTGGGAGAGTGGGGCAGAGTTCAGTTCTTGTGAAGAAGTAGCCCCATACCTCCACTTAGGAACTAGGCTTTCTGCACCACTGATGTCTGAGTGGGAGGGAAAGAGATGTTACTGACTTTAACCCTCTACCACTGTGACCTGGGCCTCCCCATCTCTATGGAGAATGTGGCTGAACTAGCCCTACCCTAGTATTTCCTGTAAGACCTTGGGGCAGAACATGCATTTCTAGGAACAAAGACATTCCCCACACCATCGGGGGATTACCCAAAGGTAGACATTTTAAAATGTCACGGAGCCAGAACTATTACAGAGTATCAAAAAATTATCTAACTTGAATTACGCTTTCAGAGGATCATGGTTGCTATTCTAAAGACAATGTCTGCTTCTAAATTAGTACAATTAATAAATGTTACTCTGCATGCCAGTTATAGAAAAGGAGTTACATTTAGGGAAGGCTGTTAGTGTAATTTGTTATTAAATTATAATTGTATAGGTTATTTATAAATTGTGCTATATGGACAAATGGAATATTATGTAATACTTTAAAATTAATTACTATGTAAAAACAAAAATTCTTATGAGTAACATCAAGTGAAAGAAGCAGAATGCATAGAGTTGGGCTGTATACTCACGACTATGAAAAATATATACATGTGGATAACATGCTTAGGGTAGTCTGCAGAAATGGAAAATAAATGTATTAGGAAGAGCAAAGGTGAGTCTTCCATTTTCAAAATGTCTTCCATGTAAGTGGTCACATATTATCAGCTTTGCAATATAAAAGGCTAAAATGGATTTATATTGTTCCAGTGAAGAATACGTATTTTATTAATCAAGTATTGTGCTTTGTCTTGTCGTGTTCTGTAGGAGAGCCAGAAGAAATCCACTAATGTAGTCTATCAGGCCCACCACGTGAGCAGGAATAAGAGAGGGCAGGTGGTTGGAAAAAGGGGCGGATTCCGAGGATGTACTGTATGGCTAACAGGTATGCCATGTTTTTTATATGCATATATCTTTTTTTTTTTTTTAATGGAAAGTTAATATGTAAAGTAGGTCACACAATTCTAAGGAAAGTACGTGTTTATTTTTACATTAGAATGAGGCTGGGAGCTGTAGTAGAAAGCCTGGGTTTTAGACCTAACTCTACCACCAGTGAGAATTAAGACTGATCAAGCCACAGAATGTCTAGTCCTCAGTTTTCTCTCTTTGGCATGAGAGGATGGGACAAGCTGATTGTGACATTCCTTTTCAGGTCTAAGGAGTTCCATAATTCTCATGTTCCTGCCTAAACACATTTATTGGCAGTTATAAATGGGGCTTTCCTAATTTGACATTGAGCATTTGGCTGTCCATAGGGTTTTGGATGTTTAGAGATATTCTTTATAGTGTTCTGATATTTTAACATTCCAGGGGACTATTTCACTTAGTGTAAAAAACATAAGAATCTGTGCAAGAAGGAAAATTAATGATTTCCATTTGGCTGATGATTGCCGCTTGTATATAGAAATAGCTTGTTCCCACTGAGGTGACCAAATGAATCTCCATTTTGTTGTGTTCTTATAGCCACAGAATGTCAAAGCTAAGGGTTAGTGACAGAACTGGAGTTAGAACCTAAGACTTTCTTGAATTCTGAGTACAATGTGGAGGGATTTCCCTGGGAACATGAGTCTGACATAGCCTTGACTCAAAAGGGAAAACCAAGTTCATTTCACAGACATGACATTTCAAGTGGAAATGAGCCTAGATGCAAATAGATGTTTATCTGCTTATGCAATCTGCTCACAAATGCTGATTTGAAGATAAATTAGATATCTTCTAACTTGAAGATAATTCTAAACAATGTGGCAGGCAGGGACCTGCCCTGCATCTTTCCTTGCTATTCTGAGTCTTTCCCTTTCCTACCCAAATCAGCCTCATTCCTTTTATCTTTCTCATGGTTCTGGAGGCTATAAGTCCAAATCCTTCCTTTTGGTAGCCCTGGGCAGTCCTTGGTTCCTTGGCTTGTAGATGGTCCTCACATGGTATCTTGTCACCCCAGCTTGTGCCTGCCTCTGGGTCTGATCTGCTCTTTTATAACTCAGAAGGGATTAGGTATAGGACACATCCTATACTGATAATGGCCTCATTAACATAACAAAGAAAACCCTTTTTCCAAACAAGATTACATCCAAAGCTATAAGGGTTAGGATTCTAACACATATTTTAGGAGGACACAATTCATAACACCTTCGTTAGATTTAGTATCTGTGGTACTTGCCTTTGGATTCCTGGTTTCATTCATCCCTGGGACTTTGCATCAAACCAATATTCTCCAGCCAGAAAGAGGACAGAGAGGGGTCAAGGGACCCATGACCTTCAAAGAGGCAGTGTTTACTAGTCATTGTTCCTGAAATGTTTACCCCAGCTCACTCTGAGAGACATGATTTGTACCAGTAGATAAAACACAGCTGTATTCAAGAAGCTTCCCTCTTGGTATGTGTTTGCCTTCATGAGGTGTTTACTGGTGAAAACAACTTTTGTACTGAGACATACACACGGACGCCATTTTCTCTAATGTGGAACACCCTTGAAAAGAAAAAGAGAACTTAGAGAAGGGAAAATAATCGCCTGTTTTTTCTTACTCTTAAAAAAAAAAAATCAAAAGAGAATCTTTTCTTCTTTTCTTTTTTTAAATTCTTAAGTTACAGAGGTAGGATATTAACCAGGCAGACCAGAAGAAATTGAATACTACCAATCCAGAGACTTGGATTTGAGTCCCAGCTCCACCTACATTAACCGTGTGACTTTGGGCAAGCCAATATACCTCTATAAGCCTCAGTTTCTTTATTTGTAAAATGAGAATAAAGAGAGTACCTGCCTTATAGGATTGTAGGTAGGACTAAATGAAATAAAGCATAAATGCACTTAGCACAGTGCTGGCCCAGAGTAAAGTTCTCAGTAAATGTAATTAGTGTTACCCAATGTATAAAAATAAATGTGCCAACAATCCAGTTTAATGTGATTCAGCTCTTAGTTTCCTGAGAGCTGTAGTAAAATTGAAGGAAAGGCTCTCTCTCTCATTTTCTGATACACGAGAGCATACACAAGAGCTTCACAAGCCCATTTCCCCTTTCCCACAATTCGACATAAATTCTAAGAGGACTTTATCACCTAAATCTTTATTCAAATGAAATTGAATAACATAAGAACATGAAAACAATGTCTTCAAGGGTGACTTAGCGAAGATTGCCTGCTGACACATTCTTCATGTGGCCTTTTCTTTAATGATCCTCTGTCAAGGCCAAGAGCATGACTTTAAATTAAAGCGTAACTGAAAATATGGAAACTATTTGTTTTCTTTTTGCATATCATCCCTCCCACACACACAGGTCTTCTTTCCTCTCTGTCCTTCATCCCTGTCTTTCTCTTACTTTTTCCATCTTTGCTCTCTTTCCTCCCTCCTGTCTTCTCTGGCCGCCTTTCTCCCCGCCATTTCCTTTCTCATGCTCTGGTGCTGTCTTGATAGTGGTTTTGCATGAGGAATAGTCTTCAGAGTCAGAGATCTTTAGGAGTGCTAGTTTTCCAGGGTAATTCAGATTTTTCAGTTCTTAAGTCATTCTGGCAGGTTGCATGCGCTCTCCCTCATATAGAAATTGCAGCGTGTGTTCCCAATTATTTTACTCTGAAACCATGGTGAAAGGCACAACTCTGTTCTCATAGAAAGACTCTAAATACCTAAGAGTGTGTGACAGGTCTAAAGGCATCCTCAGCCTAGCTCAGGATGGCCCCTTGGCTTCATCTTTTGAGAGACCTTTTGAAAAAATCTTGAAGCCAAAAGAACAGAACGTGGGCTCTGTTGTCAAATGGTTGATGGGATACACAAGGGCAGCAGGCCTGCCAGTCCATAGGGGCTGCCTGTCCGCCTCTGCTCCAGCTGAGTGTTGCCATGAGGGGATATGAGACCACTATCTCCAGATCTTACGATCTTCCAAGAGAAGCCAGAGTCTGCATTCTTATGCAAAACTTTATAATTTTGATGTCTTTTTTTTTTTTTTAATTCTTACTTTAGATGAAGGTTTACAGAACAAGTAGTTTCTTACTAAACAGTTAGTACACATATTGTTTTATGACATTGGTTAACAACCCCACGATATGTCAACACTCTCCCCTTCTCCACCTTGGGTTCCTTATTACCAGCTTTCCCGTCCCCTCCTACCTTCTAGTCCTTGTCCCTGGACTGTTGTGCCCCATTAGTCTCATTTTGTTTTATGGGGCCATCTAATCTTTAGCTGAAGGGTGAACCTTGGGAGTGACTTCATTACTGAGCTAAAAGGTGTCCAGGGAGTAACTTTATAATTTTTAAAACACTGCAGGTACTCATTGCTTAGGACACACCAAGCTTCTATTAAGCATGATGGAAAAATTTGGAAATGGATAGTGGTGATGATCAAACAACATGATGAATGTAATTAATGTCACTGAATTGTACATATAAAAAATGTTGAAATGACAAATGTTTTGTTACATATATACTTAGCACACATGAAAAAAATTTTTAATTAAAAAAAAAAACAACAGCACTACAGGCAAAACAGAACTCACCGAGGACCATAGTTAGCCCCCAGGTTTCCCTATTTATGTTCCTTGTTTGCTTCAAAAGGCTATAATCCTAACAGGAGACAAATAGTTACTTCAGAATTTGAAAGAGATGCAAGGAATTGGCTTGTAGTTAATTATGGTTTTTCTAGATTTCAGTGGTTTTGATTTGGCTAACAAGGGATTGTTGTTGCTGGCTGCCGTCCAGTCAATTCTGTAGAACTGTTCCATGAGTCCCTGGTGGTGCAAATGTTAAGTACTTGACTACTAGTCAAAGGGTTAGTAGTTCGAATCCACCCAGTGGTGCCTTGGGAGACAGTCTTGGTGATCTGCTTCCAAAAGGTTATAGCCTTGAAAACCCTTTGTGGGGGGAGGGTTCTACTCTGCACACATGGGTTCCAACGATGGCAACGAACGACAACAACAACAAATAAAGGATTATTTACAGTTAACAAGTGCTGGATCAGGTCACAGTTTCTCGTCTTAAACAGTCAGGGATAATATCAGTCTGTCTTGCCTTTTCTGAACAGGTCTCTCCGGTGCGGGAAAAACAACAATAAGTTTTGCTCTGGAAGAGTACCTCGTCTCTCATGCCATCCCTTGTTACTCCCTGGATGGGGACAATGTCCGTCAAGGCCTGAACAAAAACCTCGGATTCTCTCCTGGGGACAGAGAAGAAAATATCCGCCGGATTGCCGAGGTGGCCAAGCTGTTTGCTGACGCTGGTCTGATCTGCATCACCAGCTTCATCTCTCCTTTCACAAAGGTAAAATGATTTGGCGCTACCCAGCACGCACAGCGTGAGTACTCTCAAACTGCCAGGAAAAGGAGGCAGGTGGAGGGAACCGTGCAAAGGAACCTTATACTTTCAATATCCCCCACTGTTTCTTCCTTTTCTCACTCGCTCCCTCATTTCCTCTATTTCATATTGGTTATACAAAACGAGTTCCTCATTTCCAGATGCCAGGGCATAAACATTTACACATTCACAATTATAAAGAGCATCTGGCCAGAGTTGAAAGGAATAAAAAGTTAAACAAGAACCACGCAACAGCTCCATGGTTTCAGATCTTTGTAGAAGCAGAATGTTTAGCTCTGGAAAGAAAAGAACAGTTCACAGCCGAAGTGTCAGGTTATGTGTGTTTTCATGGCGAAGTCACTAAGGTGGAGTGTCACTATTCTTTTAAAACAGGAACTTTCTGGGAGCTACAAGTAATACATTATACGCTTTGAACATGTTCCTCAAATACAATGCTCGGAGAGAGCTGTGTTTACAAAAGCAAGATTTCTCAACTTTCTCTGAAGGACGAGGATCCCACGGCCTCTACAGAGAAAAACCCCAAGTTTTGTCTTAAGGCTACTGAATACTAGAGCACACAGCAGTTTGTGTTGATGAATTTGCTGTGAGACGTCGTCTTACATTTTAAACATCTTTTTCCAGGATCGTGAGAATGCCCGAAAAATCCACGAATCAGCAGGACTGCCATTCTTTGAAATATTTGTAGATGCGCCTCTAAACATTTGCGAAAGCAGAGACGTGAAAGGCCTCTACAAACGGGCCCGAGCTGGGGAGATTAAAGGTATGAGAACCAGCTGACAGTGCCTTCACCAGTCACTTAGGCTACCGATTCTTCCTTCTTCTGTCCCCAGAAATCTGTTCGAAGTTTCAAATGGTATTTTTCAAAATTGCATAAAAATTTCAAAAGCTGTTTTCCAAAATTACTTATAGCATACACAGATTTTTATTGAATCATAATGCACTCAATACATCCATGGGCTTATTAAAATGTGGGTTCTTGTTTTTAAAGAACTGTCACCATCTCAGCCATAAGCAATAAAGTTCAGAGAACTGAAATGATGTGAGCGTGCATAGGGGCGTGTTTCAGAGTCTTTCCTTCTTGTCTTCCTTTTCAATTCTAATAGCTGTAGAGGGTTTGCACTTAGCTAACCAGATTTTCTTAGTAATGTGGGGGTTTTCCATACTGAAAATATAGCTGTGTATTTTCTTACCTTTGGCTAGAGGTCAAGGACAGTTGTTTGACCTTTTCTGTTATAATCTGAATTCTCAGTTTAACAGATGATTTCAACATGTGTTATGCTTTACTGGTTAAAAAGATTGTTCTGCCCCTTTGCTTTGGTGCATCCCTCAAAGCAGGATGGGTCATTAGCAGCACTACTGGAGCCACCCACAACAATTTGGCCAGGGTTCCTGCTCTTGCCACATGTACTCAAACTGGCACGGTCTGATCTGGAAATACGGCCTCACAATGTGCCCTCAGTGTTTCAGTCAGTGTGCAGACGATACAGGTTTCATCAAGTTGGACTAAAGGAGCCCTGGCACAAATAGTTAAGTGCTTGGCTGCTAACCGAACAGCTGGTGGTTCGAACCCACCCAGCCGCTTCATGGGAGGAAGACCTGATGATCTGCTTCTGTAAAGATTATAGCCAAGAAAACCCTATGGGGCAGTTCTACTCTGTCACATGGAGTCCGATTCGACTCGAAGGCACCCAACAACAAGTTGGACTAAGTGATCATCCTTGAATACATTATCTAAGACATCTACCCAACAAAAGAAACAATGCAAACTCTTTGTACATAAAATAAAAAATCTTCAATTAAAAAAAAAAAAAAAGGATTGTCCTGTCTGAGCACATGAGATTTTCACTCTTATTCCTTGCAGGGTTTACTGGTATTGATTCTGATTATGAGAAACCTGAAACTCCAGAGTGTGTGCTTAAAACCAGTGTGTCCTCAGTGAGTGACTGTATCCAGCAAGTGGTGGAACTTCTGCAGGAGCAGGTGGGTGGGGTTGTCTTTTTCTTTTTCTTTTTAAATTTAATAAAGTGATGATAGATAATCTATTTACTGAAGCATTCTTTTTAGAGTTTTCACTTCAAATTGTTACCATTTATAATTCATTTCAGAACATTGTACCGCACACTACAATCAAAGGCATCCATGAACTCTTTGTGCCGGAAAACAAACTTGACCAAGTTCGAGCTGAGGCTGAGACTCTCCCTTCATTATCAATTACTAAGGTAAAACGGTGCAGACTGGCCAAAAGAGAATTAAGCTATATATTGATCACTACAATCCATCTGGGAGTCCCTGGGTGGTGCAAACAGTTAATGCACTCGGCTACTAACCGAAAGGTTGGAAGTTTGAGTCCATCCAGAGGTGCCACAGAAGAAAGACGTGGTGATCTACTTCTAGAAAAATCAGCCACTGAAAACCTTAGGAAGCAGTTCTACTCTGACACACATGGGATCGCCATGAGTCAGAGTCAACTTGACGGTGACTGGTTTGGTTTGATTTTTACAATGCATTTACAAGTATCCTTAATAATAAAGAAGGTATCAATAAAGAAAACACAATGTCTATAAGGAAAACACTTCACTTTTGCCTTTTTTTTTTTTTTTAACCTCTTTTCCAATCAAATCCCTCACAAACAGTTGCCACAAGGGCAGCTGGTCAGTGCCATGTACAGAGGCAGACTGGGAAAGAAATTTCTGTATAATTGTACATAACTGTCATTACACCTTTGGTTATCCAAAGTGCAGGCATCAGGCAGTAATTATTTGTTGGCAGCAGCTGAGGATACAGTTTGTACAGAATGTGAGTGCTTCTGGGCAATTGAGAAGGAATTTGAAGTAAACGAAAAGTAACCCTGACCTAAAGAGATATGAATGCCTGAATCTTTTTCTACTTTGCAAATACTCACTCTTTCCTCATCAAGGAGAGTCCAGCCTGAGGAGAGGGAGAGACAGCCTTGTTGCATTGATTTTACTACCTTGAGTATGTGGGACCAACTGCCCCGTACACGCGCTGATCTTTTTATGGTTAGTGTTAGTTGGTCCATACAAGGTGAACAAGCCTTTGTTAGTATCTTTTCACTATCCATTAAAACCTTGGGGAGTTTTGTAAGAGGCAGAGCAAATAGGGAACCTGCTTCAGCTCTTGAAGACTCCATACTCTAATAAGTCATGGGATATTTATAAACAGAACCCCCTGACTCCGTAAAATAAATCCTGAGTGCCCCAGTGCTCCAGGCAAATGGGTAAACACATAATTATAATGGTCTACAAGGTATAGAAGAACTACAAATAATCTAGTGATTCATTCTCTTGGTTGTAGAGATGACAGGAAAGGCTTCAGAGCAGTGACCCATGAGCTGGGTTTTAAAGGATGAATAGGAGTTTGCAGGTGGGAAGAAAGATGGGTACAACACAGGCCTGTGTGAACAGGCCCCCAGGTAGGGAGTGGGAGCAGATAGCAGTCCTTACATGGGCCCCAGGGGTGAGAGCTTGCAGGGCTTTTTAGTATCATGCTAAAAATTTTGAACTTTTATCTTAAAGGCAATGCTTGACCAATTCAATCAAGTAACCAGTGTATTTGGTGAAAAGAATATACCCAAACCAGAATTTTTATGGGAAAAAAAAAAAAAAAACAATGAATTTTCCACTCAGTTGCAAGGGACAGATATAGCCTAAAGTATTCAAATAAATCATCTCAATTTGAAATCTTTTTATCACTCTCCCCTAGGAGGGTTTCAGACTCAAACCTATCTGGCCCTTGGATCATGAGTCAGCATAACATTTGGAACACTTAAAACACACAATGTTCTGCCTTTATTCTCTTATCAGCTGATTAAGAAAGGACTGCCCCGAGCCAGATGGCTGAGAAGCAGAACTTATGGAAATATTCACCTGCTTTTCCTGTTTTGCAGGTGGATCTCCAGTGGGTCCAAGTTTTGAGTGAAGGCTGGGCTACTCCCCTGAAAGGTTTTATGCGGGAGAGGGAATACTTGCAGGTTCTACACTTTGACACCCTGCTAGATGGTATGATTTCTTATGTTTCTTACTCTTTATTATTAAAGGAAAACAAATCTTTCCCAGAAGTCTGCACAGAAACAAGAAATGTTAATATATGGTACATAAATCTTATTGTGAAAATAGTGTGTCCAATTCTATTATACATAAGCTCCATTTTTAGGATTTTTGGTTATTCTCAAAGGATTATTGATTATTTAAAATCTAAGAAATGAAAAATGATGGTTTTTCTTGCATACAAAACCAAGAGACATTTAAGTCCGTTTTACCTCCGCCTGCCCTTTGCTGGCCCTGATGTTCATAAGATAGCAGACAGTTAGAAGCACTCTTGCTGGCCTTCAGGGACCATCCTGGGACAGCCAGGATTGGTGAGCTCAGCACACCCATGGTGCCTTCCACCCTCCAGGTACCTCTGTCAGAGATTATTATTGCAGCAACTGCTTCCTTCGGTGGATGCTGAAATGTCAGTATTCATGCCTATACATGAAATATATTAGGTTGGCTTCATCCACTAAGTTCTAACAGGGGTGCATTGAGGGAGCTTTCTAGGCACAAACTGAATGGCTTTTAGAGAACTGACCTGGTCGAGGTCGGAAGCATGTGTTATTCAGAAAACTTCCAGACCCTCCTATAATCATTTCCTTTCTAGAACTGCCTGAGGTTCTCAAATGGAACTTGTCTATTTCAAGACTTTGGGGACTGTCTGCTAAGGGGGTAGGGGTGGTAGTGGAGTCATACTGAATTTGTAATATTGAAAAGGGCTCCAACCTTTTAGGAAGAAAATCAGACGTTCTTTCTTGGAAAAGATGTTTCTGTTCTGGCTTTGTGCCTCTGCCTGGAAAATGGAGCATAAAGCCAGAATCAGAACTCAAAGACTGATAAAAATGGGCCCTCTTCCCATATTCCACTGCTGTAATTGATAATGTCCCACACCTTGAAACTTACATTTCTCAGATTAAATAGCATTCCAAAAAGACTCTTGGTTTACTCATAGCTTGCTTAACAATAGTAATAACTCATATCTATACAGTACTTCCCTGTGTGTACAGCATCGTCTCAGGCATTACTCATTTGATCTTCACAAATGTATGTATGCATGTATTCCATGTATGTAGGTATTCTGGAATACATACGTATTCCAGAGCATTTTGTTTCTATACCTTCTCCCAAAGCCTGGTTTGGAAACCATCTGACAGTGGTCATAACATCACATGTTTACAAGGGACAACTTCTTGCTGAAGCTGGAGGGCTATTGACATAATTACTTAAAAACTAATAATCATCTGAATGATGTTTTTGGGTTGTATTGAACAATAGTCAAAAACATTCTGATTTCACCAGCTTTTTGCTGTCATAGATCCTGTATTTTTAAAACTAGTAGTAGCAAAGAGCTCAATATATTTGTATATGCATATAGTTTCATAATAGGAATTTGTTCCATGACATTGTTGCTTTAAGATTATTTTGGTGGAGAGCTGAAAACATGTTTCTTAATTGTGTTTGTATTTCTCTAGGCATGGTCCTTCCTGGTACGTACTTTAACAACTTTCCAAGTAGTTATATTATTATAATTAGATATGTCACATTAATTAGAAATGGTTAAGAGTGTAACTAAAAACAATCTAAATTAACCCCCTGGAATTGGTATCAGTTCATGATCCAACCAGTTAGAATACTACATTTTTCTGTTGATTGGATTCCAAATAGCGGGAAATATCTGGATCAGATGCAGCTGTTGTTTATAATGTTGTATTTGGCTGACAAACGTAAACTTGCTTCTGAATTACTGTGCACATTTTGCTCCTGAGGTTTTCTAAACTTATAATCCTCTCCACTAACTACTTCCACTGAGTTGTGGTCCTTTTCACAAATCTGGAATTTTTTTTTCTCTGTCGAGTTTATAATTGGCATAGTAGATAAGTGCTAACCATAAAGGTCGGCAGTTCGAGTCCACCAGGTGCTCCTTGGAAATTCTATGTGGCAGTTCTACTCTGTCCTATTGGGTCGCTATGAGTTGGAGGTGACTCAACAGCAATGGATTTATCGAGTTTATAAAACATTTTTAATTGATTAAACATAAATCAATTTTAGATGGAGTTTAAAGTGGATGCACCTGGTGGGATTGTGCATGATTGTACTTCATTTGTTTGCAGTGTGTGATTATGCATGAATTTAATTTCAAGCTATCATAATCGATAGTTAAAGAACTGGGAATAAATGCATATTTGCTGTGACTGTAAAATTATGCATTGTACTAGGATGAAAAGGTAAAGTTCTGAAGATAGCATTAATCTTTGGTATTGTTTTCATTATTATTTTCCCTTGATTAAAAAGCTAGTTAAGCAATAAAAAGTAGTTTATTTTTTGCATAGTCACAGTTCCAGACAACAGATAAGCAGATCAACAAGGCTAAAACAAAAAGCTTGAAAATTATTTAAAACAAAAGCAAATGTATTTAACTGAACAGGAAGTTATCTGTTGAACTTACCATGGCTAAAACAACACAATACCGTACTCTTTTCCAAAGTGAGATATGCCACAATAAAATAACCAAGGTGGTTCCCACGAGAGCAGAAGCAGAAAACCTGATGCCCAAATCAGTAGTTAAAGCCTTGAAGGTTTCAAGGCTGAATTAACTGGTTGGATAAGTTTGTGTACTAGAAGGGTTGATGAAGATGATAGGGAACCACCATAAATCTGTTTCTCCCTGTGTGGAGTTACAGCTATAGGTGTATAAGGTCAGCTGGCATTAGGACTCGGTAGAACGCCTTTTCATAACATCTCACAGATTAGCTCCTTTATTGTAACGACCTGTCAGGCAGGGAGTGTAGTTTCCTCATTTTAGATTTTCACTCAAGGCCAAGATGAAGGTGGATCACAGACTACACTGGGCAAGACCCTAGTGGACCGAAGGAGTCGATTGCAACAGGAAAGTGAAGTATTCCTTGGATTGCAACCTGGAATAATGGATGAATGACAGCACTGCAGGCATGCTGCAGGCAGGGCTAGGCTTCCTCCAGCACCTCGCCCCGTGTTTTGCTTTGCATTTTGTTTTACTTTATTTTGGTCAAGTCACTCTTCATAAGTGGCATCAAATAGCGTGTTCTTTCTTTCAGCAGTGTGGTCAGTAAGCAGTCCACAGAAAGCATGATTTCTAATTAGAACATCAGCATCCATGAAGGTGCTAGTCTTTGTTAGCCTCTCTCCCTTTTCCTCAGTTAGACTATGGAGTGGATTTGATTATCTTTAATCATAAACCAAGGAGCCCTGGTGGTGCAGTGGTTAAGCTCTTGGCTACTAACTGATGAAAGGTTGGCAATTTGGATCCACCCAGCGGCTCCATGGGAGAGAAGCCCTGGTGATCTGCTCCTGTAAAGATTACACCCCAGAAAATCCTATGGAGCAGTTCTATTCTGTCACATGGGGTTGCTATGAGTCGGAATGGACTCAACAGTACCCAACAGCAACAGTCATCTTGTTGTTGTGTGCTGTCAGGTTGATTGTGACTCATAGCAACCCTATAGGACTGAGTACAACTGCCCCATAGGGCTTCCAAGGCTGTCATCTGTGTGGAAGCAAACAAACATTAGGAAAGACTAGTTGTTTTTGGTCCTATTGGTAAATGTTAATTGTCTCATTCTTTTCCCCTCACTATGTTGGTGCGTATAGACAGAGCCTAAACAGAGAATAAGAGACTTGCCCAACATTGTTCAAAGGTTGATTTTCAAGAAAGACTAGAAGTTTTTGTTTTGGTTTATTTTACCAAACTTTATTTTGTTGAATTGGATTTTTAAAGACTTTAAGATCCCTAGTGCATTGAAGTCAGAATCAAGCTTTAAAAAGGGAACCTAGAAGAGAAACACCTCCTAGTCCCCAAAGAACTAAGCCCACTTTTCACAACTGCCCCATCTCCTGCACTGAGAAGCCCCTCAAGGACTTCTCATCCCATACTTCAGAGAAACTGGTGCAGCCTACAAACTATGTTAGGTTTAGGTCTTATGCCTTTTGTAGGAAATGTTTGGAAGGGGCATTGTCCACATTTGAGTCATTCTTAAAGGATGGTGTACCTTGTATCCTGTGTTCATGCATCATGTGGCTCCTTCCACAGATGGAGTGATCAACATGAGCATTCCCATCATACTGCCTGTCTCCATGGATGATAAAAAACGCCTGGAAGGGTGCAGCGAGTTTGCGCTGGTGTACGGTGGACAGAGGGTGGCTATCTTACAAGATCCTGAATTCTATGAACATAGAAAAGAGGAACGTTGCTCTCGTGTGTGGGGGACAGCATGTGATAAACACCCCCATATCAAAGTAAGTTGCAAAACCTTTGGGAGGATTTCTTGGATTCTGTTGAGGGTTGCTTTGTGTCCTAAGATGTGGTCTATTCTGGAGAACATTCCATGTGCGTTGGAAAAGAATGTATGCTTTGCTGCTGTTGGGGGGAGTGTTCCATACATGTCTATGAGGTCAAGTTGGTTGATTGTGGCCTTTAGATCTTCTGTATCTTTGTTGAGTTTCTTTCTAGATGTTCTGTCCTTTACTGAGAGTTGTGTGTTGAAGTCTCTTACTATTATTGTGGTACTGTCATTTCTCTTTTCAGTGCTGTTAGAATTTATGTATTTTGGAGCCCTGTCATTGGTTCCGTAGATGTTTATTATGGTTATGTCCTCATGGTGGATTGTCCCTTTAGTCATTATATAATGTCCTTCCTTGTCTTTTATGGTGGATTTTGTTGTAAAGTCTATTTTATCAGAGATTAGGATTGCTACTCTTGCTCTTTTTTGGCTGCTGTTTGCTTGATATGTTTTTTCCCATCCTTTGATTTTTAATATATTTGTGTCTTTGTTTCTAACGTGTGTCTCTTGTAGACAGCATATTGATGGGTCCTGTTTTTTTAATCCATTCTGTCACTCATTCTCTCTTTATAGATGCATTTAAGCCATTTACGTTCAGTGTGATTATTGATTGGTAAGAGTTTATTGCTGTCATTTTGTAGTGTTTTTTTTGTGGCGCTGATGTTTTCTTTGTTCCTCTTATTTTTCTGTGCTGAATTCCTTTTGTTTGTGGATTTTTTTTTTCTTTTTTGTAGACTTTATGTTTTTCTTCTTTATTTTGATGAGTAGGTTTGTTAACTTTCTTTGTGGTTACCATGGAATTTACCCCATCTTCCTAAGTTTAAATCAGTCTTTTATTACTTGATATAGCCTTGACTTCTCCATTTGAAAGTTCTATACCTATATCATTTATTCCCTCTTTTATTGTTCCGATGTTGTTCTCATTTACAGATGACCTCTCTGGTTCCCTGTTGTAAATCTTTTAGTTTTGTTTTATCCTTGAGAGTTCATTACCTAGATTGGTATCTGGCTGATGCTGTCCTGTGTCCTAGATTCTGGTTGTTGTCTCATGTCATCGGTTCTCTAACTGAAGGACTCCCTTTATAATTCTTGTAAGTCTGGTTTGGTTTTTACATATTCCCTTAAATTCTGTTTATTTAGAAATGTCCTCATTTCCCCATCATATTTGAGCAAGAGTTTTGCAGGATATGTTATTCTTGGTTGGCAGTTTTTTTTTTCTTTCAAGATTTTATATATGTCATCCCATTGTCTTCTTGCCTGCATGGTATCTGCCAAGTAATCAGAGCTTACTCTTAATTGTTTCCCCTTTGTATGTGAACTTTTGTTTTTCTTGAGCTGCTCTCAGGATTCTTTCTTTGTCTTTGGTTTTAGCAAGTGTGATTATGATGTGTCTTGGTGATTTTTTGGGGGGGGTCTATCCTATACGGGGTTCGTTGAGGTTCTTGGATGGTCAGCTTTTCATAATTCATGATACCAGGGAAGTTTTCTCTCAGCAAATCTTCAGTAATCCTCTCTGTGTTGTTTTCTCCCCTTGTTCTAAAACTCCGGTCACACAAATATTTTTGCTCTTGATTGTATTTCACATCATTCTCAGGGTTTCTTCATTTTTCTTCATTCTTTTCTCTGATTTTTCCTCAAACAAAATGGTATCAAAGGATTTGTCTTCAATTTTGCTGATCCTGTCTCCCATTGTTTGAAATTTGCTCCTAAAAACTTCTATGATACTGTCTGTTTCTGAAATCTTGTTGTTTATCTTTTGAATTTCTAATTGCTGTTTTTGTATGATTTCTAGTTGTTTGTTTATTTTGACATTTTGTTCCTGTATTATTTTCCTGAATTCTTCCATTGCTTTGTCTGTGTTTTCCCTGATTTTGTCTGTATTTCCATGATTTTGTCTACTTTTTCCTTATTTTTATCTGCCTTTTCCTTCATCTCTCGGAGAACCCTGAATATTACAGTTTTGAATTCCCTGTCAGGTAGTTCCCGTGCCTCTTCTTCTAGCAGAAGATCATCTGGTGTTTTATTTTGGTCAGTTTCTTGAGCCATCCTGCCCGGTTTTTTTATATGTTTTGGTATTGTCTGCTGTCTCTGGGACATTCAGGAATAATTTTTTTCATTTATTGACTGTAGATTTGTTTGTTTCACCCTGCTTTTTTGTTTTATTTGTTTATGTTTGGGCAGGCGGGCTGGGTGCGTTTTGTTGCTTGCTCACCTGTGGGCATGATACTTCTCACCAACTTGTCCAGGTGGGCAGGGCTGGTCACTCAGCTATGGTGCAGCAGGGCAGGTCCAGTGGGAGTGGAGGGGCAGGTATGGGTAGTTTGAAGCATGAACTGGGGCTGACAGGATGGGGCCAGAGGGCAGCGCAGGGTGGGGTCCAGGGGACCGTGTCAGTGCCACTTGAGGGCATGGAGCTTGGCACATGGCGCAGATAGGTGGGAGGGAAGGGAGAGGATGTGATGTGCAGAGCTAAGTGGGTGAGTGAAAGAAGAGAAAGAAACAAACGCAAAAAAAAGAAAAGGAAAAAAGAAAAAAAAAGTAAATAAAATGATGGTGTGGCAGGGTTTGGTGGGTGGGAGTGGGGCAGACCCAGCAAGGCCATGTGCCGATGGCTCTCTAGCTGAGCAGTGTGGCTTGGCCTGTCGAGAAGGGGCATGGGTGGCACATGGGGCTAGGTGGGCAGGAGAAAGGAAAGGAAAGAGAGGAAAGAAAGAGAAGAAACCAACTATCCAACAAACAAAAATAAAACAACAACAATAAATAAATATGGTGGTGAGGGAGCTGGCCGTTGGGAGTGGGGCAGAACTGAGGTAGTGGCAAGCTGATGTCTCTCTTGCCGAATGGATGGCATGGCATGGCCCATCAGGAAGGGGCGGAGGCAGCGCAGAGCCTAGGTGGGAGGGAGAAGGAAAAGGGAGAAGGTGGAAGATAACGAAAAATTAAAAATATGGTGCTGAGGGAACCAGCCTGTGGGGGTGGCACAGACCTGGGGAGGCTCGGTGCCAGAGGCTCTCCAGCCAAGCAGTACATCACAGCCTGCCAAGAAAGGGAGGGTGGTGCACAGGGCTAAGTGAAAGAGAGAAAGGAAGGGAAGGAAGGGAGAGAGAGAGAAGAAACAACAACAACAAAAAAAGAAAACAAAACAAAAATAAACAACAAATAAATAAAATGTTGCTAAGGGAGCCAGTCAGTGACATCGGCGCAGACCCAAGGAGGCCTCGTGCCAGTGACTCTCCAGCCGAGCGGTGCAGCATGGCCCCTTGAGAAGGGGCGGAGGCAGTGCACAGGGCTAGGTGGGTAGGAGAAAGAGAGAGAAGAAACAGGGAAAAAAAAAAAAAAAAGAACAAAGCAAACAAACCAAAAAACATGGCACTGAGCAAGCTAGTTGGTGGGGTAGTGCAGACTCGGGGAGGCCATGTGCTGGTGGCCCCCCAGCCAAGCGGTGCAGCAACGCTTGTTGAGAAGGGGCAGGATGGCACACAGGACAAGGTGGACAGGAGAAAGGAAAAGAAGGAAGGGAGAGAGAGAGAAGAAACTGGAAAAGAAAAGAATCTTTTAAAAAGGCACTGAGGGAGCATTTGGAGGGCTGCGGAAGGGTTTTCTCCATCCATTTCAACTAAGGACAAAAATAATTATTTTTACTTCCTTCATCAAGGACTTAGAGTAACTAGGACTAGATGGAAAAATGCATTTCTAAGGGAGGTTTTGCAGGCTTTGCCTTGGGAAATCTTTTTAGAAAGGGGCAAAGAAATGTCTTTCTGCTTGAGGACTGGTCTAAATGATCTCAAGTCCTCTGATTCTGTAATGGCTGATCCCCTAGTTAAATGGAGACAACTGGACCAAGTAGATAACTGAGCCTAGCAACACGTGTATAGGACCCAAATTATAAATCTGACTCACAGAAGAAGTAGCCATGCACACAAACAAAGCCACACTTTGCAACCTTATACATCTTGGAAATACACAAGGACAATCTGTCTCTTTGTACAGAATGGGCCCAACCACTAGAAAGAGAACTCAAAGTTCATAGCCAGTTAAGGGTCAATGACATCCTTTCTGTAAACAGAAATCATCACAGATAGTGACAGAGTTTCCAAAGGGAACATACCAGATCTTTTTTGGTGAAATTATTACTATTTTTTGATTGTTGTAAAAATTTCAGTGAACATCTTTAAAATGAAAAGAGTATTCATCTGATTAGGCACATCTAGGGTCTGCCTAAAGGCAAAATAGACTAAAACTCTTCAGATTGCTTATAACTTCTAATTGTTGTTGGTGTGTGTGTAGAGGGGGTATTATGAAATTGCTGGGTGTGGTTCCTTTCCCATAAAGGAAAATATATTGTATTGAATGCAAAAGCCATTCCGCATTCAGGATTAGAGTGTTAGGGTGGGAAGGACAAGGCATGAAATAAAGAAAGGCATATACTACTCATTTGACTTGTCAAATTCCCCAGCTGGAGTATCTATCAGAAAGTTCATGGGAATAGTGAGCTTTCTGAGGCCCAGGAGACTAAACAGCTGTATGATCCAACAGGGCACATCCTCTCTCTGGGCCGCAATTACTTCATTTACGAAAGGAGGTTGTTGTTCACTGCCATCAAGTTGCCCCTAGTCATGGCAACCCCATACACAACTGAATAAAATGCTGCCCAGTTGGTTGCAGATCAGACCATTGTGATCCCTAGGGTTTTCATTGGCTGATTTTTGGAAGTGGATCACCAGGCCTTTCTCCCTAGTCCATCTTAGTCTGGAAGCTCCACTGAAACCTATTCAGCATCATAGCAACACACAAGCCTCCAATGAAAGACGGGTGGTGGCTGTGCGCAAGGCATATTCAGGGGCAAATTAAGCGGTAAGCAAGGTACACATTGGCTTACATTAAGCAAGGTATGCACAGGCTTACTTGTGTTTACTTACTAATCTGTAGTGTACAATTTCACATGGGTTTTACCACATTGTTCATGTGGTGAAAAACAAGTGAAATTGTTCACTACAGACTAGTAAGTATGCACAAGTAAGCAAGTGCATACCTTGCGTGTTGGGTAATCTGGCCCCAGGTGCACTGGACGGGAATCGAACTTGGGTCTTTGGCATAGGAGGCAAGAATTCTACCAGGGAACCACCAGTGCCTCATATACAAAGGAAGTGGCCACACTCAAAATAACCCCAAGGTGTCTTCCAGCCCTGTGACCCTGCAAATTGGGTATTTGAGTAAACCTCATCAGAAATTTTTGGCAAAGTTGTGTTTTGTTTTTTCAGTTGTTAAATGTTCCAGTATAGGAAGGACCTTTTTGAGGCCTCTGTTGGTGGCCTCTGGGCCCTGTTTATCTGAGCATAAGAGGCCAATGGGCAAGCAAAGCCGTTTTCACGTTTATTGGACACAGCTATTCATCCTGCAGATAATCATCTTTAATCGTAAGACACATCCATATCAAAGTCATCTGAAAAGTTTTCCTCAAAGAGGCCATCAGACAGTCTTTAAATTGCTAGACACAGAGATGTTTGAGGAATATCGTGTTCTGGGCGTAATTATGCCTTTGTTTCATCCCTTTCTTGGTAGTAATCATGCATGTTTGGGATCTTATCTTTACCCAGTGGCCCAAAGAATAGTGACATTTCATTCCACCAGGTCAGATAGTCCCAGTCTTGTGTCTAGATCCACATAACACATGACCAGCACTAAAACAAACCAAAAAAACGAGGAAGCTCTTAAGTGATTATTTCTTTTCATCTTGTCTTGCAATGTGTGTTAGCAGTTGGAACTTAGCATTTCTTAGAAGCCAGGAAGAGCAGTGGCATGATTTGTGGCCTTGACAATGTTGCCAGTGACTGGACCATTAGGTCATTAGAGAAACTCTGTAAACATTCTTAATGAGCTGATGGTGAGCAGTGAGCCATGGATAAACCAGAAGGCTGCTTGCCATGTATGCACTACATTTGGATTATTGGAGGTTCATTTACTAGATGCACGAAACATGGGTTTTATTGGGAAAGAAACTCTTTTCACTGCCCCCCACCCCTCTTTAAGCACCTTGGAAACTCACAGTAATCCTTGAAAGTGGATTTTTTTTAGAACCTCAAGCCTTCTAAAATAAACCATGGGCCTTCTTGTATTTCCATTTGTGGCACTGGGCATGACATTTGCTGGAAAGTAGTGAGAGTCACCAAGGAAATGGTCAGCCTCTGTTACATAGCTCCTGCCTGAAGTGACCCACCCCAGTCCTCTCTCTACAGTAACTAATTGGAACCATGTGACCTGATTTCAGATTAAATTATGAGGAGGAGCAGGTGAAACTTGTAAAAATAATGCTTGGAGAAGCCTGGTTGCCTTTCATCCATGGCTCTCTCAAAGCTTCTCCAAATAGTAATTATTTCTCAGAATACTCTTGTGAAGTAGCTAAGAATCATTATTGCCATTTTACAGATGCAGAATTGCCATTTTACAGAGTATGACTTGCCAATGAAGAAGGATGGGAGTTTCAAGGGATAAGTTTTCTTATTCCTTGGCTCCATAGTGAAGGCTAGATGGCCTGTTAGTCAGTTGGATCACCTGGGGGGCTTTAAAAAATATTGATAACTGGATCCCACCCCAACAGATTCTGATTTAATTTGTTTGGGGTGGGCCTGGGTATTGGGGATTTCAAAACTACCCAGTGATGCTGCTAACGTGCTGCTAAGGCTGAGAACCATTGCTTAGATGATTATTTGGAGTATATCCAGCTGTTTCCTGTAAGGCTCCACCTGGATATATCCTGCGAGCTCCTCAAATTCAACATACCCAGCCTCTCCCCTGACCTCTTCTAGCTTCACCATCCAGCAGTGCCCCATGTCTAAAACTTAGATGCCATTCTTGCTTTTTTCTTCCCTTTCATTCATTCAATCACCAAGTCCTCACAATTCTGCCTTCTAGGTATCGCTTGAATTTGTTCACTTCTTTTCTAATCTAATTTATCCTGGATGAGGCCGTTTCACCTGTTTTCTGTCTCTAGCCTTACTCTTCTCCAAATTCTCCATTCTGCAGTCAGAGTGATCTGTTCAATCTTTATTCAGGAACCTTTGTAAAGATGTGGCTTCATCTTACCTCTACTCACTCACCACCATCACCCAATATATTCTGTCCTCCAGTCTTTCTGAGCTGGCCTTGTATCATGCTCTCTTATGTTCACACATGCTAGTTCCTCAACCTAGGACACTGTTCCTTCCACCTCTGCCTCCTCACTTTAGTTACTCCTTTATCTTCTTGAAGAAGTCAGCCCTTCCTCCACGCACTGTAAGCCTGGCTGAGTGCCCTTCTTTGTACTCCCAGCTCACTTTGTGCTTGTCCTACTTATCACGACTTCCTATGGTATCATGGTATCATTACCCATTTACTCTTCTGTCAAACCACTTAGACTACCAACCATGAGATCGAGGACCACATTTGTCTTGTTTCCCATCCAGTCTCCAGCACCAAGCCCAGGGTTGGGCCATAATAAATGCTGACAGTGGAGGATAGATGAAAGATCTTGTCAAGGTAATGCTGAAACGTCAGCATGAAGACCACTGCTTAGAGGCAGCAGGTGCAGTGGGAAGAAGCCTCTGGTTTTGAGGAGCCCTAGATTTGGGTCCTGGCTTTGGTAAGGCAGCTGTGTGCACTTGAACTCTGCCACCTCACCTGTGTAAGGCTGCCTTCTCATCTGACAGTGAGGGCATTTAGTCCACATGATCTCCAGGGTTCCTTACAGCTCCAGAATCCTGTGACAATGACAGATATCACATAAAGGAAACTATATTCTCCACTTGGATCACAATGTTTTTCTTCTTCTTAATTCTGTTCTCTGAACCATTTCATCACTACCTTCTTGTCCTGAGCACACCATTTCTTATCTTCCTTCTGGTTCTTTCCCTTTACTTCTCTCCCTTTCTTCATCTGACCTTTGCACCTACCTACTCTCAGCTGCTCCTCTTTTCCTAATTTACACATTCCCTCTTCCTCTCCAAGTTGTTTCTTTCAAATCTTCCTCTCCTTGCCCTCTTTGAGCCTATTCACCGTAGCTTTTTCAGTCGTCATCCTGGTGTTTGAGCTTATCCTCTCTTTCTTTCTGGAATTCTGTTGTCTGTGATTCCAAGCCCAATCTCCCTTTCTCTTACCTCACTAGATTCCCTCAAAGCCGGCTCCTTGTTCCTCTGAGTGTGTCCAATTCTGCCAACTCTCTAGCTGTGGCTCCTCTCCTGCCTTTGATGAAAGTCTTGCAAGGGGGTAGGGACTTCTAGGCTACAAAGGCCTGGTAAACTAGGCAGAGACACAGGACACCCTTCCTGATAGCTGGACCACAGCTGAGGGATGGAGGAGATGCCAAAAGCAGTTTCAGCGTTGCTCTTCAAACAGGTACATTTTTAGGCTAAGTGGTAAACCAAGTTGGTTCAATGAGCCTTCACCAATCAATAGAACAATACAGGGTAGACCCCTAGTGTCCAAAATGAGTTACTGCACTCCTGGGAATTATGCAGTTTTACTCTTTCAAAGGAAACCCTGGTGGCGTAGTGGTTGAGAGCTACCGCTGCTAACCAAAAGGTAGGCAGCTGAGTCAGAATTGATTTGATGGCAATGGGTTTGCTTTGGTTTTTTGGATTCTTTCCAAATTTTATCTGTCTTCTAAGTAAAACAGAGCCCTGGTGGTGCAAATGTTTAAGCGCTCAGCTGCTAACTGAAAGGTTGACGGTTTGAACCCACCCAGTGGCTCCACAAAAGAAAGACCTGGTGATCTGCTTCCATAAAGACGAAAGCCAAGAAAACCCTATGCGGCAGTTCTACTCTGTCACATGGGGTTGCTATGAGTTAGAAGTGACTCGAAGGCACCCAAAAACATGACAATTTGAAGCAAAGCGGAGTAAGCAAATGTAAAGGTATGGGTATTTGATAATATTCTTGTTCAGTTATTTGCCTGAGCACAGGTCTTAGAGACGGAGCCCCGACAACACAACCAAGTCACTTTCACAGTCAACCTCAGCACTACTGATATTTTAGACCAGACGATCTTTGTTGTAGGGAACTGTCCTGTACATTGTAGGATGTTTAGAATCTTCAACAAGAAGCCAAGATTGATCCAGAAGAAACAAAAATGTTCAAACTAGATAGAAATAAATTATTAATCATTACCAACTTTATTAATGTTCATTCTAGATGGTGAGGGAAAGTGGTGATTGGCTGGTTGGTGGAGACCTTCAAGTGCTGGAGAAAATAAGGTGGAATGATGGGCTGGACCAGTACCGCCTGACGCCTGTTGAACTCAAACAGAAATGTAAAGAAATGAATGCTGGTATGTACGCTGGCTCTGGTGCATTTGTTAACACTCCTTACCACCCTCAGAACACTTCTAAAATATGCTTGCTGATTAAAGAATTAAGGATATCAGGAACCAACATTTTTGTACTTAAACTGGAAACATCTTCTATTTGATACGTCTGTTGATATGGAAACAGTTTTTTTTTAAGTTGTACTACACCCATATATTAAATACTATGCAGCAGTTAATACACCCATGTATTAAAAATAGGCACTGACACAGAAAGATGCCCAAGGTGTATTTACTAAGTGCACATGCAAGTTGCAGAATATGCATAGCATAATCCTGTTTTGGGAAACATAATAAAATATAATAATAAAATTTTAAATCCCAACCTACTTTTATGTGTAGAAGCAGAAGACGATGGCAGTGTGTGCACCAAATTGCAGATGGCAGGGGCTACCTCATGCGGATGGAGTTGGACCAAGGGCAAGGGAAGATTTTCACCTTTTACTCCATACGTTTTGAAAGAGAGAAAGAAAAATAACAATAGGATTATGGATGGCTTTTATTTCTATTTTGGACTTTTCTGTATTTTCCATAATGAATATATACTAATTACATTTCATAAACAGAAAAGGAATTTAAGGCTTTCAGAAGTCCATCACTAAGTTGAGTACTTTTGAAGACTTTTTTAAAGTGAGAGTGAAGTATTTTTTTTTTTTTACATCTGTGTACTGTTAAAGCCTTGCACAGACCCCAGAAAATGTTCCTTCTCTTTATTCCCCGACCTGGGACATAAGTCTGGAGCCAGACGCAAGAGGACTAATAACGCTGACCCTTGCCTCAGCCTTCTTTTGCAGGAAAGGTCCTGGCAACGAACGTTCGCATTTCTGAGTCAGGCTCCCCCTTTAGGGCTTCCTCCCTCTGAGTTCTAGAAGTCTGGCTTTGGTTGGTGCCTTTGGATTAGCACTTCTAATGCCCAAGGTGTATTCTTCAGTTGACAGTCAAAAGCAAGTGGATTTAATGAATACACTAACCAATAGATATAGCTGTGTCTTTCTCTCCATTCTCGTGGACAAGTGACATGTGCATTCCACTTTGGCTTTTTTTCTTTCCTTTCCCAGATGCGGTGTTTGCATTCCAATTGCGCAATCCTGTCCACAATGGCCATGCTCTGTTGATGCAGGACACCCGTCGCCGGCTCCTGGAGAGGGGCTACAAGCACCCGGTCCTCCTGCTACACCCTCTGGGTGGCTGGACCAAGGATGATGATGTGCCCCTGGACTGGCGGATGAAGCAGCATGCAGCTGTGCTCGAGGAAGGGGTCCTAGATCCCAAGTCAACCATTGTTGCCATCTTCCCATCTCCCATGTTATATGCCGGCCCCACAGAGGTGAGCAATTGGGCCATGGGACTCAGGAGTGCAGGCTGAAACTTTACTTAAAAGAGCAAATGAATCTCTAGGATTCTTTCTTCTCTGTATGAACAGATTTTGGAATCTTCTGGTCTCTCTTATTTATCCATTATAATTATGTTTCCATTTGTTGCTGTTGTTAGGTGCCCTTCAGTCGATTCTAAATTCATAGCGACCCCATTGACAGAGTAGAACTGCCCCATTTGGTTTTCTTGGCTGTAATCTTTATGAGAGCAGATTGCCAGGTCTGTCTCTTGCAGAGCCACTAGGTAGGTTCCAACCACCAACCTTTCGGTTAGCAGCTCAGTGATTAACTGTTGTGGCACCAGGGCTCCTTGATGTTTCCGTTTAGCATATGTAAAAAATGCTAGAAACATCAAATCAAATCTGTTATGTGTTGCCTTTGAGAATATGGAGGTTGGCGTATGAATAGAGTGAATAATGCAGCTTAACTGGGTTACAAAGCAAGTTGTATCTGTTGTTGTTGGGTGCCATCGAGTTGGTTCCGATGCATAGCGACCCTATGTACAACAGGACGAAACACTGTCCGGTCCTACACCATTCTCATGATCGTTGTTATGCTTGAGCCCATTGTCACTGCTCAAGTTGTATCTAGTCTAATTCAATTTCAGAAGTTCCGGTTTTTATCTTTAAAGCCCCTGTGTAATCCCAGTATGACCAAGCAAGGGTCTGAAGAAGACAGCATGGAGTCTTAGACACCTCGGTGCCTTTTTTGCAATTTTAGTTGACCTACATCACTGAATTACTCTGAAAGCAGAATAAAGGTGTCTCAGTGAACAGGGAGCCATAGAGTTGGCCAGTGATGACCAGCATGTCCCTTATGTGGTATTTCCTAGGTCCAGTGGCACTGCAGGGCCCGGATGATTGCGGGGGTCAACTTCTACATTGTGGGCCGGGACCCTGCAGGAATGCCTCACCCTGAGATGAAGAAGGACCTGTATGAACCGACTCATGGAGGCAAGGTCTTGAGCATGGCGCCTGGCCTTACCTCTGTGGAAATCATTCCATTCCGAGTGGCTGCCTACAACAAAGACAAAAAAGCCATGGACTTCTATGATCCAGAAAGGTAGGTATTCAGAGGAAAACCCTTCCATCACCATCTGTACAACTGTGATGGTGTGGCAGAATTTTGGCCCTTTGAAAACCTTAGGCTCTCCAGCCCATTTCCACACGCTCCTCATTGGAATGAGAGGCTCGTAAGAATCAAGACCTAGTCTTTCACATTTCATGTCCCCTAAAGTTGTAGCAGGAGCCCTAGTGGTGCAGTGGTTAAGAGCTATGGCTGCTAACCAAAAGGTCAGCAGTTCGAATCCACCAGCCACCCCTTGGAAACCCTATGGGGCAGTTCTACTCTGTCCTATAGGGTCGCTATGAGTCGGAATTGACTTGACGGCAACGGGTTTGGTTTTTAGTTTTGCAAAGTTGTAGCGTAGTGTCTTGCCTATAGTAGAAGCTCAGTAAATATTTCCCTTTCAATATGTATGCCTCAAGCAAGCAGTGGGTGCCTGACACATTAAGTGAAAGGAAGTCAACATAGAAAAAGATTTCAGAGAATATTTATGGTGCACTCACCTCAGCTGACAGGAGTAGGGAGAGAAATAGAAGGTAGTCTCTGGCTTCAAGATACTCCCTTTGAACAGAGTAGGTGCACAGTAAATTTTGAATAGATTATTGCCTTTGAGTCCGTTCTAACTCATGGAGACCTTATGTATAACAATGAAATGTTGCCAGTCCTGCACCATCTTGACCATTGTTGTTATGTTTGAGTCAACTGTTGCAGCTATTGTGTCAATCCATCTCACTGAAGGTTTCCCTTGTTTTTCCTGACCCTGTACTAGAGGAGCCCTGGTGGTGCAGTGGGTAAACACTCACCTGCTAACCAAAAGGCTGGCAGTTCAAACCCACCAGTTGCTTCACGGGAGAAAGATGTGGCAGTCTGCTTCTGTAAGGATTTACAGCCTTGGAAACCCTATGGGGGAGTTCTACTCTGTCCTATAGGGTGACTATGAGTCAGAATTTACTCGATGGCAACGGGTTCTACTTTACTACACGATGTACTTTTCTAGCAATTGGTCCTATTTCTCTTTCGTTTTGCAAGTTCCCTTACTGAACTGGAGGCTTAGTGAAATTCCCATTTTGGAAGAAGATGCAATATTTTACAGAAATTTAAAATGTGGGTCTAAGAACTCATAACTTAATCTAGGGATCCTTAAGGTAGATATTATTTACCTTCACTGAGTTCTTTGTTGCTACCTTGTGACAGACACAACGAGTTTGACTTCATCTCAGGAACTCGTATGAGGAAGCTCGCCAGGGAAGGAGAAAATCCCCCAGATGGTTTCATGGCCCCCAAAGCATGGAAAGTCCTGATAGATTACTACAAGTCCCTGGAGAAGAACAACTGAATGCCTTTGGCTCCAGAGTTTCTTTCTGAAGTGCTCTTTGCTTCTCTTTTCTATTTTTGTGATTAGATAGATGGCTTTGTATCCAATTGCTTCTCGGTGACTGATTTTAAAGTTACTATTTCATAACTAGGTCAAAATTGTGTTATAATTTAAAGTCAACTTAAATATCTGTTTTTTAAAAAAAGTCAAATTGGAGACCAAATCTTACCAGGTGGAAGAGATTGTTATACATTTCAGAATGAAATTAGCTGTACTCTCTATAGCATCTGAGCAGGTGGGGCCCAGATTTCTCAAAGCTTTGACCACCATGTGTCTAATTTACTTGCCAACAAATAAAGCTTATTTTCTAGCTTAAATCTTGCCAACCTGCACTCCCCCAAGGGTATATACCAGTAGTAAAATAAATCAGATGAGCAGCCTCTTCTGTCCAACTTATCAGGAAAACAAAAAACAAACAAAAAAAAAAACACCAGGATTTCTCACCCTGTATGAGGTGTGGCTTGTGTCAAGATTTTTGCTAATGTTTTACCTCGTGCCTGTATACAGCCTTATTGCCCAATCTCTTTGTTGAAGTAAGACCTGACTGTAGAAACCAAATATGTGAAAATGTGAATTTAATCTCAGAGACCTATGCAACCTAGTTCTGCCACGAAAGCTATATTGTCTAATCAGAAGTTGTAATGGCCTTTTGTGAGTGATGTAACTTCAATTAAATGCCAACTTTACAGTAGAGTGCTGTGACGAAAGGATTTACGCCCAGGGCTCAATCTGGCAATGTTGTGGAAAGTTAACTTTTTCCTTCTTTGCTGTGGCCATTGTGCCATACGGAGAGGCTGGGCTTATCTGACTGCAGCAGGGTCATCTGTAACCAAAAAACAATTCACACCATCAGAGACTCACCGGGTGCTGGAGCTGGAAAGGGTCTCAGAAAACACCAAGTCCAACCCTTTCATTGTACAAGTGAACAAAGTGAGCCAGTCACATGCACATGCTCTGTGAGCTGCTGAGCACTGTAACACACACACAAAGTTGGCATGATTAGAAAGTAATGGTGGCGCTGTCAGACTTGACTCGACGGCAAGTGGTTTTCATGGTGGTGCTGAATGAGCACAAAGAGAGTTGACTCCAGTCTGGTGCTGTCTACACACGCAACACAGGAGCTGGCCTGATTCCCCTCAGCTGCGAAACAAAGCGCCTTGAACAAGGGCACTTAACAAAGCAGCCTTCTTAGATACCGAAAAGTCCAGAGTTTTCTAATCCCAGCGGATTTTATTACAGTTGGAAAAAATACTTTTCCAAAAACTCAGGCTGTTGTGAGACACTCAACCTCTGACGGTTTTATTCCGTGGGAGGCAATCCTTTGTACTTTTTACATAATTCATTGTTGCCAAGGAATATACGAAGATACAGCACCTTTTACACATAGGTCTTTTTGGAAGAGTCCTAAACTAGAAAGACAAAACTGTGATTTTTTTTCACACTTTCAGTTGTTAAAAATAAAAATGCTAATCTTAGTTACTGAAAGTTCTTTTGAGAATAAAGTACATACAATGGCCACAGCAAAATCTATATTTTATACAATCATGCCTGTATTCTTTTAATCAGAGGCACTCACTAATGCCTTTTTAAATAATAACGTATTTATTGAAAACAAGAAACTGGGTTTAGTGCCTTAACCAATGTATTCTGTGATTTTTTAAATACATTTAAAACTGCTCTTCTGCTCTAGTGCCACAGTGCAAATGACTATTTCTGTGTAAACTGATGCTTGTTCTTATTTTAATAAATTTCTCAAAATGAAGGCTGAGTCTCTTTTGCTAGTAATGCTGGGTGTAGGCTGGCCGCATGACCGGCGAGGACTTTGCGTTTTTGTGTCATTGGAGATGAACAGCAGCAGCCACTCTCTTCAAGAACATAATTAAGAAGCTGTTAACCCTTGTTCAAGGCATGTTCATGTCGTTTTTCAGATGTGCTGAGTGACACATGGTCTCGGCCAAGCACTAGTGAGTGATCTTTTCAGAGGTGACCGGGTTGCTCAGATGCCTTACCCCAGGATTTCACTGCATAAGAATCTGCCCTTTTTTGGCCATTTGAGGAGATAAAGCTGCCTAACTTGCTCCCTTGTGCTCAAGGGAGTAGATCCTGTTCTGAAAGTGCCCCCTGCCCCCCAGGAGTTGCACTGGTAGACTTAGTAGCAGCTGTGTTTTTTTTTTCTCAGCAACCCCCATACCTCCTCTAACCTCAGCAGTTGCTACTTTTGCATGTAGAAAGCATACCTGTTCCCACTCAAACTTCCAGTGGCCTACAGGACTTTCTCAGGTTTCATTTTTGTCCTTAAGTCCCTGCCTCTCTTCTGTCCTGAAGGCTTCATGCAATTTTCTTCCACTGGCCCTCACCCCAAATAAAGCTGGTCTAACAGCCAACTCTAAGCTGCCACTTGTAGGCCCTCCCTCTTTCTTCCCCCAGCTTACTTGGTGAAACCTGGTGCCAATTAGGGAAGGAAACGTATGTGTAAGTACAGGAAGATATAAGTGGTGCTGAGGGAGTATGTCACAGCGCAGAGTGAAAAAATTCTGCAAAAAAAGCACAAGCAAATCATTTGGCCAGATAATAGTGAACCTTATAAATATATCAATACTTTTATCAGGCCACAAAATTTTTTTCCAACCTATCTTCCCTTAAAGAAGAAACAAGTCTTGGTTAGTGAAGAATAGCAAGTTGGTATTTTTTTTTCCCTCGTCTCCTTCCTTTCTATTACCCGACTTTTGGGTCTTGTACTGATCTTCAACATCTTCCTTACAGGTAATCAGGAATTTAGATGGGCACCAGATCAGCCAATTGTTGTTCTTATGTCTAGAGGTTTAATAGAACAATAGTGCAGTTTTGGCTATGAGATGTGGAATAATACAGGTTTCCATCATTTAAGCATTTCCCATCACCAACATGTGTATAATTATTGAGAATTTACTACCTAAAGATATTGAAAGAGAAACCACTTATTTCCCTTCTCCTTAGCATGAATTTAGTTCGCTGGTGACGATTACACATTATCAAGCCACTCAGACTACACGTTTACTAAATGATGGAAACCATATACAAGCAACTCACTAATATACACCGCAAAGGACTGCCTAATTTTTTTGCTTATTTTGTCATTTTATTGAAATTATTACTAAAAATAAGTGGGCCACTGGCTAGAGCTTGGACATCTTAGTTTGATAAAAGAAAAACCTGGACAAAATAGAATTATTTTTCTAAGGAGCTAGCAAAAAATAATGGCTGCAAGGAAGTCTTGCTGAACTGAGAAACAAGGCCTTCATAGGTGAGCAGAGAGCCTCAGTAGTTCTGCAAGGGCTTATCTTTTCTAACGGAGGTCCCCTTCCACAGCCCACTCTCCTCCTAGACCTCCTAATTTGGATTCATTGCAGAAAAGACCTGTCTCAATTAGTAAGAAATCTCAATTATAGAATGTTTTAAATGTAATGCAGTTTTATTACCTTCAAATACATAAGCAACAAACTGACGGGCACAACTCTTTTAACGTCCTATCTTCTTGTTAATTACTGGCATCAATAACACACACATTTTATTTGCTAGTTCTTAAATACAGTTTACTTCAGAAGTTTAAACCTGTCCTCTACTTCTTTTACTAAAACAATGTATGTGCAAGTTTTTATAAACTAAGTTTATGGGTAAAGAAAAATCTTGATTTATATTTATTCCATAAGCTTGCTTTCCATAAACAGATTAAAGGTAAAGTTCAGCTTAGTGTAGGCTGAATTAATAATGGACTATTTTCCATGTAAACAACTCCAATACTGATCTGATATTTTAAACTAGTTGAAAGATTGACCTCTACAAGTTTATTATCAAGAACAACCTACATTTATGGAAGAAAGTAATTCCATTAACCCCTAAACAGAATGTATCCCCCATCTTATCCCCAAATCAGAAGGAATTCTATAAATTACTAGATCTTTGGGTATTGAGGTAAACAAAGAAAAAGCTTACAGCTCCAACAGAGCCAAGGGAATAAGCAAGTGTAATAAACAGAAGCATACGTGTTTCTAAAACTTTACTCAGTGCTGTTTCATAATTTGTGCCCATAAAAAAACAGTCAGTTTACCAACGCCTACACCTATCAGCAGCTAAGAAAGTCACCCAGTTAGAAGTCCTACAGCTATATGATGGTCAGGTCAGTATTGCTAAGGGCCCTACATCTGTTTATCAAATGACTACCACTGCCAGTGTGATTAGTGAAAACTGGGATGGAAGCTTGGAGAACATTTATTTCAGCATTTCCATTTATCTTAGAGACAAGGAAGTGAGCCCTATAAATTTGAGGTGACTTGGATAAGGGCAAAATAACCCAGAACCATATTTACTTTATAGCTTGTGTTTTCAATTAACTCTCAAAACAATCTCAGAAGGTACACATTACGATTTCTATTTACAGATAAGGGAACAGGAGTCAAGAGAAATGAGATCTGCCCAAGGCTCCACTCTGTAGTATAAACTGCACAGGTGGGACAGAAAGCTATAAAGTTGATACGAACTTTACATGACTTAAGATACCTGAACAATTTCTTAACGAACAGAGTACCAGGACCTCTGCTTCTATCACAATGTAGAAGGATACAACAGACTTTCCCGCCCATAGTAACAAGAAAAAAATGAAATAATACTTTTCTATGAAGCTAGCAAAGAATAGCGGATGAAAAGAATTCTTGATGAATTGACTTCCAGACAGAAATAAGCCCTTCAGAGGTGAGCATACAGTGTCAGCAGTTATACTGAGGGTGGACTCCCAGGTTTGGATATAGTGAACAGGTGGGCAGGCCTGACCTAGATGGAGAGACTTTACAAGTATGAGGAGAATTCAGCCACGCCTCAGACAAAACAGGGTACTAGTGGGACAGACTGGAATCGGGAAACACACCACCTGCAAAAATAAACTGTTGGCCGGACAATCCCCCTTCCTGAATTTTGCCTAGAAAATGGAAGTAGAGTACGGACTGGAGGAATGATCTTGTACATTCTCATCGTGACTGGACTCCGGAACCCGGTCACAACTGACTATAAAGGTAAACTATAAACATCTGAACCTGCAACCCAAATCCCTACCAGCTTAAATACTGACAAGATCAAAAGGTTGCTGCATGGGAGGGCAGGGGGTGAGTAAACCAAGGTGGCTGGGTAAACTCAATCTAATTAAACCTGTGGCCCAGACCCAGCATACCCAGATTCTAGGAGGAATCTAAATCATCAGCCCTTCACCCTGCCCTTCAGAGGAAAGGGCTTGTACTCTCTGAAAATCAAACACACAAAAAATAAGGTGCACTTCAGTCTCCACTGTTCTTTTATACCCAGTACCTGGGACAAAATAAAAAATTACAAGTAAAGAGTAGTACAAAGTGATCTACCTAGCCAAAGAGTTGGGCGTGACAAATAGCACCCCATCATCAAGGGGAAGTGGAGCATATAGAATGAGACCAAACAGTTCTTGAAGGCCCATCCACATACACTGATAAGCATGTTGCTCATACTTCCAAAATGCCCACTTGAGTTCATTCAGCATATACCTAATGGCTTCATGCCACCAGCTGCAGGAGGTTTACAAATGGCCATGCACCATGTCAGCACCAATCTGAAGTTGGCCATCGTATTTCAGGGGTAGCCCTAAAGGTCAATGAAGGAGGGGAATCTCTGTGGAAGAATTTCAAGTGATACATACTGTCTACTTCACCTGGAAGAAGAGACAGATCAGAGAACATGGATAGATTCACAGAAGAGGCAAATGGTTTGACTAAAGTGGTCAGAATTTGTGGGACCAAGATTAGAGACAGGTGACAAAGAGGTTTGAGGAATGAGGAAGAGACTGAAATGAGGATGGAGGAATAGTGTAATGAGAATATGTATATCCTGTGTAAACTTTCATCAAAAGGCTTACACTGCAGAGGAGGACCTTTATTGGAGGAATGGTGACCCACTCTAAAAAGATTATCAGTTGCTTCTACTTCAGTTTCCTTCTTTGATGTTATCATATATATTTGCATATTTTAATTAAATTCCCTTCACTTTCCTCTTCCTTGACCCATCACTGAATGCTGGTATTATTATTACTTCAGTTAAGAGCTACAGTGAGCTACGGCTGCTACCCAAAGGTCAGCACTTCAAAACCATCTGCTCCTTGGAAACCCTATGAGGCAGTTCTACTCTGTCCTGTAGGGTCGCTAAGAGTCAGAATAGACTCAGTGACAATGGGTTCTTTTAATAGGTACTATTGGATATTCTGAATTTAAGAGACGATATAAACAAAAAGGACATGAGGAGAAGTGATAGATACATCAACCCTTATTTTCAATCAATATGCCATCAGATTATATACCAAGAAACGCTGACATTTTTAAATAACTGAAAAAGACCAAAAAGTAAGTGCAGAAAAATCAAAAAAGAGGGATCCCTTTATTACACATTTACAAAATAATAGTATAATATAGTTATTAAAAATGGAGACAAATTTTTTTGGTATCTTGTATTCTGCCTCAGAATTTTCCATCATCTTCACAACTTTTCATAACTTGCTTTTTGTTACCCAAAGTGTTCTCCTACAGCCTCCACCATTCAAAGTTCAACTGAAGAATAAACTATCCAGTATGTTCTAGTGAGAGACTTATAATGGGGGACTTAATCCAATAACTCATGAATAAAGATTGAGAATTTTCAAAGACTCATGGTAAAAATATATGAAGCATAATTCCATCTTTCTGATGATTCAGAAGGCACCTCAAAACTATGTTGTGCCATTTCCTCAGGCTGTGGTTTTAAGCGTCTGTAACAGAATTCTGGTTAACGGAATTTCAAACAAAAAAATGTTTCATATGTAGTTCACATAGGATCAACCGACTATAGACACAATATAAGAATTTTGATGTGTACAGTTGCATTTAACTAGGGCACAGTTTATAATATGCTAAGAAAAATTTAAAAATTAAAGTTACAAAATGAGTATTTTGAGCACATTTAGTAACAGCTACTTGTTTTAAACTACCATTTTATTTCTGATGACCAAATTAAATTTGACCATAATTAAAGAAAATACAACTTTAAAATAACATTAAAAAAAAAAACGTGGTTACAAGAGAACTGAAGAAAGGTAGAACGTCACATAAACGTATTGAGTAACACTGAATTTTTCAAACCCATTCTTTTTCAAGATTTTCAATCTACCTTCAACTAAGTCAATTTAAAATTTAAAAAATGTCTCTACTCAAGGTGTTTGGAGAAAGATGTGAAATCAGCACTGATCACAGGATTGCTTGACAACAATTCAATGCTGCTCACTGAACAAGTATTTTTACTTGCTTATCCTGACAACTGTAATAATTGAGTCAAGCCTAAATATTTGAGTCAGATGTGGCTGACTCCAACTAATCAGGTGCAGACAGAGAAACCCTCAACTTCAAAAAAGGCTGAAACAAATAACTGGAAAATGGCTGAATCACTGTACCTTTCAGACATAACCTTACATCTTAGTTTTGCTATATGCTATTTGGTACTTCTGATTCAGTAGTTGGGGTAAAAAAAAGTTTCTGTATTCAAACATATCTACAGGATATCAATATAAAATGTGTGAATATATACATTTAATACACACACACACACACACACACACACACACACACTCGTGTATCTAGGAACCAGTACTTGAGCACATCCCCATTCTCACTGATGACCCACGAATCATTTACCACTTTAAGACCAGCTTAGATGCTATAAGGCTGCACGACGTATGGCTAACGAGGTCAAACACACGCACACATACTTGGGCTGGATTAAACTGTTCCACCTCATGATTTCTGACAAGTAGTAATACCGCTTATATAACAACCATATCTCAATAACTTAGAATCCAGAGTATAAAATCAGTGTCATAAACATTCAACTCCCTTACTGTTTAAAGAGCACTCCTCCTTCCATTCTATTTCCACTAACTAGTAACAGCATACACCAAACTATATCACATTGACTGTACAAATGATCTTTACTCTTAATCTAAACAAACATGTGTTAATACATTCTGAAATGCTGCATCCTTTGATTTCTTCATCTTTTCAATTGCCCGATGCAGGTCCTGCTGTTGCACAGGCCGAATTTCATCTTCATCATGGCTAAAATGCAAATAAACCCACCAAATATTTAAATAACTTTAGAATACACTCCCCTAAAACGATATTTTGCTAAGATTAAAAAAAATAATAATAATGTGGTAAAAATGATTTTTTCCCAACTGTACAAAAGGGTATAACAATGAAGTCTCTTTCTCATGTAAGATCCCCAAGATAACCATAGCAGACAGCTTCATACAATTTTTCCACGAATTATCTAGGTTTATACAACTCATAAGGAGTCCTGGCGACGCAATGATTAAGTGCTCAGCTGCTAACCAAAAGGTCGGCGGTTCTAACCCACCCAGTGACTCAGTGGGAGAAAAGACCCGGCTATCTGCTCCTGTAAGGTTTACACCTAGGAAACCCTATAGGGCAGTTTTACTCTGTCATACAGGATTGCTGTGAGTCAGAATTGACACACAACAACAACAACATATTTACTGCCAACAGGTAGAAAGCTAAAATGGCTGGCTATAAACATTATACCTGTGGTAACTAAAATCAAATACTTCACACCAAGAATGTAAGTACAGACTATTACCAAATGATGAAAGTGTTATATAAAGTTGTATTCATTTATCCAAATGGGAATACAATTGCACTGAAGAAATCAAAAGTTATTCCCTGAAAACTGGAATTAAAAAGTAGCATTCCTAGGCATATGTTCATGTTTAGCTTTTGATGAACTGAAAGTAAAATTTTTAGCTATTAATAAAAACCAACTACTCTAGTATAATACGGCTGCTAACCAAAAGGTTGGCAGTTCGAATCCACCAGGCGCTCCTTGGAAACTCTATGGGGCAGTTCTACTCTGAGTAGAACTATGAGTCGGAATCAACTCGACGGCAACGGGTTTTGGTTTTGTAATTCACAGACATTTAGGAAAAAGTATTCAGGGGAAAGTTATGAGAACTCAAATCTATTAAGCTGGATTTTTCATATTTAAAGATAAAACTGTCAGGGCTTTGAGGAGAGCAGAAAAGCAGGACTTTTCATTATTAGTATGATTTATTTAAGCAAAACTTATTTATAGATTATTTCTGCTCCTAATCTCATCCACAAGAACAAAAACCTTTGGAGGGTAGATTAACCTGGCTACTGAGGTAAAAATGTATCCCTAATTTGCTAGAATCACTGAATTAATCTGACAATAAATAAATGGAGTGAACCTCTCCACAATGGGGTCCAAGGGACACTAACAACGAGATCCAGAACCAGGACATACATAGCTACTGGCTGACAGAGGTGCTTTCGTGCAAACCTGTTAATAGTAAAAGAAACTTTATGGATGAAGCTTGCTATGACAAACACTGTAATTAAATACATTAATACAATACATAAATCAGGGTCATTTGGAGTGAAAGCCTCAGGGGGCTGAGAAAGTGAGATTGAGAAACGAAGTTAGAAGAATTAAAGATCTCTTTGAACACAGCCACCAAAGTACACAGGTTTGCTAAGAGTCACAGAAGTTCTTCATTTCAGAAGGCTGACGTTCTGGAAAGCGGTTTAGAAATGCAGTGTAGTAGTGGTTTAGGACAAGGGGCATTCTGGGAATCTTCCTTAAGGGAGATGTTTCCTCAGGACTTACCTAGTTATTCCAGTCCACTAGTATCTTTGTTGGAATAAGGGTGGTACAAAATTGATTTTCTCAAGCTCACCATAATTTGAAACTGGTTTCATGTGAAGTTTGCTACACTGAAAAATGGCTTCTTTGTTTAGTAAATACAGACAAGTTGATGTCTGGTCCCCAGACTGCCCAACATTTACATATGTAATTTCTAGATGACAATGTACTCACTCATTTTCAAAACTCTCCTTTAGAAAAATGGCAATAAACAAATTCAGTTGAGGAGATTGCTAACTCACATTTACCTTTTATTTCTATAAGCAGGGTTGCTATTGAAAAGCAAAATAGAAGAAACTAACCTCAAAGTTCTAAAAGGTTTTGAAAAATTAATTAGAGATCAACTCTAAATACACATACCTTTCTTCTGACGTAGAATTAACATATTCCCTGACACAGAGGAGGGCAGCATCTCGACACATCTCTTTTAAATCACTTCCTGAAAACCCATCAGTTTCCTGGGCAACTTCTAGCAGGTCTACATGCCTATCCACCTTAAACAAATATAAAACAGGCTTAAAGAACAAATAAAATGTACTGCAAGGGATGCTTCCAATTGTTAGAGTTAGAGAAAGTTAACATGTTATAACAGTATGAGAAGTGAAACATTAAAAAAAAATTTGTTTCTGTTTAAGTTTCTTACCATAAAAGTTTAGATATTCTAAACCTAATTTTCATTATTTGTCACAACAAATAAAATATAAGTCTCACTAGATATACTGTGGTGGGATAGGGAAGAACAGGCGTTCGAACACTGTTGGATTCACTTCGGTCTCTCTCAGAAAGATACGGAATTGACACTTTTCTACAATATATTCAACATACTTTACAAATAGCCTGTATCATTAAGTCCTGAGTCCACTACAAAAAAACATACTCCACTAATTCTTCCATTTTAACTGTAATGCTTTGGTATTCTACTACCTCATCAACAGTTCAGCACCTACAGTTTTGCTCCAAAACCTAAACTTACGCTGTTTCTTGTAGGTACCAACAAGTCAATTCTGACTCATAGTGACCCTATGTAGAACAAAAGGAAATACTGTCTGATCCTGCATCATCCTCACAATCCGTGCTATGCCTGAGCCCACTGTTGCAGCCACTGTGCTGCAATCTATCTTGATGAGGGTCTTCCTCTTTTTTGCTGACCCTCTACTTTACCAAGCATGATGTCCTTCTCCAGGGACTGGTTCCTCCTGATAACATGTCCAAAGCAGGTGAGATGAAGCCTTGCCATCCTTGCTTCTAATGAGCATTCTGTTGTACTTCTTCCAAGACAGACCTGTTTGTTCTTCTGGCAGTCCATGGTACATTCAATATTCTTTGCCAGTACCATAATTCAAATGCAACTTATAGTCAAGACAATTACATGATCGTCCTGATCGTATAGCAGGCTCAGGATAATATAATCATCATACTAAACTTATTTCCAGAATAGGAATAGAAGAGAAAATGAGCAAGAAAAAATTCAGTTATGTCAACTACCTGGTATTAAACGTGCCGTGCAATATGCTAACAATAAGCACTTTACGTATCTCATTTAATCCTGTCAGGTTTTAATTATTTTCATTTTCAGATAAAAACAGTGAGACCTGTGTATTCTTTCCTTTAGGGTTTGTAATTATTTTGTGTCGGAGGAACTCTTCTTACATGTGTACGTAAGGAGAGAGACATACACAATGATCTAACTTCTCCTGTTTGCAATAGTGAAAGAGTAGAAATAACCCGTATTATGTATTTGGAGCCCTGGTGGTGCAGTGGCTAAGAGCTCGACTGCTAACCAAAAGGTGTGCAGTTTGAATCTACCAGATGTTCCTTGGAAACCCTACAGGGCAGTTCTAGTCTGTCCTATAGGGTTGCTATGAGTTGGAATCGACTTGCTTTTTGGTATATTAGGTATTATGTATCTATCCATGCATATTCACGGAACTGATACACATCAACTACCAGGGGCTGTACTTAATTTAAAAAGATGTAAAGCAAGTATGGTAATATGTCAGAGTCACCTGTTAAATCTGCATGGTGGATATAAGCTATTTGTGTATTTGAGATATTTCATAAATTAATAAACTACTTAAAAAGACCTTCCAAATTAGGCCAAATGATGCTAAAAAACAGTCTTCCTCCTTCAAACAACCAACACCTCCACTCCATCCTTTGAATACTTTTTTCAGACAAACTAAGTTCTAATCATCACAAATCTTGTTCTAACTATCACAAACCATCACAAAGTTACAAAGATGAATGAACTGAGCATAAGGTAAAAATGAAAGGGAGAAGATTTCAATCACTGGGGGAGCAAGATTATTTTACCATAGGTTAAATTTTACCATAGGTAGCATACCATAATGGTTAAGAGAAAGGCTCCATCACTTCTTTGCTGTGTGATCCTGGGCAAATTATTACAGTATATAACTTCTCAGGGTTTCAGTCTCCTCAGCTGTAAAATAGGACTATTAGGTACTCCTTAGAGAAATTAATAAATAAATGAAACAATGTATACTACTATGCTTGGCACATAGCAGGCACTCTAAAAATATCCTTTTTTATTGTTAGATAATAGCTGGTAGATAAACTACGAAGTAGTGAGAATTGTTTTCATTCGGCAATTCCGAAGGCAAGTCCTAAGTTAAAAGAAGTTTTAAGTAATGGGAGCAATAATGCAATAAATACCCCACCCCCAAAAAACTAAACCCATTGCCATTGAGTCGATTCCATAGCAACCCTACAGGACAGAGGAGAACTGCCCCATAGAGCTTCCAAGGAGTGCCTGGTGGATTCGAACTGCCAACCTTTTGGTTAGCAGAGATAGCACTTAACCACTACACCATCAGGGTTTCCACTACAATAAACAGACTTCTAAAATAACTTGATAGGATATTACTTATTTATATGCAGTTTTTTATTACATTTACCAGTGGTTGTACACTTACTAATATGCCTAGAACTGTAAGTACTTTACATATATCATTTTAATTAATTCTCAAATTATTCTATGAGATTGTTGGCATTACCTCCAATTTCCAGATTAGAAAAATGAGGCACAGAGAAGCTAAACAATATTTGCCCAAGGTTACACAGCAGGAAATGGTCAAGCCAGAATGTAGAACCCTCCGGTTGACCTTCAAAGCCCGTGTTTGTTAACTAGTCTCCTATGCTATGTATAAACTCATGTTACTTTTTGAAGGCAGTTACTAAATATTTAATTAAAAGGCAAAAAGTTATTTGTTAATTTCTCATCTAGAACAGAAGTTCTTAACCTAGAATCCATGAAAAGTTTTAGAAACTTCCCTGAAATTGTACAAAAAATCTCACATGTATATGTAGTTTTCCTTGGGAAGACTATATAACTTTTATCTGATACTTAAAGGGCCCTGTGATCTCCCTCAAATGGTTAATAACCACTCATCCAATCTCTGTAATTTGCTAGGTTCTTTAAACTTTTGCACAGAGCATATATTATCTTTTGATATATTTTTAAAAATAAATTATTAGAACACTAATGAAAGACACCAAAGAAGACATGAACTGAACAAGCAGAAATAACACATATTTTGCACAGATAGATTCAACATCCAAAATATTTTAATTCTCTTGAAGTTAATTTATAAACTAAATATGACTCACTGAAAATATTAATGTTTGCTTTTTCCTGAATAAGCCAAACTGATTCTAAAATTTATACAGAAAAATGAACAAAAATAACTAGGTAAATTGTGTGCGAGGGGGTTCCACAAGGGATGTCTAGCCCTAAACCCTCTGCCTCAAGTCAACTCTGATTCACAGTGACTGTACAGGACAGGGTATAACTGACCCATAAGGTTTCCAAGGCTGTAATCTTTAAGGAAGCAGACGGCCACATCTTTCTCTCGTATCTAGCCCTACTAACTATTAAAACTTAAAAAGCCTCAATAATTAAAATAGGGTGGAGCTGATGTAAAAAGACACAAAAGTCTAATGACCTGAATACAAAGCCTAGAAACACAGCAAATATCTAAGAGAATTTAGTACAGATAATCTGCGGCTTATGATATATTCCAGTTAAGACAAACCACTTACAATTGCCTGTTCTTTAACGTTGATTATTAGTAACATGTGCTACATACACTGTTGACAATGTTGCAATGTGTAATTCACTGATGTTATGATTCTCATGCCAACACCCCAAAACAAATAAGGATCTGATTTATAAAACTATCGATAATAAAAGGCAATAATAATGAAAACAAAACAAAAAGATGAGGTATCAACTTATGTCAGAACCAACTTACAAGGGAGTTGTCGTTGCACTCTGTTGCAAGTCGGGGACTACCTGTATATGATAAAGGTGGCATCTATAATTAGTCAGGAAAAAATGGCCTATTCAGTAGGTGGTATTGGGACAACCAGACATCTATACTGAAAAACAAAAGCAAAGATGGATTCATATCGTATACATATATTCAGATAAATGCCAAATATATTCAAAGATTTAAACATAAAACATGAAACTACAGAAGAAACAGATATTATGTATCTCCTGATGGAAGAATACATTCTACCTAAGAGAAGTAATTCTGTTTCCCCTCCCCTCCAACCTAAACCTGAATCTGATCTAGTCTCTTGATCCAATTATAATCTTAGAGGAACAACTGTTTCCAGTGCAATCAGCAAAATTCAGATTGGGGAAAAATCTGGTCAAAGCCAGCCTGGTTTCTTCATCGAATAATTGAAAGAAAAGAACAGAAATTAAGAAGGAACCTATAGATTAAAAGAGACTTAGGATCCTGCATCAAACAAATAAATGGTTTTAAAAAAACATTTTAGGAAAGCCTGATTAGAAATCCAACGATAATAATGAAATATTGTTAATTTTGTTAGGTGCAATAATGGTACTAAGATGTTAAAAATAGACGACAGTTTTTTTTTTTTTTTTAAGAGCTACACTTCTAAAATATTTACAGATGAGATATGACAGGAAAAGATAGGAAGGGAGGGAAGTAGACAGAGTACACAAGGAGCAGAATTAGCCATGAGGTTAACAGTGGTTCAAGGAAGGAAATCATAAAAATGCAAGGATCCCTCTCTGTGGAATCTATTTGGTTTCTTAGTCTAGACAATGAGTTCAAACAGTGAGTTTAAATACTAAGTTTGGGATAGTGAGGCATATCATGTTATTCAAATACGTTTGTTTACTTAGTTTTAGAAAAACAAGTAGAAAGAACTGGGGAAATACAGAAAATTCTTTTGTAACTGTGGAGTGGAAAAGGGCTTTTTAATTTAGATTCAAAACCGTGAAGCCATAAAACAATAACAACAAAAAAGTAAAATCAAAGGACAAACAGGAAAAAAAGTCTTTAAATCATATGACAGGCAAAGGGCAAATATCCCTAATACATACAGAGTTCCTATAATTCTACAGAGGGTCAGCAAAAAAGGGGAATATGCTCAACCAGATGGACTGACACAGTGGCTGCGACACTGGGCTCAAACACAGCAACAGTTGTGAGGATGGCACAGGACTGTGCAGCGTTTCTTTCTTTTGTATATAGGATTGCTATGAGTTGGAACTGACTCAACCGCACCTAATAACAACAGTTCTGTAAGAAAAAGATCAGTATTTTAATAGAAAAACAGGCAAAGAATATGAGCACGTATCTTCCAGGAAAAAATTCAAATGGCTCTTACACATGTAATGCTCATTTCATCCCCAAATAATACAAATTTAAAGTACAATGAGATACCATTTTCTATCACGTTGGCACAAAGTTCCATAACATTCTGTTGGCAGGACTATAGGGAAAGAAGCACTCTAATATTGCTGGCACAACAATAAACTGACATGTATAACTTGCAACAGGTAACAAAGTTATAAATACCATAACCTTTGACCTAGGAATTCCTCTTGTGGAAAATTCACCCTAATATTCCTGTATAAGTGTGGAATGACATTATTTACAAGGTTATTCAATGTAGCATTTTTTATAAAAAGGAAAAGACTAGAATCAAACCTAATGTCCTTCAATATAGTGCTGATTAAATAAATTATGGCATATCCATACAATGGAATCCTATGTGGCAAAAAAAAACAAAAAAACAAAAAAGGATAAGGAAATTATACACTAATATGAAAAGATTTCAAAGATAAGTGAAAAAAGCAACACAGAGAACAGCGTGCAGAGTTTATTAACATAGATTATGTAAAAAAAGGGAGAAGGGAATACAGGATATTCTAATTAGTTTGTATAGGCATAATACCAATTTGAAAAGGTACAGAAGATTTTTCCCTGTATACCACTTAATATATATACTTTAGTTTTTGAACCATGTGACCGTATTACCTTTTAAAAAAACTTAAAAATAAAAACTTAAAAATAAAATTAGTGAAGGTTCTAATTATAATACCTTCTTAAACCTGAATTCCAACTTGCAAAAATATTACAATTAGGTTAAAAAAAAAACAAAAAACTAACATACTTCTGTACAAAAATAAATGTATTTTATATAACCTGAGAAGCTTGAAAAATATCAGAGGATTTCAATCTGTAGATACAAAAACACATAGCTTTTTAAAAACCTAAAGATTATCTCTAATTAGTTCAACTATACCAATATATTATAGTTATTGATGTCAAGACTACATCTCACATACTTCGGACACATTATCAGGAGGGATCAGTCCCTGGAGAACGACATCATGCTTGGTAAAGTAGCGGGTCAGGGAAAAAGAGGAAGACCCTCAATGAGATGGACTGACACAGTGGCTGCAACAATGGGCTCAAGTATAACAAGGATTGTGAGGATGGTGCGGACCGGGCAGTGTTTCGTTCTGTTGTACATTAAGTCAGAATCAACCTGATGGCACCAAACAACAACAACACTGAATTACATGAGCAGTCAAGAGTTTTATAGTTAATTTAGGTGAAGTTCAAAGTTACATTATTCTCCAGTTTCTTTTACATTTCTCTCTCAAATGATTTATGAACATAAATATATGTACAGGATGGGGAAAAAATATAATTTTCTACTTACATTTTCATTTTTCAAGATCAGTTTCAGTATTGCTTCTCTCTGTTTTAAAGCCTGAAACCAGGATAATTTCCAGTTAGCATTAAAAAAAAATAAGGATCAACTAGTTTTCCCAGTATTTCTTCCCTTCCAAAGGTAAAAAACAAAAAAACAAACCCATTGCTGTGAAGTCGATTCCAACTCATAGCAACCCTATAGGACAGAGCAGAACTGCCCCTCAGGGTCTCCAAGGTGGATTTGAACTCCTGGCCTTTTGGTTAGAGTTCTCAACCACTGTGCCACCAGGGCTCCTTCCAAAGGTTAACTACTGGCTAAAGCAAGGTCTAGACTCTAGAGTAACTGTCTGTGGTTGTCCTACTGAACTACATCTTCTTATTCTGTATCCCCCCTGCCTAGCACAATGACTGGGAGATAACACACCCTTAAATGTTTACTGAGTAAATGAACACCTATGAATATGTCTTTCCTCTACAGCTTTGCAAATCTCCTTTTCTTCATTTAGGAAACTTCTGAAAACTCACCACCATCTTAAATTTTTTACCAGTTATTGCAAGAGATGGAAATAATACCCTCTCAGTTCCATCCATTTCAACATATAACTTGCATGTTCAATAATTTATATTAGTAATTTTTTACTTGGTGTTAATGGTGTATTTGTTCATATATCTATATGCTTTTTTCCCCCAGTGATGCCTAATATTATATCAGAGAATGGAAACTGCATTTCTTAACTCCTTTCACAGAATATCTTATACATATAGTTAGTAAATATAAGTGTTTTGTAAAATTATTATGGCTTGACTCATCCCTATTCCCATAAACACTGACAAAGCAAGCTGGTTACAATGAGCATCAAATCAAATTATCTGAATAACAAATACCAAAACAAACCCTGCTGTTCCTGCAATTCAAGTGTATTAGGCAATGAATGTTCATTTGTTACATGATCACTAATTACTACCATTTGTTGACAAATGTTTAATTTGGAGAGTAGTTTTAAGGTAAGGATAGTCATATGTTTGATATCAGTTAGGCAACAAGAAAAAAATCATCCCACAATGTGTGTGTATTTTCACTAAAAATAGAAAGGGGGCTACAAAATTCTAGTTTCAATGGTAACAGTATACATATTTGTAACAAACTTCACAAAACATGTCACACCCTATTTTGATAACTCATAATTAACACAGTAAACTTACAACTTTAATAAAGGCACTTTCCATGCTGTTGTATCCTATGTTCTATTCTATACATCAAAAAATATGTTTTCTATGAAACCACTAGCAGAGACTCTATCAGTCATCTTTGTCTTAAGAATCACTGAGGTAAACTGAATTTTCTTGAAAGATGTTCTGATGGCTTTGTCTTGCTTACAAAATAAAATACAAATTCTTGTGCAACGCATACAGTTTATCTAAACCTGGTTGCAGTCTACCTTTCCAGCCTCCTCTCCATCTATTTCCCTCAGTGCCCTAACTGAACTATTCCTAGAACTCACCATTAAACATGAGCTTCTACACCTTCTCGTCTCTGTTCATTCTGGCAGGAAAGCCCTTCCTTTCTTCATATGTCCAAATTCCTACCATCCTTCAAGGCCCAGCTGGATTCTGTAAATTTCAGTGGCTCCTCAGACAGAATTATTAAGTTTCATCATCAACTCAGGCTCTCACAGTTCTTTAAACGTCCCACTGTAAAGCATGTTTTACATTATTTATGTGTCTGCCTCCCTGCTATACACTTGAGGGCAGAGGCCATGTACCATTCACCAGAGCCTAGCAGGTATTTGACACATTATTACTGCTCAATAAATATTAGTCATACTAAATAATTTTATAGCCTCCGACATTAAGTTAAAAAATATCTTCACTGATTTAGTGGGTAAATTTTCTAATGGAGTGATTAAGTATATGCACAGCCCTAGAGGAACCAGATAAGAGTCAGTTTACAGAGGTTACAATCTTTAGGAAACCATGTTTACTGCTACAAACTAGTAAGTTACAAAATATAAATGGGACAAATTATTTTTAACCAGATTATAAATGGAATATTTTTATTTCAAAATCTGCAAGAGAATGACAAAGTAAAAGCTCATGTGCCTGGCTATACATGTATAGACTGATTGTATGGAATGTATCTTCTACTACTAAAGCCTGTTTTTTTCCTCTTTCCTCTTCAATCTGAAGGCAGACAAAGTTTAAGATTTGAGTATCCTGTGAAAAAACTATAGGATAACAATAGTCTATAATCATCTACTTAAGGGTAGTTAATTAACTTTTTAAAAAAGAATGCCACAAAGAAGGTAGCCCTAGGTCAATGCCATCAAATACATTCACATTCTTAAGTGTAGTATCTTGTTTTTGTTGGTTGCCATCGAGTCGACTCCGACTCATGGTGACTTTATTTACAACAGAACAAAACACTGCCAAGTACTGTGGCAGCATGTTTAAGTCCATCATTGTAGCTATTGTGCCAATCCATCTCACCAAGTGTCTCCCACGCCCTCACTGGCCTTCTATTTCACAAAACATGACGTCCTCCTCTAGCAAATGATCCCTTCTGATGACATGCCCAAAGCAAGTGAATCGAATAATGTTCTGATCCATAATGTCTTCACTGGCTAATTTTCAGAAGATCACCAGGCCTTTCTTCCTAGTCTGTTTTAGTCTGGAAGCTCCGCTAAGACCTGTCTACCATGAGTGACCCTGCTGGTATTTGAAATACTCGTGGTATAGCTTCCAGCATCACAGCAATACACAAGCCACCAGAGAACAACAATCTGACAGACAAGTCAGTTTTGCTCCGTTTTAACGGTATCTTAGCTACGGGTTAATCATTAGTCCTGACAGATGGAAGCAGGTTATAACTGCCAATAATTAATCCAGTGAATCCCAGTCATTTCTCATGTCAAGCCTTCAGAACAGAACAATCTTTAACCTCATTCCCTTAATTTTATTCTATGCTAAACCAAAACTATAGTTTAGATTTTCTTATGTATCTTACTATATCCTAATCACTAAAACGGCTAGGCAGACTTGAGTTAATTATATACTTTGAAGAGTCACAGAGAAGCAAATGGCACTGATCTTAGGGAAGAAAGTAGTAAGAAAAAAGTGAAGAAGAGCAGAATAGACAAAGAAGCAATTATGGTGATTCTTGCTTCTTGCCCTATTCCTTTCCTGCCTGTCACAAATAGTTAAGTCCTAAGGGGAAAAAAATCATCCCCTTCCTGGTATCACAAGTAAAGACTGGTAAAAAGGTAAATATTTAACTGTTCATAATACCAATAAAGACCACCTACAGGCAGGACATCCTGCTAACTCAGAACTGAAGGCACACCCAAAGTCCACCTTTCAGCCAAAGATTAGAAAGGCCTATAAAACAAATGGTAACATATGTGAGGAACGTGCTTCTTAGTTCAATCAAGTATAGAAGATCTAATGGGCAACATCTCCCCAAAAACCAAAGACGAGAAGGCGGGAAGGGACAGGAAATCTAGACGAATGGACATGGGGAAGCTGGAATGTAAAGGAAAAGGGCGAGAGTGCTGACATGTTATGGGGACTGCAACCAAAGCCACAAAACAATTTGTGTGTATATTTTTGAATTAAAAACTAGTTTGTGCTGTAAACTTTCACACTTAAGAGGAAAAACAAAAAAGACCACCTACAGGTTGGTTGATATGAAATCTTGTAGGCATTCTTCTCATTATAGCGGAGTCAAGATCCTGAGGACGATTAGTGGCTCCCATCACTATGACCTAAATACATAAAGAAAACACAAGGTATTAAATCTACTAATAATTTTCTTTTTAAGCCTTTATCACTAGGAATTAGAGTCTTAGAAAATTATGTGTAGTTTAAACTAAATCCCCTACAAGAAATCTGATTTTAATCCAGTATTACTCAAATCTTTAGATATAGATTGAAGTGAATCCTAAACAGCTCTAATGATAGCAAAGCTGGAAAGACTGATATATTTCACTGGATATCTAGTGACTAAAAATATCTACTATTCAGTTACAAGTACCATTACTAAAAAACTGTAAAGATTAAAAAACACAATTGTCTTCTGCAAAATATGACTGCTTAATGAAGACACAACGAATGACTAAAAGCCATTTATACTACAGTTTGGGAATATAGTTTGGGTGTATATATGGGGGATACTTCAAGTCCTTTAATAATAACACTGAGAAAATCACTTCCCCTTAAGCCTGAGAATTCTGGTAATAGTAACAGATATAACTTACTTTGTCTCTGGACTTCATATTACACTATATCACTATCAGCATTGCAGATACTCAATGCTAAATAAAACCTCAAGTAATTCAACTTTAAACAAGGGCAACAAAGTAAAAGTAAACATCAAAATGCTGGATGGAATTAAAAAAAAAGAAGTTGGCCCTGCCAACTTCTGGGTCTGTCATTTAACTACAAAGAATGTAGAGCTTAAAACAAAAATCAATTTTAACAATCAAAATCAATAAGCACAAAGATATACAAAATCAGTTAATTTCTGAAGGGCTGCAATATTATGATTATTGCCAATAGTTCAGCACAACCTAATAAACAGCACATATCTGGCATCCAAATGAAATTTATTTATATTCTATGCAAACTTAAATTTCTTTAACGTTATTATATTTTGACCCAAAAGGTCTTAGATTTCTGAAATAATCTGAAATCTAACTCTAGAATATGTTAAAATATCCACCAAATCTTATATCCTACTTGTACTCTTAACATTCAATGATATTCAAGAGCCACGGAGCCAAATTATTTTCAATTAACTGTGACAGGTTGCCACCTAGAGGGAAAAACTATAAATACAAATACAAATTTGGGAAAAAGTTCCACAACATAATGCAATTTTTGCATTTGGGTTAAGTGGTTCTAAAATCAAAATATTAATGCTCTTACCTATTTTTCTTTATTGACTTTCTACAACTCTATAAAACTAATAAAAAAGGAAATATTTCTACCACATGTAAAATAAAACAAATCTTAAAAGCGATCAAATGAACTAAATGTGTAAGACAAAAAATAAGTCTAAGTAACATTTTGAGATACAGTATATTTACTATTAAAGGAGAGATTCAAAGTGATATGGAATCTTGTTAAAGACTGGACACATCTGGTTGCACAAAATCACAAAAGATATTGTGGTTGAGGCAGTACCAGAAAGAAAAAAAAAAACCTGAAAAATGGGCTGCATTTTGAGAAATATTCTAGGTAAACCAATAGCCTAAAACAAACAAACAAACTGAAAAAACTCCTAGTATGGAAAGAAGCCCTGGTGGCACCAAAAGGTTGGCGGTTCAAACCCACCCAGCGATTCCTCAGGACAAAGACCTGGCAATCGGCTCCTGTAAAGATTACAGCCTAGAAAACCTTATGTGGCAATTCCACACTGTCACACGGGGTCACTATGAGCCAAAATTGACCCTACAGAACCTAACAACAACATGGAATATGGAATGCTAGAAATAGGACTAAGAAATCCAATTTTAGTGCAACATGGTAATAATGAATGTGTAGGATAACAACAGATTAAAAAAAAGTGATTTAAACCACTTGTGGTTTCATTTAAAGAAGGAAATTTTAAGGAGTGCTTTTAAGGGGCCAAAACAGATAACCTTTACACATATATTAATTCTACTTAGCACAAATAAGCTAAAATTAAAAAATGGACAGTAATAGGAATTATTTACTACTTGAGCAGCAAAATTAATGCACCTTTTAGGCATCAGTTGTTAAATTAGAGTTTATTTAAATCTTTAACCAAAATATGAAGATAAACTTTTTTGTCATTTGACATTTAAAATAAATAGATCTAAACTTATGTCTCAAAACTTTAACTTTGACAATAACCTAAAAAGGCTATTTTATGCCTCATATCTTTCAAGATGAAGAGTATATCCTCAGCTCCTAAGGTTTCTCGTAGTGGCGATGGGTTTAATTGGGCTAGTTACTATTTTTATTCTTTCTGACTATATAATATTTATAAGATAGCTAGTTGGGGTACATAGCCCAACCCAGTCACAGAATGGACAATTTCAGAGAAAAGGTAACTGGTTCATAAGAAAGAAGAGTATGTCTGAAACTATTACTCAAAATTAATAATAACAATTTCACCTCACTCAATACAAAAAAGGTGAAAAAATGTTACCTGAGTTTAATTTAAAAAAAAGCAGTATATCTCCATTTGTTCCCTCAAATCAAAAATAGTCAAAGTGAAAACAGTAATTACTCTTAGTGTAATAGGGAATTACGTTCCGAAAACTCAGTTCTAATTTGTGCTGTATCAAAACTATGCTCTGGGGATCTGGGTGAAGTGTCTTTGAAGTACACTTCATCCAACTGCCTCTGTTTTGTACCCTTTAAGAGCTGAACATTAGAGTCTGATAGGGTATAATATTAAAATATTTTTTCTTACAAGGACTAACTATCCAATTTTCTAAGTGCTTTAAATATCGTTATCTGGAATATTTGGCAATTTGTAACCAAATTATTTGGCAACCTCCATTGACTAGATTCATCACAATTATTAACAGGAAATGTTTCCATTAATACCATCTAAACTTATCAACCCCCCACACTTTTGTCAGTTTGTCATACTGTGGGGGCTTCTGTGTTGCTGTGATGCTAGAAGCTATGCCACCAGTATTTAAATACCAGCAGGGTCACCCATGGTGGACAGGTTTTAGCAGAGCTTCCAGACTAAGACAAACTAGGAAGAACGACCTGGCAGTCTACTTCTGAAAAGGATTAGACAGTGAAAACCTCATGAATAGCAGCAGAAAATTATCTGACATAGTGCCAGAAGATCAGCCCCTCAGGTTGGAAGGCCCTCAAAAGACGACTAGAGAAGAGCTGCCTCCTCGAAGCAGAGTTGACCTCAATGACATGGATGGAGTCAAGCTTTTGGGACCTTCATTTGTTGATGTACCATGACTCAAAATGAGAAGAAACAGCTGCAAACATCCACTAATAATTGGAATGTGGAATGTGTAAGGTATGAATCCGAGAAAACTGGAAGTTGTCAAAAATGAAATGGAACCCATAAATATTGATATCCTAGGCATTAGTGAACAGAAAGGACTGGCATCAGCCATTTTGAGTTGGATAATCATCCAGTCTACTATGTCGGGAATGACAAGTTGAAGAGGAAGGGCAATGCATTCGTCGTCAAAAAGAACTTTGCAAGAATTATCCTGAAGTACAACACTGTCAATGATAGGCTAATATCCATATGCCTACAAGGAAGACCAGTTAATACGACTATTATTCAAATTTACACACCAACCACTAAGGCCAAAGATGAAGAAATTGAAGATTTTTACCAACTTCTGCAGTCTGAGCTTGATCAAACATGCCGCTGGTAATTACTGGTGACTGGAATGTGAAAGGTAGAAAAAAAGAAGGATCGGTAGTTGGAAAATATGGCCTTGGTGAAAGAAATGATGCCGGAGATTGCATGATAGAATTTTGCAAGACCAACGACTGCTTCATTGCAAATATCTTTTTCCAACATTATCTGCGACTATACATGTAGACCTCACCAGATGAAATACACAGGAATCAAATCGACTACATCTGTGGAAAGAGATGATGGAAAACCTCAATATCATCAGTCAGAACAAAGCCAGGGGCCGCTTGCAGATCAGACCATCAATTGCTCATATGCAAGTTCAAGCTGAAGCTGAAAAAAATTAGAACAAGTCCAAGAGAGCCAAAGTACAACCTTGAGTATATCCCACCTGAATTTAGAGACTATCTCAAGAATAGATTTGATGCGTTAAACACTAATGATCAAAGACCAGATGAGTTGTGGAATGGCATCAAGTAAGAGGTCACTAAAATGCCAGGAAAGAAAAAAAAGATCCAAATGGATGTCAGAAGAGACTCTGAAACTTGCCCTTGAACATCGAGTAGCTAACCCGTTGCCGTCGAGTCAATTCCGACTAACAGCGACCTTACAGGACAGAGTAGAACTGCCCCATAGTTTCCAAGGAGTGCCTGGTGGATTCGAACTGCTGACCTTTTGTTTAGTAGCCATACCTCTTAACCACTATGCTACCAGGGTTTCCCGAGTAGCTAAAGCAAATGGAAAAAACAACGAAGTAGAAGAGCTGAACAGAAGATTTCAAAGGGCAGCTTGCGAAGACAAAGTATTATAGACATGTGCAAAGACCTGGCGTTAGAAAACCAACAAGGAAGAACACGCTCTACATTTCTCAAGCTGAAAGAACTGAAGAAAAAATTGAAGCCTCGAATTGTAATATTGAAAGATTCTATGGGGAAAACATTCTGTAGGAAGCATCAAAAACAGATGGAAGGAATATACAAAGTCACTATACCAAAAAGAACTAGTCGACGTTCAACCATTTAGGGAGGCAGCATATGATCAGGAATTGGTGGTACTGAAGCCTCGAATTGTAATATTGAAAGATTCTATGGGGAAAACATTAAATGATGTAGGAAGCATCAAAAACAGATGGAAGGAATATACAAAGTCACTATACCAAAACGAACTGGTCGACGTTCAACCATTTAGGGAGGCAGCATATGATCAGGAATTGGTGGTACTGAAGGAAGAGGTCCAAGTTGCACTGAAGGCATTAGTGAAAAACAAGGCTCCAGAAACTGACAGAATACCAACTGAAGTGCTCATTCGTCTATGCTAAGAAATTTGGAAGACAGCTACCTGGCCAACCGACTGGAAGAGTTCCATATTTATGCCTATTCCAAAGAAAGGTGATCCAACCGAATGCAGAAATTATTGAAGCATATCATAAATATCACACACAAGTAAAATTTTGTCTAAGATCATTCAAAAGCAGCTGCAGCAGTGCACGGACAGGGAACTACCAGAAATTTAAGCCAGATTCAGAAGAGGACGTGCAACGAGGGATATCATTGCAGATGTCAGATGGATCCTGGCTGAAAGCAGAGAATACCAGAAAGCTGTTTACCTGTGTTTTGTTGACTATGCAAAGGCATTCGACTGTGTGGATCATAACAAATTATAGATAACGTTGCAAAGAATGGGAATTCCAGAACACTTAATTGTGCTTATGAGGAACCTGTACACAGATCAAGGAGCAGTCATTCAAACAGAACAAGGAGATACTGCATGGTTTAAAGTCAGGAAAGGTGTGTGTCAGGGTTATATCTTTTCACCATACTTATTCAATTTATACACTGAGATGTCACCTTGAAGACTAAGGTACGCCTGACCCAAGCCATGGTGTTTTCTATCACCTCATATGCATGCGAAAGCTAGACAATGAATAAGAAAGACCAAAGAAGAATTGATGCCTTTGAATTATGGTGCTGGCGGAGAATATTGAATATACCATGGACTGCCAAAAGAACAAACAAATCCGTCTTGGAAAAAGTACAACCAGAATGCTCCTTAGAAGCAAGGATGGTGAGACTGCGTCTCACAGACTTTGGACATCTTATCAAGAGGGATCAGTCCCTGGAGAAGGACATTACACTTGGTAAAGTACAGGGTCAGCAAAAGAGAGGAAGACCTTTAACGAGATGGACTGACACAGTGGCTGCAACAATGGGCTCGAGCATAACAACGACTGTGAGGATGGTACAGGACCGGGCAGTGTTTTGTTCTGTTGTATACAGGGTCATTATGAGTCAGAACCAACTCGACAGCACTTAACAACAACAAAAACAACAAAGCCAGGTCTCATGTTCTCAAGCCCTGAGAACAATGATGAAATCTTAGAAAACTCACTCAGCAGAGGCAGGCCTTGGGATAGAGAGATATAAACACGAACACACAAGAAACATGAGATTTCATGGTTCATAGCCAGTCAACATGGATCTTGGGCCTGAATTTATCTATTTGGGTAGGGGAAAAAAATCTGGTAGAACACAACTACAAAATCTCCCTAGAATAACTAACCTTCAACCAAAGCACCAAAAATACACAAAGTTCCACCACATGAGTTTTCCCACTAAGTCACAAAACACACAAGGAAACAGCCACCATAAATTGAAACAAACCACAGAACTAGATGTAGAAAGTTTCATATATTGGAATGACTGAATATAGACTATAATATTAGTATGTTTAACGAATTTAAAGAAATAAACGAGGACTCAAAATAACACATAGCAAATACTTACATAATATTTAATATATGCCAGGCACTTTTACAAGCATTTTACTTACATCAATTCCTTAAAACCCCACAACAATTCTTTGGTCGATAATCCCCTTCTCTCCGTATAGGTATTATCCCCTCTATACAGATGCAGAGTGATTGTATAATTTGGCCAAGTCACATAGCTAGTTGATGGCAGGGCTCTGGTTTTCTAATTCGATTGGAAACCTGGGTAATGAGCAAAAGGCCATAAAAATGGCCTGGTATTCCTAAAAAAGGCCAGACTTACTGGACCAATAGAGACTAAAGGAACCTTGAGACTACTGCCCTAAGATACCCTTTGAACTTGGAACTGAAGCCACTCTCGGAAGTCACATTTCAGCCAAATAACAGATTGGTCAATAAAGTAAACAATATCACCCACGGACAATATGTTCCCTTAAACAATCAACTATATGAGACCAAACGGTCAACATGTATCCAAAAGGTCAACATGTATCCAAAAGCAAAGATAAGAAGGAAAGGAGGGGCATGGAAGCTAGATCAATGGAAACAGAACAAACAGAATAGGAATAATGAGAATGCTGATGTATTGTGGAAATTGTAATCAAGGTTACAGAACAATTTGTATAACAATGGGAACCTAATTTGCTGTGTAAACTTTCACCTAAAACACAATAAAATATGTTATTTTAAATGGCCTGATAGACTTAAAAAAGAATCTAACAAGTTTCTAGTTTCTAGAACTAAAAAATATGACTGAAAAAATAAGTCAATGAAAGTGTTAAATAGCAGAAGAGATCCAACTGAACGCAGAACTAACAAATTAGAAGAAAGAGGTAAAGAAATTACCCAGAACGTAGCACAAAGAGACACAAAATATGAAAGACAAGTTAAAAGCCATGGAATATAAAGGTACATTCAATTGACATTCTAGAAAGAGACAACATAGGGAAGGGAGAAGAATCAGTATTTAGAGAGATAACAGTTGATTTTTTTTTAAAAAGTGATGTAAGTTGTGATTCTAAATATACTGTTAAACAAAAGAAGGCAAAAACAGATTACAAAATACAAAGTACCCTACCTACTACAGTTAAAACAATGAAAGAACTTTCCCACAACTTTTTCATGAGATCTAAGTAGGTGATTCATGAAAAAAACAAAAGTTCTAGGACTTCCATTCCCAGCATATGGCAGAAAAAACAAACATGCTGGATGAAATATTTTAAGTATCTTTTAGAAAACATCGTTCGAATGGCAATTGAGTATGGAATATTCAGAGGCCAAGAACTAAGTGAAAGTGGGGACCCAAGGAGATAGAATGAACAATAATTATAGCTGAGCTTCTCTTTGGGGGTGTCAGTTATCTAGTGCTGCTATAACAGAAATACCACAAGTGGATGGCTTTAACAAACAGAAATTTATTCTCTCACAGTCTAGGAGAGTAGAAGTTCAAATTCAGGGTGCCACCTACCTGGGAAGGCTTTCTCTCTGTCGGCTCTGGGGGAAGGTCCTTATCATCAATCTTACCCTGCTCTGGGAGCTTTTGAGCACAGGGACCCAGGATCCAAAGGACACGCACTCCTAGCTCTCCTTTCTTGGTGGTGTGAGGTCCCCATGTCTCTCTGCTTGGTTCTCTTTTATATCTCAAAAGAGATTGGCTCAAAACACAACCTAATCTTGTACACTGAGTCCTGCCTCATTAACATAACTGCCGTTAACCTCACCTCATTAACATCACAGAGGTAGGATTTACAACACATAGGAAAATCAACATCAGATGACAAAATTGTGGACAATCACAGAATACTAGAATCATGGACTAGCCAAGTTGACACACATTTTGAGCGGACACAATTCAATCCATAACAGGGGGCATAAGCCAAACCAAGGGAACTTAGTTTTGGTTTTCACAGCTTTTCAGGCAGAAGAGACAAAGCCTAGAATAAAAGACTGCCTTGTATAAAACTGAAAACCTAAATGCAGGGTTACTACCTTAGTACAAAGGAGAACTAAAGCTGACAGGTCCCCTCTATCATCACCAAGGGACTGTAAAGACAACTGTCTATCTTATTTTATCTCGGTGTTGGGGGGAGGTAACCTCCTCTGAAAATACACTTGTCAGCTCTCTGGGTATTTAGTCCAAATCCACATTACTTTGAGCCAGGAATTTAATTTAAACCAGCCCTGGCTTGGCAGTACTCCTAGGAACCTGGCAGAAAAAAACACAAATCATTTTAGAGAAATTCGTCTTCAACCCAGGCCCAAAGAATTTCCTCTCTCAGAAACTGATACATAAGAGGAGGGAAAAACGCGCACACACACACACACACACACCCAACAGAGGTAGAAGCTTGGAAAACACATCACCTAACTAGCCTGTGATCAACTGAACCAAAACTTTTAAAACTGAAAGTATTTGGATAGGAAAGGATACCTATAATGTATTGTAACTCTCCAATGAGAAATAAGGTACATTCCTTGGAATAAAATTTGGGAAATGTCAGTGTAAAGACACAGAAATAATTCTGGAAGTGCGTGTGCGAGCGCGCGCGCGTGTGTGTGTGTGTGTGTAAAGGTAAGAGAAAGGATTTATCTAGGTGGTGAGATTTAGGATGGTATTTTCCTCTGTATTTTTTGAATCTCATATTTTTCTACAATAAATAATCTGTATACTAAGGTGTTTACTAATGAGAACAATTAAACTCTAAAAGAAGTCATCAGGAAAAAGATCAATGTTCTTTTACCTTTTTAATGGTATGAAGAAAGATGGGAAAGCACAGGCACGTGTGACAGAAACTGAGAGAGAAAGTGTGCAAGCTGCAGCAACTAATGAAAAACAGAAAATGAAAATAGGTCATGTAGGAACAGAGGGTAAAGACCATAAAGAATTATGGTAAAAATGGAACATAAGATAGTGGCAAAAAAAGTCAGGGAAAGAGTAAGAATAGTAAAACAGAACACATGCAGAATACCACCACCACTAGTCATTTCCTCTTCCTTGGCATAGTAGCACCGAAAATTCCAAGGACAGCCTTTACTCTAGTTTTCCCTCATCTATTGTACTTGTTTCAGGCAGTTAGGCAATCTATAAATATTTTCTTAAACATGAAGTCCTCAAAATGGATGACATTTATACAAATCATATTCTTCCATATCCTCATCATTTAAGGATCTAAGTATAAATAATTATGAAAACTTTTGTAAAAAAGCATAACAAGTAACCCTCTATATTTTCTACTAACAGCAACGACAACAACAACAGAAGTTTAAGGAGGATTCCTCTCATATACCTGGCAGTTGTGATCAGTATCCAACCCATCCCAGAGACTCATAAACTGAGCTTTCATCATGGCTGTAGCTTCATGATCAGAACTTGAACGGTTTCGTAGAAAGGAATCTAGAAGGCAAAAGTTCTTAACCTTAGAAATTAATAATGAATTATTTACATTTTAGATAATTTCAAATCATTTAATTAAAAGCAGAAACTTTATGAAAGATTATAAGGAAAAGCGTTTAATTATGCCTTCTCAGAGATTATTCTGATACCCTATAATAATTTTAGCAAATTATTGAGCAAATTAAAACACAACTTACACTCTTAAATTCCTTCCTAAAAATACATTTATGTCAACATATAGACAGAAATAAAGGATTTGGTATTGAGAGGCTGGGAAAACAATCAAGTAGTCTCTTGGGAAAAGCCTGTGAGCAGTGGCCCTAATTTTCAAGGTTATCTGAACCCTCTGTGTTCTGATTTCTAAGGTCACATCTGTTCTCTTCACATACTTTCCTGGTAATAAACAAAAATATTATGGAAAATTCCTAAAACACTAATATTAAGTGAAAAAAAGTAGAACAGAAAACAATTTATGTACTATGATCTCAAAAATGTTAAAATACACATACATGCTAACATGTTACACACAGTGAAAAAGTCTTTAAGGAAATACGAATAATCAAAATACTAATTACTTTTGTTAGTGCTCAATGACGTACTTAAAAACAATTTTAATTTTCTCCATTAAGTTATTTTCTGTCTTCCAAATAATCTACAATGAACATGAAACGCTGTGAAAAAAAAGAAAATTTGAAAAAGAACCAAACAGAACTTGTGGCATTCAAATATAATTAACAGAATAAAAACCAAATGGTTGACAGATTAAACACAGCTGAGGAAAGAATTGCTTTTTATTACCTATCCTAAGATTGACTGATTTTTTTAAAAAAATTTTTATTGTGGTAAAATGTAACAAAACATTTGCCATTTTAATCATTTTAAGTGTACAATTCAGTGACATTAATTACATTCACTATGTTGTGCAAACATCACCACTATTTCCAAAACTTTTCATCAACCTAAACAGAAAGTCAGTAATCCTTAAGCAATAATCATTTCACTGGACCAGAAACAGGACAAGAATATTGAGGACCCATAAAATCTAGAAAAAGTCCACTAATATGAAAGAATCACAACATATAAGGAAGAATGGTCTATTTTATAAGTCGGCTGTTCATACGGAAAATGATGAAATTAGATTCTTACTTCACACTATGTTAAAAATATATGTGTAAATATAAATAAACATATATATATACATATATCTGAATATTTATAGGGGTAGGGAAGAAATTTGTAAACCAGACACAAAAAGCATAAATCATAAAGGAAAAAGACTGACAAATGTGACTAAATTTAAATTTGTTAAAAAAACTATGATAAATAAAGCAAAAGGACAAGCCAGTCTAGAAAATATTTGCCATCATAATCAATATCAAAAAGAATTACCCAGGAAAATGCAAATAAAGTCAAAGAAAAACTGTACTATTTCTAGCTTTTATAGATCATCAATGTTTGGGCAATTCACAAGGAAACCTAAAAGGCTAATCAATCTGTTAAAAGATGCCCAGATTCACTAGTAAGCAGGGAAACACAAATTAAAATGATAAATAACTTGTGCTCTTTAATAGTGACAAAAATTAATGACAATGTCTGAAAAAACCAATCTTAGGGAGTATGCAGATAAACAGAAACTCTATACCTAGCTGGGAGTAAAAACAGTTTTAAGCACTTTCAAGATCTGGTAATCCTAGTAAGGTTGACACATCCTACAGCCTAATGGCTTTATTTCTGGGTAACCACTCTGGACAAACTCTTGCACCTATGTGCATGAGGAAATATGTACATGGATACTCACTGCATACAGTCTGTAATAGGGAAAAAACAGAAAAACCGATCTATTAAGTAGGAAAATCAACAGACTATGGTTCATTCCACAACACAAAAACAGTACACAGCATATTAGAATGTTGGTTATCGCTTTTGTTTTATTAACATGGCTTACTAAATGTTAAAATTAAATCTATTTATCTAAATACCATCTTTAAAAATGACTTTTTAAACTGCTCAGATAGAAAACATAACATACCTATTTCATCTATAAAGATGATAGAAGGCTGTAGCTTTATGGCAAGGGAGAAAACAGCAGCGGCCAACTTCTGAGATTCTCCATACCACTTATCAGTCAGTGTTGAAGGCTGAAGGTTAATAAATCGACAGCCTGCTTCTTTGGCTGTAGCCTTGGCAATCAACGTTTTACCACAGCCTGGAGGCCCATAGAGAAGAACACCTGGAAATTAACATGAAATGTTATTTGTAATTATTTTCTTTAAGACAATGAGATGTTTGCTTTAGTTTATGTGATAATCAACATAGTAGTTCTGCCTACACTAAAATTTTTCCCAATGTTCAATTCTGCTTTTGTAAATTTTTTTTATTAGTATAAATTACAGAATAATCTCAAAAAACATATACAGGTAGTTCCTGACTTACGACGCATTTGAGTCACAACGAACTGTACTTTTTCGAGGGGATGTATATCTTATCGTTAGTAATACATACAATGTTGTAGCTAATAATTTGCTGATGTTACTCTCATGCCAACTCCTAAAGACAAATAAAGATCGGATTTATAAGGCTCATAATAAAAGGCAATAATAATGAAAATTAAAAAAAGAAAAAAGAGGTATTCAATTTATGTCAGAACTAACTTTCAGCAGAGTTGTAGGAATGGAGCCCTGTCGAAAGTCGCGGACTTGTATATAATTACAAGTTCCAAAAATTTTCTGGAAATCTAATACATGTAAAGAAAAAAAACTGTGATGCCAGTAGTCTAGTTAATGGATTAGCTGAAAGGAAGGCCGCACGTTTTAATTTCAAGGTCAGTGATGACATGTATTTGGGGATTACAGAATGCTTGTGCCTGCTTCCTTCATGAAAAGGTCCAATTCAGGATACTGAAGACTATTATCTTGACATCCAAACTTATACTACTCTGTCAATGGTTGACAAAATCATCTAAGGCCTTCCACCTTCACAAGCTAACAAAGCATGCACCCTGATAACCTAAAAAAGACTCAAAATAGATTGTGGCAAACTCAGATACTTAAGTTTTAGTAAAAATGATACGTGTGCTTTTTTCCAGATACTGACCTCTTCTTAAAAGGAAGAGAAACTACTGTTGTAACTTCCAAGGAACAAAACTGTATTATTAATCTATAACTTTCATTGAGCAGTTTGCTTCTAAATACAAATTAATTTTAATATACAAGGGTTCTAAATAGGTTGGGGTCTTGAACATTCTGAGAATCATCACCAATGCTTCTCAACTAAAATGACATACTAAAATTATGGCCTCGTGTATAAATAAACCATCTACAAACAGGCCTCCCCTCAAAAATGTAACCCACAGACCTCTTAAAATAGTTGCTTAATTCAGAGTTTCCTGATTTTTTTTCAAATATTAGCATTAAAGAATGACAACATTTATAGACAGCATGCTGGGTAAACTGGAGGGGATTTAGAGAGATCCATAATTTTCTTTATATTATGCAATAAAAATAAAATACAAAGTATGAGGGAAGAAAAATATACTTGTATAAAATTTCAAAAAAAAATCTTTTCAAAAAATTTTTAAAATGAGAAACTTTAGGTTGTTTCCAGAGATCTAACAGCAAATTTGTTCACATTAAATTCTTTGAAATAATGGTCAAACTTTTCCTCAGTGTTGTTGTTAGATGCTGTTGAGTCAGTTCCAACTCACAGCGACCCTATATGCAACAGAACAAAACACTGCCCGGTCCTGCACCATGCTTACAGTTGTTGCTATGTTTGAGCCCACGGTTGCAGTCACTGTATCAATCCTTCTCATTGACCATCTTCCTCTTTTTCGATGACCCTCTACTTTACCAAGCATGATGTCCTAGTCTGGGTACTGGTCCCTCCTGATAACATGTCCAAAGTATGTGAGACAGTCTTGCCATCCTTGCTTCTAAGGAGCATTCTGGCTGTACTTCTTCCAAGACAGATTTGTTTGTTCTTCTGGCAGTCCATGGTATATTCAGTATTCTTCACCAACACCAAATTCAAAGCCGTCAGTTCTTCTTTGGTCTTCCTTATTCATTGTCCAGCTTTTGCATGCATAAGAGGCGACTGAAAATACCATGGCTTGGGTCAGGTGCACCTTGGTCCTCAAAGTGACATCTTTGCTTTTTTTTAAATATACACTAGATTTTTCTGCAGGTCTTTTTTATTCCCATAAAGATTCAAGTTATAACACCAACTAACCACTAAGTTTAATCATTATAAACTAAATTTTTCTAAAGCTGATATTTAAATTTATAAGCTTTGCCAATACATATTAATATTTTTCAGTCTTTGCAATTTTCAATTAAGTTCATTCAGATAATTAAAATTCAGTTAAATCAGTTATAATCTGAAGCTTCTTCTTACACTTCTTTTAAACAGCTCATGAGAAACAATACAGAACAGAAACCTAATCAGACAATTTACAGAAAGCTGAAACATATGGGATGACTTCAGAAGCTTAGAATTATATTCATTACTTTGATCACATAATTTCATGGGGAATTCAGATCTACTAACAAACTTTTATACACCTATTACTTGAATTTCAGGGCTTTTAGTACTATTGATGCAAAAGCCTTCATATTTTATTGACTTTGCCGCTGCACCACCACTTCATAAACTTATGTAGTGTGTTTAGAATGTCATGTGTGTTTCAAAGTATTCATTTACCTCTTTGAATATTTTTTTTTCTACTAGTTTAATTCTGGTACTTCTGAGTAGGATTAAGGTTTCAAATTATTTTTCTTCACGGATTACAACTAGTGCTACTAACTAAGCAGCTAACTAGTATTATTAACTGAGCAGTTACTAATGCCTGATGATTCAATATGCAATGAAAGCTTTTGGATTTCATAATCTTCTGGAGTATGGAGCTGGGATACCTATGAGGTACACATGAGGAGCTGTCAATGTTCATTTCTTTACCTGGTTGTTGTTACATAGGTGCTAGCTTCATAATTATTCATTCAACTGTTTTAACAACATTTCTGTACAGAGTATACTTAACTTCACTAAGATTCATTTAACTCATTATCAGTGAGTCTACTAGTATTGTTATTTGAAAGCGGCACCTTTTAAATCTCCTTTGCTCAAGTATTAATTTTAAACACAGTTAAACTTCACTGTTAATTTTTATGAAGGCTGATAAATGAGTGGTTCCACAAATGAATATGAGGCATTTTAATTTATTATTTGTGCAGTGTTTTAACCAGTTTCCTCAGCTTAACCTGATAAGGTTTCAGCATTATAACTTATTTTAACAAAGTAAAAAATTTATTATTTTGTGCTTTGTAAAGGCTTAAAAACGCGTATCCCTTTTTGCTTGAGGTGAATGCTTTTGCTAAGGACTTTACTTGATAAGTACTACATGCAATAAAAAACTTAGGACAAGGAAGAAAAAAAGGTATTGGGGCACATATCCAAATTTGAGATAATCCTCATTAGTAACAAATATATTACCTTATCAGTGACAAGTTTTCCTTTCTTTCATTCTTTTTCAGACTATTGTTTCTTGACTTTCAAGTTTTAATAAAAATTTGTCCAAATGGTGAAAAAATCAATATCTATAAAAAGTAAATCTACTGAAATATAAAGTACTACGGGAATGTAGGCCTTTATGGATTCAAAAATTAATTTTTCAAAAATATTTTTCTTAGGTTATCTACCTTTTTAAGCCTACATCAAAACATGGAACAATATGGTGAAGCTCACAAACATAAATCAAATGTGCCAAAATAATAATTAGCGAATGCACAAAGTTTATAGAGGGAGAAGTATAGTGTTCAAATGGAAATGTAACTATTGTAAATATTTATACGTTGGGGGGAAACGTTCATAGTTTTTATTCAGCCACCAATATCTTATAGCATGTCCCTATAATCCATTAGTGGTATGACAGTATGAATTAGCACAACTGTTAGAAAGCTCCAACTTAACGTTTTTATGCCATCTTATTGGTTAAGTACTGACCTCACTTGCTGCATAGACAGTGCACAACAATTCATTTTCAAATTATCCTTCTGTAGTCTATGTGAGGCAGTTTTATAGATTGAATTGTGTTCCCCAAAAATGTATGTCAACTTGGCTAGGCCGTGATTCCCAGTATTGTATGGTTGTCCTCCATTTTGTGATCTGATGTAACTTTCCTGTGTTGTAAATCCTAACTTCTATGATGTTAACGAGGCAGGACACAATCTACAGGATTAGGCTGTATCTTGAGTCAATCTCTTTTGAGATACAAAAGAGAGTAATGAGCAGAGAGGAGAGGGACCTCCTACCACCAGTCTAGGAGACTAGAAGTCCGAATTCAGGGCACCAGCTCCAAGGGAAGTCCTTCTCTCTCTGTCAGCTCTGGGGGAAGGTCCTTGTCATCAATCTTCCCCTGGTCTAGGAGCCTCTCAGCGTAGGAACCTCGGGTCCAAAGGATGCGCTCTGCTCCCGGTGTTGCTTTCTTGGTGGTATGGGGTCCCCCTGTCTCTCAGCTCCCTTCTCTCTTTGTATCTCAAAAGAGACAGACTTAAAACACAACCTAATCTTGTAGACTGAGTCCTGCCTCATTAACTTAACCGCCTCTAATCCTGCCTCATTAACATCATAGAGGTAGGATTTAGAATACATGTGAAAATCACATCGGATGACAAAATGGTTGACAATCATACAACACATGGAATCATGGCCTAGCCAAGTTGACACACATTTTTAGGGGACACAATTCAATCCATGACAGTAGCACTAGATAATAAACACAGTCAGTGATGACTTTCTGATTAGACAGCAGTTAACTGCGTAAGAATAACATAAAATTAGCAATAAAGCAATGACTCTAACCTAAATAACCTTATTTCTGTCCAAAAATGGAACAAGTAGGGCACACAACTGATTTTATACTCTGCTTCTGTACACTATTTGATTTACGCCGAGTCAAAAAGTAAATTAATTTTCAAACTTTTTTTTTTACTATTGTGCTTTAGATGAAGGTTTACAGAACAAATTAGTTTCTCGTTAAATAATACACAAATTGTTTTGTGACACTGGTTGCCAACCCCACGACCCGTCAACACTCTCTTCCTCTCAACCTTGGGTTCCCCATTTTCAGCTTTCCTGTCCCCTCCTGCCTTCTTATCCTTGCCCCTGGGTTGGTGTGCTCACTTAGTCTCATTTTGTTATGGGCCTATCTAATCTTTGGCTGAAGGGTGAACCTCAGGAATGACTTCATTACTGAGCTGTAAGGGTGTCCGGGGGCCATACTCTCTGGGTTTCTCCAGTCTCTGTCAGACCAGTAAATCTGGTCTTTGTGAGTTAAAATTTTGTTCTTCATTTTTCTCCAGCTCTGTCCGGGACCCTCTATTGTGATCCCTGTAAGAACAGTCAATGGTGGTAGCTGGGCATCATCTAGTTGTGCTGGACTAAGTCTGGTGGAGGCTGTGGTAGTTGTGGTCCCTTAGTCCTTTGGACCAATCTTTCCCTTGTGTCTTTGGTTTTCTTCATTCTCCCTTGCTCCAGATGGGGACCAATGGAGTATCCTAGATGGCCACTCATAAGCTTTTAAACCCCAGATGCTACTCACCCAAGTAGGATGTAGAACATCTGCTTTATAAACTATGTTATGCCAATTGAGCTAGATGTCCCCTGAGACGACGGTCCCCGGCCCTCAGCCCAGTGATTCAGTCCCTCAGGGAGTTTGGATGTGTCTATGAAGCTTCCATAATCCTGCTTTGTTCAAGTTGTGCTGGTTTCCCCAGTATTGTGTCTTATTCTTGCACAAAGTTACCACTTATCCGTTGTCTGTTTAGTGTTTTTCCCTCCCCAACCCTGTCTGATTTTTCAAACTTTTTTACTGATAAAAAATTTTCCAAAGACGTAAAGTTGATAACATCCAAACAGGTTAAGACTTTAGATTATATATCAGAAGATACTCGTGTAACTCTAAAAAATTTAAAATACTGCATTTTTACGCAAGTAACATGCACCTTCTACATTCCTTGCCGACCCCCACCCCTGCAGAAAGCACACCATGCTAATTTTTTCTCAGGCGGCAAAAAAAGTAGTATATGCGCATTATTTGAGTAAAAATATGGCATACATAAGAACTATTTCCACTTTCAGAATAATGTTTTCAAATAAGTAGCAGGTTTATATACAACTGTTGAAGTATATCCCATTCATAATTTGTTATCTGCTATGCTAATTGAGGAGCCCTGGTGGCCATTAGTTAAGAGCTCTGCTACTAACCAAAAGGTTAGCAGTTCAAATCCACCAGCAGCTCCTTGGAAACCCTATGGGGCAGTTCTACTCTGTCCTATAGGGTAACTATGAGTTTGAATCAGCTATGGGTTTGGTTTTGGTTTTTGTTATGCTAATTGATGCTTTAAACCAAGTCCAACCAGTAAAGTCACTTATGCACCTAGACTAAGACATGAATAAGAAAGGAGGTTTCTCTAACAGTATATAAAGAATATTTTACTTTCCTAAATTTACTAACATTGTGAAACTGGGAACTGAAAATGGAGAAAAGTTTTTTCTTGTTCAGACTATAAACAAACTAGAAGAGGACAGTAAAGAACTTAACCAAAATCACAATAAACTAAATGCTTTTTGTCAGAAAAGGGAGCTTTGTTGTTTCAAAAAATACAGCAACTGAACAATAAAAAGATTAACAATCCAATCAAAAAGTGGGTGAAGGATATGAATAGACACTTCACCAAAGAGGACATTCAGATGGCCAACAAATACATGAAAAAATACTCGTGATCATTAGTCATTAGAGATGTAAATCAAAACTACAATGAGATACCATCTTACCCCTGCAAAAACAGAAACGATCCAAAAAAAAAACCCAGAAAATAAATGCTGATGACATTGTGGGTGGACTGGAACTCTTATACATTGCTGGTGGGACTGTAAAATGGTATAACCACTATGGAAAACAGTATGGCGCTTCCCCGAAAAGCTAGAAGTAGAAATACCTAATGATCCAGCAATCCCACTCCTAGGTATATACATCCTAAGGATATAAGAGCAGTGACACGAATAGAAATATGCACACCTGTGTTCACTGCAGCATTATTCACAATAGCAAAAAGATGGAAACAACCTAAGTGTCCATCAACAGATGAACTGATAAACAAATTGTGGTACGTACATTCAGTGGAATACTACGCAACTATAAAGAATAATGAGGAGGCCACGAAACATAACATGGATGAATCTGGACGGCATTATGCTGAGTGAAATAAATCAATTACAAAAAGACAAATACTGTATGGTCTCACTATTATAAAAAGTCAAGAATAGATATACACAAAAAGCAGTTCTTTGACAGTTATCAGAGATGGGAGGGGAAGCGAGGGGGAATCACTCTCTAAATAGTAGACACTTGTTACTTTTGGTGACGTGAAAGGCAACTCCAAATACAGGTGAAGTCTGCACAACTTGACCACGGTAAATAAGGACACTAAGAAGTACACAAGACAAGTACCATAGCCTCCACCAGACTGAGTCCAGTACAACTAGATGTTACCCAGCTACCACCACTGACTGCTCTGACAGTGATCATAACAGAGGGTCCTGGACAGAGTAGGAGAAAAATGTAGAACAAAATTCTAACTCACAAAAAAAGATCAGACTTACTGGCCTAACAGAGACTGGAGAAACCCCGAGAGTATGGTCCCCAGACACCCTTTTAACTCAGTAATGAAGTCACTCCCGAGGTTCACCGTTCAGCCAAAGATTAGACAACCCCATAAAACAAAACGAGACTAAAGGGGCACACCAACCCAGGGGCAAGGATGAGAAGGCAGGAAGGGGCAGGAAAGCTGAAAATGGGGAACCCAAGGTCGAGAGGAAGAGAGTGTTGACAGGTCGTGGGGTTGGCAACCAATGTCACAACACAATATACATATTGTTTAATGAGAAACTAATTTGCTCTGTAAACCTTCATCTAAAATACAAAAAAAGTACACGAGAAAAAGGGACAATTTCGGTAAATGCTATAACATAACACAATTCTGCAATAGTAAAAACAACCAAAAAATATGTGTACGGGTAACAAAGGTAGATATGGAAGCATAGCTGTGTATAGGAGGGCATATGTGAGTAAATGTACATGCATGTATAGATGTATCTGTAGGCATATGTATATACATGTTTGTGTATGCTGCATATATATCCACATATACAACAAACCACATAGGGGGCACAGTTATGGAGGCTCCCTAGACATATCCAAACAACTCGTGGGATTGGTTTACTGGGTCCAAAGGCTTGGGACAACTTAGTCAACTGGCATAACATAGTTCACGAAGATAATGTTCTACATCCAAGTTTGCTGAGTAGCATCCAGGGTCTTAAAAGCCTGCGAGCAGCCGTCTAAGATACAACTATCGGTCTCTACTCGTATGGAGCAAAAGAGAATGAAGGAAATCAAAAGCTCTAAGAAGAAACTAGTCCACAGGACTAGTAGCCCATGTGAACCACAGTCTCTTCTAACCTGAGCCCAGAACAATCAGATGGTACCCAGCTACCGCTACTGACCCTTCTGACCAGAGGCACAATACAAGGTCCTGGATAGAATTGGAGAAAAATGTAGAACAAAACTCAAATTCCTAAAAAAGGCCAGACCTACTGGACCAACAGAAAACGAGGAAGCCTCAAGACCATCACCCTAAGATACCCTTTGAACTTGGAATTGAAGCTATTTCTCCAGGTCACCTTTCAGCCAAATAATAAATTGGCTTATAAAATAAACAATATCACATATGAGTAATGTGGTCCCTTAAACAATTAACTATATGAGACCAAACGGACAACAGTCACCCAAAAGTAAAGATGAGATGGTAAGGAGGCAAAGAGAAGCTAGATCAATGGAAACAGAACAGAGTAAAAATTAGGAGAATGCTGGTACTTTATAAAAACTTTAACCAATGGCACAGAACAACCTGCACACAAACTGTTAAAGGGGAACCTACTTTGCTGCATAAACTTTCACCTAAAACCCAATAAAGTATTATTAAAACAAAAAGAACAAATTGTGGCTCCGTATTTTTTTAACCTTGATTTTCCAAATTTTATATTTACTTGAAAGTAATAAAAATGGGTTTGAAATAACGGGATTATTTTGACATGTAGCTATAAAAATTCATGTAAATTTGGGAAGCTGAAGAATAAGCAATTATTTTAAAATTATTTAAAAATAGTTCACTGGATCTCGGCATTTTTTTGAGAATCTGATTTCACAAAAACCAGTTCTATGATGGCATAAGGTTTCAACGTTTTCAAAATTTTTAATGCATTAGCACATTTAAACTTTTACCATACCTTTTGGAGGCTGCAGAAGCCTGGAATTTTCAAACAAATGCTTCTTTTTGATAGGTAGGATGACTGTGTCTTTCAGATCTGTAATAACATCATCTAAACCTGCTATATCACTCCAAGTAACCTGGCAAAAGGTAAGGTCAACATACATTTTACAACTAATGTATACTCAAGTGAAAAACCAAAACCCGAAGAATGGCAAACCTTAACCAGATTATTTTATTTTAATAATAAAATGCTAAAATATATACTAATGTGAGTAAACTCTTTTCACAGCAATAATGAAATTAATAAAGTGCTAAGAAACTGGAAAAAATTTAATATTCCTTTTTATTTAAAAAAGCACTAAGCTTGGCACTAAAAAATCTACAGGGATCAAATAAGGAGGAAATTCACTCCATTTATGAGAAGAAAATGCTGCAACAAGATTGAGAACCAGCTCAGACAAATAATTCAGCACTGGCTGATGGGGAACAATTCACCAGGAATGTGCCTATTTTATGTATGATGTTGTCAAACATAAGAGGAATGAGTTTTAGATGGTCTACACACCCATCAGATTGGATTTCTGAATTTTAATCAAAAGTAAAACTGTGTCAAAACTTATGAGAATGTCTTTACAAATAGTAAATGAGGAATACATACTCATAAGATAGGCACCAAAAAACCCAAAAAAACACCAAACTCGTTGTCATCGAGTTGATTCCGACTCATAGCGACCCTACAGGACAGTGAAGAACTGCCCCATAGGGTTTCCAAGGAGCGGCTGGTGGATTCAAACAGCCAATCTTTCGGTTAGCAGCCAAGCTCTTAACCACTGTGCCACCAGGGCTCCACAGATTATGTAGTATTTTCTTAGTTCTTAAACAAGGAAAGCCTTCTGGTTCAACTTAAAAAAAATTTTTTTTTTTCCCCTAAATAAATCAACTGAAAGGAGGTTAAAAAAAAAAAAAAAAATCAACCTAGCTCTAAGCTGGCCCAGTAAGGGGCCTGGAAGTGGAGACTGTCAGCAGCAGTGGTTTACAGCAGATTTCATTTCTTTACGACTTTAAAAACAAATAATAAAAAATGAATGATAAAAAGGGAGGGTGCAAACCAGCAGCTAAATCTGAAAAAAAATCTAACCTTTCACTGTAGCTGCAACCAAACACTGAGTCTACTAACTAGTACAGACTTACTCAGAAGTGAATACATATATGCAAAGGCCTCAAGAAGGAGACATTGTAAATTTATAAATCAAATTCAAATGGAGGCTTAATTCTGGAGTATGTGTCCGTGTCTGTGTGAACAGAGATATTAAGAGACACTGTAGATTTTTATGCTCTAGATTTAGAGCTGGGTATGTCATATTTCAATCTACTTATTTATGTCAATATAATAATAATATATGACATAAATATGGAGCCCTGGTGGTGCAGTGGTTAAGAACTCAGCTGCTAACCAAAAGGCTGGCAGTTCAAAACCACCAGCTGCTCCTTGGAAACCCCATGGGGCAGTTGTACTCTATCCTATAGGGTCACTGTGAGTCAAAATTCCCTCAATGGCAACGGGTTTGGCTTTTATGTTAATATATTTTAGCATATTTATTTATACCTGTTGTTACAAAAGAGTTACACAGGATTTTAGTTTATAAATTACATTAATCTGACCCTCAAAAGAACCCTGAAATAGGTGTTATTATATTATCCCTGGATTATACATGAAGGAACTGACTCAAAGATGAAATCATCTGCCAAGGCCACAACTAGAAAAAGTGGGATTCAGAATCCTGTGCTCTATCATACCACATCATGGAAATCTAGATTTAAACTCCATAAATCATATATCCACATGACTTAAAGTAGTACATTTTATATGCCACAAAGGCAAATATAACAAGTTTTACCAAACTAATGTGCACAGAAAGAGTTAACATAGCAGGCCTGAGACCGTTATCTTCAGAAAGGCCAGCTTTTGGATAACAGAGTATCCAAAACAGGTGTCCAGCTTCTTTCAAATTTCAGGAAAGTCAGTCCTTGGCTGGTGTCTGGGAAGTTGGATTTCAGGAGGGTTTCCACCATTCTCTGATAAGAACAACACACTGTGCCTAAGCTGTGCAAACAATACAGTTTATGCCGAGCACTTGTTTTCCTTCTGAGAGTCTATAATTTTGGTATAGGCTAGGTAGAGGATGCCTATGTGATCAGCCCCAACCCTGCGCTCTGAGTCTCTGATGAGCTTTCCTTGTAAGCAACACTGTCACAGCTTATTGCTGGAGGAATTAAGTGCCTCCTATGTGACTCCACTGGGAGAATATTCTTGGAAGCTTGTGCCAGAATTCCTCTGAACTACACTCCATGATCCTTTTCCCTTTGCTGATTTTGTTTTGTATCCTTTTGCTTTAGTAAAACACACCCAAGAGTATATGCTGAGTCCTGTGATTCCTCCTAGTAAATCACTGAACCAGGGGCATGGTTGTAAGGACCCTCAGGGACACAAAATGCTAGACAAAAAGAATCTTTAACATTAAAGATACATACATGCATATTAAGTGGGTCTACTAGATGAGCAGCAATACTCATTTCATATTCTGAAAGCTTCACATTTTTCACACCAATTTGCTTCATTAGTTTTTCTGCCTAGTGGGGGAAAAAAAACAACAAAAAAATCTCCTTTAGTTTGCTATTTAGATATTAGCACTGCAAAACAAGTAGCTGTGAAGTCTAATGAGCAATGAACAATCATATGAGAATTTTCCAGGGGTATTCTAGGCCCCTTGATATTCTCCTTCTCCATTGTGTGCCCTCAGGTAAAGAAAAGATTTGAGGCTCCCACTCCACAGAAACCAGGGCAATCTAAATCAGCTCTTGGGAAATGAGAAAACAAGACACAAGACTGAAGAGCTACATGCAGGGCCTCCCATTGCTCCCATGAGATTCTAGGGTCCAGATTGATTTCTCTTTCCTAGTAGGATTATCATGGCAGTAGAGTGAAGCCTCAAGATGAAAGACTGAGGAGTTAAGGATACCAAGAAAGGCACAACTGTGGTTTTTTTCACCTTGTATCACCAGAGTATCTAAAACAGGCACCCAACTTCCTTCAATTTATCTGAGAATATACAGTAAGTATTCATATATACTAATTTCAAATTGTTCTAAGATGTTATCCCTTTTAATGTTTAAATTAGTTAAAGTCAACTCCTAGGGCTAGGCAGACAGAGACAGTAAAAATCATTCTGAATTAGAAGTATACTTACATATACCAATCATAGCTTAAATCTATGAGCTCTAGCAATGCAACAAAACTTTCAATTAAAATAAAAATAGGATAAAATTTACTGAGTATACCAAACATCATATTCCAAATAACCTACATATAACATATTCAAATTTCAATTAAGTGAACACTTTAGAAATGAAGCTCTGGTAAATCATGTTTACCTAATATTTTAATCATATAAGATTTTGCTGTGTGTCAGGGATACTACTAATCTAAAAAGAAACTAGCATCACACAGCATTATAGTCATAGATTGGTTAGGGGAGTAGGATAAATGTGTCGATCATAGGGACATATCTTAATAACATTTTTTTTAAAGTGCTGTGAACCATATTGTTTTTCCTATTTGCCCACCCCTTTGTAAAATCATCTAATCAATGGATTAAATAGCCTTTTCTAGGTTCCATTATCTCTACTAAGTATCTACTCTGTCTTTAAATAAGTCTTTCACTTTTTAGGTATGAAAGGTATCCTATTTTAGAATCTGTAACAATGTTAATTTACTTTTTTCATTATGTTGCTTTAAATGTGAAGCTATCCCACACAATGTCTTTTTTAGGCCATAATCTAAAACAGTAGTTCTTAACCATGAAGTGAGATTTGGCAATGCTTTGAAATATTCTGGGTTGTCACAATTTAGGAGGAAGGCACTACTAGCATCTAGTCAGTAGAAATAGGGATGCTGCTAAACATCATACAAGGCACAGGTCAGTCCCTTCCTCCCCACCCTCACCCCCACCCTGCCCTGGCCACAGCAAAGAATTATCAGGCTCAAAATGTCAATAGTGCAGAGCTGAGAAACCCTGCTTCCCCTCCTCCTCAATAGCTTGTAGCCCTGAAAATTTTACTCGAGGCCAAATTGCCTCTTGCCTTAAACAAAAGCCTTTATTTACATCTGGGATTTCCTAAATAAAAATTATCAACTATATTGTTTAGTTTATAATAGATAGAAAATATAGTATGGTCAAGTTTAACTAGGATCTCTTTTTTGTAGTAGTCCCATTTTAGCAATGTCTTTAGGCTGCATTAATAACACTGCAGAGAAAAGGAATTAATGTTTATCGAGCACCTACCACATGCCTGGCATCGTACTTGATAGACACTTTGCATTCAACCCTTAAAACCATCCTGAATGGCAGCTATTATCCTCACTTTTCAAATGAGGAATCCAAGAGTAAGAGGAATTAAAAGAACTGCCAAGATTTCACAGCTAGAAATGGCATTACCGGAGCTCAAACCCCGATTTGTCTGATTTTAATATTTCTCACTTGGGAAAGCAGAACATGATTAATAAACAAATAAATGAAAAGTACGCACAAAAAAACATACCACAACTACCACCAAACTAACTGTCCCACGAGCAAGTTAACCAATTGTCTGCCTTTGATACCTTTAAGTGAGCCTCTATAACTAAAATGTTTGAACCAGAAAAACAAAATTACGTTTAATAATGGTTTATGTTCATGCGTTGCTTTATTGTTTACAGCTTCATGACAATTACATTTTCCAGCCACCATTTCATACTACTTTTTACCCTTTCATGTTGTTTCATTTTTTTCCTCCTCATGTACAGTATTATTTTTTTAAAAAATTAAGACATGAGTCTAGACGTGCAGAAAATGGTTAACTTTGAATATTTTTGCCTGGAGTGGGGAAGGAGGAAATTGGAAAAAGGAGCCTCAGAAAAGAAAAGGCAACACTCACTTCATTCAGGTTCTAAAAGATCCATAAAACTGATTGTATTTTTGGATAAATAATTTTAGAAAGTTGCGCATGGCATTAACAAGTTAGAGTGAAAAAATAGAGATGAACTAATTAAACTTAGGTCAGAAACAAGGATAACCTCTGATACGTCTACTGAAATCCACAGCTGAAGTGCATCAATTTAAGCACAGATAGAGGAAATCACTGATACCAAGCCTTTTAAAAATGCATTTAAGTAGGAATTAGCAAAGAATTTGAGTAATTTTCTTTATATTATTAGGTAAATAAGCCCTTATCACAAGCTTACATTAAAACTCTAGAAAACATCCTTTTCTTGACATGTGAAAGCAGCAATCTTCTCTTTTAGGGTTATCAGTACCCAACTCATGGCGACCCCACTGTGTCTGAGTAGAATTGTGCTTCATAGGGTTTCCAATGGCTGATTTTTCAGAAGTAGATTACCAGGCCTTTCCTTCAAGACACCTCTAGGTGGACTCGAACAACCAACCTTCAGTTAGCAGCCAAGTGTATTAACTGTTTGTACCACCCAATGATTCCCTTTTAGGGTTAATGCACCTGTATCTCTTTCCTCCAATTTTACTATACGTATTCTGAAAGTTAAAGAGCCCTGGTGTTAAGTGCTCAGCTGCTAACTGAATGGTTGGTGGTTCTAACACACCCAGTGGCTCTGCAGGAGAAAGACCTGGCGTTCTGCTCCAGTAAAGATTACAGCCTAGAAAACCCTATGGGGCAGATCTACTCTGTCCCATGGAGTCACTATGAGTCAAAAATCAACTCAAGGGCACCTAACAACAACAACATCCTGAAAGTTTTTGGGTAAGATGACTTTGTACTGTGGCGCTTTTCTAGTAAGTATGTTTGTGTATAAACACAACACTGCACTTAGTTTTTTTCTTCTCCTCTAGTTTTCCTCTAGAGCCCTGATGGCGCAGTGGTTATGCGTTTGACTGCTGACCAAAAGATTGGCAGTTCGAACCCACCATCCACTCCTTGGAAACCCTACAGGGCAGTTCTACTCTGGCCTATAGGGCCACTGTGAGTTGGAATCGACTTGACAGCAGTGGGTTTGATTTTTTTTTTTGGTTTAGTTTCCCTCTTGTTGCTTTTCTTTCCTCATCACTTCCATCTATTCCCTTGGCCACACAAGCCAACACTGTTTTTTTTACTGATTTCTTAACTCAATTTCCTTATTTACTTCAGGTTCTCCCTCTTCTAAGATTTAGCTCCAGTAAACCACAGCTTTAAAGTCACTTGGGTGGTAATGCAATTCACAATGGCTTCCTGATGTTAACAAATGTTAGCTCTTCCAAAGTCATTGTCATTCTGTGACGGTTGCTCTTAAAAATAACTGGCAGTTGAGAGTTCATGTTTTTTAAGGTTCAGTGTATTATCCTTAAAAAAAATTTCAGCTATTATGTCTCTCAAATAACTGAAATAAAAGTTTTGAATCCTATAATGTAACTATAGGACTAAAAACAGAAAAACATTGAGCTAAACTAAGATCATGGTATGTGAACTTCATTTGTACGAAAAACTGTTTACTCAGTTGGAGTGAATCTTTCCTGACCTTTAACGACTACTAAATCACAATCTCAAGAAAATTATAATCTAACTAATGTTAAACATAATATCGTATTTTGAATGCCCAGAATAGATCAAGTGTAAATTATTCATCCTACACTTGAAAGCTCTTAAGAGTATACCTAGAGAATCCCTGATATTCTACACCCCAATTAACTTAAGCCTATTTTTGATCACACATATACTATCAAAACTCTTTTTAGTCCTCTCAATCTTCTAATACATCCAAACAGAATCCAAGCAGCAGCACGTGCCTAGAAAATCACAGTCCCTACATAACACTGCAGAAACCATTTCTTCCCTCAACAAGCTGCCGATTAAATATCACACCCTCCTGGAAGTTTTCCTGGCTTCAGGCTAGTTATTATTTATAAACATCCTATTTAATTCAACATAAAAGTACTTCCAAGTTTAAATGCAACTACGCCATCCTTTACCTCTCATCTCAAAACTGCACTGCTTTTAAATTCATATGGGGCTCACTGTATTACCTGGTATCCTCAAAACGTTCTATTTGTAAGCTCTTACATTCACAGTACTCTTCCTTTCTGACCAGTCAGTCATACCTTACTCTTCTCCCACATTCACACTTAATCTTTGCCTTCAAGGTACACTCTAGTTTCTCAATTCCCTTCTATTCTCCAATTAAATTATCTTCCATCTGGCAATCCTTGACTTCCTAAATGGCTTGGACACAGGGTTGTCATTTCATTGATGCCCTCCATACAACCTTGGGAAGCCCTTTCTTGTTACGCCAGTCAGCTCCATCCCCGATGCTGGTTCAGTGCCACCATTCACTTTATCTGCCACCAAGTTGCTGTGTGATGCTTGAGAAGTTAATAAAAAGATAACAACTGAGTTCACAATAAATTCATGCTTTCTTCAACTATGCCCTAAGGCTCCATAGTCCACAATTAATTAAATCCCCTTAAACACCCATCACACATTACCTCAGCAAGCCCCCAAGCTCCTTCACACCCATGCACATTTAGTCACAACCTCTCCCCTTCATGTTATTCAGAATCAAACAACTCCACCTCAAAATGTTCTTATAACTACTGATTCCAATCCCTCCTGGTTCTTCTCTCCATCCACTCTACATCCTCTCTCTCCTCTTCCTTCTCCACTAGCCTTTTCTTTTGTTATTCTTCACTTTCCCCCCAGGAAACTCTCAAACGACCATGTTGCTTTATCTCACACTGCTGCTCCCACTGAACGGAAATTGCTCTCTCCAAGCTTAATGATTGGTCACCAAATTCACTGATCACTTTTTTAGATCACATGCTTCATGGCTTCTTTTTCTCCTTGGCCATTCTATAACCCAACAGTTACAACCAATTCTCTTTTGCAACCTTCTCCTCTTTTGGCTTTGGTGACTTTATACAAGTGATTCTTCAGCTAGTGGGAGAGACTATGAGGAAGAGGATAACGAAATCATCTCTGGGGCACTTTTGACTTATATTTACCACCCCCGCCAACTTCCACAAATTCTGATTATTCCCTCCTGATGCACATTTTCACCTTTACTAGATAATGCCAAACTCTTTCAAAATGGTTTTACTAATTTTTATTTCCACCAACAGTACAGATGTTCTTATTGTTCCATATTCTTGCTAATGTAACATACTGTTATTACAGAGAAAAGCAAGATGTCTTTTTTCTTTTCTTTCCACATCATCACGAGGTCCTTCCTCCCCCTTTTTTTTTTTTTTTGAGTCTATTTCACCAACTCCATTCCTTTTTCTAGGTCTTTGCCATACTGTTGCAATCTATATCCAACTAATCTTGCTTCTAGTCTTCTCTCCCGACTCCAATTCCTCCTATATACCACTGTAAGATGAATTATCCTTAAAACGTTGTTTTGCATATAATCTACCTTCTCATATGTATGATAGTTTACCGTGGCCTACACAGAAGTCTTTAACTGGTCAACAGTATATTTCAACAGTTGGCCAGGGAGGTAGGGAGGAAAAGAGGAAGAATAACAGAAGCTACAGCCCCTAGTCAAGCAAATTCCATGACAATCTTTTCATCTGGGATATTTTAAAACACTTGTTACTGTGGAGTGGGACAACACTAGAAGCAAAAAGTATGCCTCTTTCTCAGTTGACAATGGACTTCTGAAACACTGTGGCGTTTCTCACCAGCCTGTCCACCCACCAACGAATTTTAAAAAACTGAGAAAAGGAAAAGCAGAGCTCTGTTCCCTGACTTTATACTCAGGGCTCTTTATCAGATATTTAGTCCTTTACCTTCCCCTCCAGGTCCTACTGGTTACTTACATAAGTCCTCCACTCCAACCCGACTAATCTATTTACTGTTCCTTTAACAGGTCTTGTTATCCCTACCCTCACCGTGTTCATGATTTTCTTTCTACTTAAAACTGTCCTTTCCTAACCTAGAGATCAAGCTCTTTCATAAAGCCATCCTTAACTGCCTCAATCACTGGTGACTGCTCCATTCTCTAAATGCCATAGTAACTATCTACACTACTCATTAGACAACTAGCATCTGCTACTTAGTACTGTAATTTATATCCTCATGGACAAGTCTTTTTTCCCTACCATGGGCACGATGGGGGAAGACGTGATATCTAACACTTCATATACCTGATATTTAGAATACTACTGTACATATAGTTTTCAATAAAGGCTTAAAGATGACAATCCACTTATATATTACTTAATATCTATACTTAGCTTTTAATATGTCTTCTACACGTGTGTCCCAGGAGCTCCTAGAAGCCAAGGGAAAAAAAAAAATGGAAAAACTCTCTTGGTTTAAAAGCTGTTACAGATTGAATTGTGTCCCCCAAAAATATCTGTCACCTTGGCTAGTCCATGATTCCCAGTATCGTGTGACTGTCTACCATTTTGTCGTCTGATGTGATTTTCCTATGTGTTATAAATCCTACCTGTATGATGTTAATAAGGTGGGATTAGCAGCAGTTATGTTAATGAGGCAGGACTCAATTTACAAGATTAGGTTGTGTTTTAAGTCAATCTCTTTTGAGATACAAAAGAGAAAAGTGAGTAGAGAGACATGGGGATCTCATTATCACCAAGAAAGCAGTATCAGTAGCAAAGTGCGTCCTTTGGACCCGAGGTTCCTGCGCTGAGAAGCTCCTAGACTGGGGAAGATCGATGACAAGGACCTTCCCCCGGGGGCAACAAAGAGAGAAAGCCTTCCCTGGAGCTGACGCCCTGAATTTGGACTTCTAGCCTACCACACTGTCAGAGCATAACTTTTGTTTGTTGAAGCCATCCACTTGTGGTATTTCTGTTATAGCGGCACTAGGTAACTAAGACAGAAGCCAAACCTCTGCTTTTAAAAATGCAGAAAATGATATGACTTATCGATATTCTGATCAAACTGACTTTCATAATGCAGGTAAGGAAAGATGCTATCTATATTAAGTAGCTTTGTGCGGCCAACGTAAACACTTAGGTTGACAAACTGACGTAAATTAATTTAAAAAGTAAAACACTACACTGGTTAGACTTCCTGGAGAGTTATGAATGAGAGTTATGACTGATATGAAAGTTATTCCTGACAGTTATGACTGATATGATGATACAGTCTAGACTTTGAGTCAACTATTTGATAATTCAGGGAATATAAACTGTCCAAATTATTTTTTCAGATATCTACTTACTGTAGTATTTATGGGACTGTGGCTTTCATTTTTTACTGATTTAAGAGTTTTGCATAACACCGTACAGCAGCCATTTATTTCCCACACTAGCCTGTACATTTTAAAAGAACAAGATTTGTTCATCTTTTATCCTTGGCACCAACCATTTGCTAGAAGCTCAATAAATGTTTACTGAATGAATCAAGAATCACAGCTTGAAGAGAAATCTAAAAATCCATGAATACAAACATCTTGCTCAAATAGCAAGAACATTCTGATAGACTAAAAATTTTTATTTTTTGAGGAACAGTAGTGTAAAAATGGCATGGAGGCATCGGTCCTCCTCGACTAAGTTTAGGGGAAGTAGACAGAATCAAGATCAACATCAGCCCAAAGCTCATTCCTATGAGGTGGAGGTCAGACATACTTTCTCTTTCCAACCTTTTTTACAAATTCTGACACCAGCTGTCCCTCTCACAGCACTCTCTACTTCTTTGCTCAGTTCGATAATCCGTTGCAATGGCCACACAGAACTCAAAGAACATATTCACCATTATAGGGTTCATTAGGGAATACCAAACCAAAAAACAAGGAAAAAAAAAACCAAACCCACTGCCGTCAAGACGATTCAGACTCTTAATGACCCTACAGGACAGAGGAGAAAGGCCCCCATAGAGTTTCCAAGGAGCGGCTGGTAGATTTGAACTGTTGACCTTTTGGTAGGCAGCCAAACGCTTAACCACTTCACCACCAGGATTCCACCATTATGGGAGTAGCAGGTTACAATTCAGGATCAGGAACAACTTGGCAGTAACAGGAACAACTCAGGATACAGATTCTTCAATCAGGACAGCTTCTCAGCCAATGTCCTCAGGCGGGCCTCTCTTGACGCCTCTTCTGGGCCTTGTTCTGCTCTGGCAAGTGTTACAAAGCTCTTTAGCTTTTTAGTTTTGCCAACAAGTGTCCAGAGGCACCCCACCCCGCCAGGAGGCCTCTTGCCCAAAGGTGGGTAGGCTCTCTCACTCCGTGGGTCGGCACACCCACTGTAGCTGCCTTGCTCCACGGGCCAGGAAGCCCACTGCGCTGTCTCGCGATGATCTGCTGGTTCTGATGCTGTTGTTTCTCTACTGCTGCTTCTCGCCATTTCATACCTTCCCTGGTGTTATAGTTCTGTCTCCCGGGTCTAGGAGGTTCTCAGTGCAGGGACTCTGGGTTCAAAGGACACACACTCTGTTCCTGCCTCTTCTTGATGGTAGTGAGGTCCCCCCTTCTTGTTCTCTGGGATTGGCTCTTTTTAAACCTAGTTGGATGGCAAAATTTACCAATCCCCTACAAGGGTTCCATACACCTTATGTGCATGGCCCACCCCTCCCCACAAGGGCTCTATGACCTTTAACTGCATTATTAGCAGGCTGTCCGATCCCCTTGGTGAGCCACAAACACCTTATTTGCATAGTCCCACCCAATCATCTTTTGGGAGTTAGAAGACTGTGGCTAGAAACGCTAATACACCATATTTTAATGCAAATAACATGCACCTTCTACGTTTGTTTGTCAACCAAGCCCTCTCCTCACAAGGCATTTTCATAAGGGCCGCTATGCTAATTTTTTTTTTTACATGTTGCTGAAAAAAAAATTACCATAGTGTACTCACAAAAATACCTCACGGGGTGGGGGGGTGGGGTGGGGCACAACTGGCAAACACAGAAGGGGCGTGCATTATTTGCATAAAAATACAGTACTAGTAATTCAGTACGCTGCAAGTAGAGACCAAAACAAATATATCATCCTAATAAGGGAATGATCATAAGAGCCAGCAGATGAAAAAATAAAAGCTGTAACTTACATTAATACCATTTTTAGTAATTCCTTAATATAATTAGATTTTAGTTTAGTTTACAAGTCTTGTTTAAGGCTGACAGTTATTCAGCATTATCCACATTTCAAGTGTTATACAAAGTAAAGTGTGCACAATTACTGAGGCTAGGTCTTTTTTGTTGACTGTGCTGAAAAACTACCTAGATTCCTTCATTTACAAGCTAATAAAAATATTCTAAAGAGGATATTCAAAACAAAATACTATTTTCATTCTTTATCACTTTCTTTTTCTGGTACAATGCTTATATAGTTAAAAACCACTCGATAAACTACTACTTTTTTAGGAATGATAAAATTAAATGTGATGTACAGACACTTGAACGTTAGTCTTATGAACTTCTCATTAATTTATAATTCTACTATATTCTTAGTTTTGTGGAAAAATGTTTGCTAGTCACAGGAAAAAAGACCTTCAAACATTTCAATCATACCTGTTTTTGAGCTTCTACTTTTTGCTTTCTGGTTGGATCAATTGCGTCTACCATCCATTTGATAGTAAAGTATGTTACTGCACCAAATATTGTCAAACGAAAAATTAAACCAACAACTTCATTTCGACTCAAGGGACGAGAAAAGGCTTCAGCATGTACCATCTTGGTTGTTCACCTTAAAAAACAAGCAGAAATGTCACTAAGTTATGATTATATTCATTAAAACCAGGAGACTGGAAAGTAAATTAAACTAAGCAAGAAAAACTGACTTCCAGTCAAATTCAACATTACCCATTGCCGTGGAGTCAATTCCAACTCATTCAACATTACCTACCTTAAAAACGTGTTTCATTTTAGTAGGAAATGTATGTTTAAATATAATTAAACAAACACGTTTAAAACACTACTTGGAACACTTGAAGGGGCAGATTCGAAAGTGAGGTTTATACGTTAGAATTTTTAATGAACTTCCGTAAGAGTTCATAGAATTTAAGTAGAGAATAATTCTATTTTTAAAATACAGTCAATATCTTAAGATATTTAAAGCAGCTTTTAAATAACTGTTTCAGACAATCTAGAAAAATAATGACTATAACAGTAACCCAACTGAAGAAAGCCAGACCAACAATGAAATACTTTACACAGGTGATGGCAAGAGTTTCTACTATAAGGGTAATGTATACCAGGTAATTTTTGACAGTGAAATCAAAGTCAAACTATGAACTTATTCACTTTTTCCTCACACCTGGTTTCAAAGTTTTCAAGGCCTTCAAACATGCCATTTTCTCAATTAATAAGCGACATTAAAATTTTTGAGTCAGCCTCCAGACTTAATGGTCTGACTAAGACTGGAGGTACCCTGGAAAGCATGGCCCTTGGTTTCTCTATCAGCCCAGAACTAAAACAATTTCTGAGGCCAACTCTTCAGACAGGGATTGGACTGGACTGTGGGACATAAAGTGATACTCGTG